GGAGCCTGGGTATCCCAGTGGTGAGGATTTGGAGGATTGGGGCATTGTTAGCAGAAATCAGTTCCTAGCAGCTGGTCTTTCCCCTTCTGAGTTGCTGTTTTGTATCTGATTGAGGTGGGGACCCAAGTAAATAACCAGATTAGAATTTTCTCCCTAGGATGACTAAAGAGAGCATCCCACACTTCTCCCACCCCGATAGGGATCTTCACTATGTGGTGGCTGAGGCTTGGGTTTAGGGTGGGAGAGAAAGCCTTACGTAAGTACTCCTTGCTATGGTATCCTATCTCCACTTCCTGAGCGCTTGCCCAGGGTACATCTTATTAGATCTTCTCAATACCCCCATTGTGGAGACAGGGTCAGGGACATTGCCCTTATTTAGCAATTATAATAGCAGCTTCTGTTTATTGAGTACACATTATGGGCCAGACACTGTATTAGACACGGCAAATACATAGTATCGTTTAATGCTTGCAACATTCTGGGAGGGTGAGGGATGTTATTCCCCTTCCCTTCTTTTTCAAAAATAATCAAAAGAGGAAGTGGAGACTTTGAGAAGGTCAGTAATGTATCGAGGGTCACAGCCTGTGGGTGGCAGGGGTGTCCTGTGCGCTTTCAAGCCCATGGATTATACCCGTCTGACGCCTAGGACAGATGACGAGCTTGTTTCAGGGAAGTTTGGTGACCTTCCCAGGATCATCCTGGCTGTCATATTAGACCAGGGTCCCCCGCAGCACCCACCACCTTGCTGCCTCATCTTCGAGACCAACAAGAGGAAAGATGTGTGTGCTCCCACACTTAATGATCCTTCTTGGAGTCTGAGCGAAAGTTGTGGTTTGTGCCCAGTGAGCTGTCCTTTGTCCAGGCTCCAGTGTAACTAACTTTGTACTCTTTTGTTGTTATTGTTCCGTTACATTTGTAAATTTCAAGGATCTCAGAAGTGCCTGTGTGTATAGATGTACACACACACCCAAGTGAGTGAGAAGGGAAAGATCCACTCCCCCAAACTCTATTATTGCTATAAAAGTAATTCAGCTCTGTGTGTGTACTATATGAAATGCTATTCAGTTCAGTCACTCAGTCGTGTCTGACTCTTTGTGACCCCATGGACTGCAGCACGCCAGGCTTTCCTGTCCATCACCAATTCCTGGAGCTTGCTCAAACTCATGTCCATCGAGTCGGTGATGCCATCCAACCATGTCATCCTCTGTCGTCCCCTTTTCCTCCTGCCGTTTATATCCTATTACGTGCATCATTTTGTGACTTATTTTCACGTACTTACATATCTTTGTGTTTCTTTCATATGAGCACACAGAGTGCTTATTATTTTTGAAAACAACATTCGGCGGGTGTTTGCACCATCGCTCATTTAGTTTGTGTCCCTTTAATGGATTTTTAGGTAGTTTCTGGTTTTTGCCCATTGGAAGTGGCTGCAGGGACTGTCCTCATATTCCCTCCTGTGTGAGTGTACAGCAGAATAAACAGGTGGGGTGGTAGAATAGACGTGTTTATAAACTGGTGATTGGTTCTGCCAAGTTGTCCCACATTTACACTCCCCGCAGCAGCACCTCTTTTTATACACTTTTACTTGAGCACTTATCACTTAGAGAGGTGTGACTTCTCCCCCGAGAGCCTTCAAGGCCTGGGCTGCGTCAGATTTTCCCCATAAACCCTGAATACTTCTTCTCCAAATAGCTTCTTCGTGCAGCTGCTCCTGGCACCAGACAATCAGTGTGGGGGAATGGCAGAAAAGGCAACTTCTTGGGAGGTCCTGTCAGGAGGCGCCCGGAAGATGGGAGCAGGGAGTTGGCATCGTGGGGGGATTCTGAGAAGGAGGTGGTAAGGTTTCTGCCCTTCAGAAGCTTCAGGCTAATGGAGAAGGCTGGTTTGCGCAGGGGTTACAGAGGTTCACACGCAGTTGAGGTTTCAGTGGTGTGGCTGTGGCACTTCTGCAAAGGGCAGCGAGCTTTTTTGAGGACAAGAGGAACCTCAGGGGTGGGGGGGTCTGACTGGACATTGAGGGACGAGCAGGGACAGTGAGTACGCTGCTGCAGGTAGAGAAGATGGGGAGCTGGTTCCCGCCACCCCCCGCCGCCCGCCAGCCTCACAAGGGGCTCTGAGGGATCCACAGGGACTCAGCCCTGCCAGAGCCTGGGGAGGGGGGAGTGGAGTGCCGGAGACACAGGGCCAGATGGGACTGAAGGGACTGGGAGGGGCGGGACAGAAAGCTTGGGAGGGGGAGAGTCAGCAAGCACTCCCAGGAGGACTGAGATAGCCAGGTTCCTCCCGTGCCGCCTGGATGGCGAGGGAACAGCCGGAGGAGAGGTGGCCGCCCTGTCTCAGTGGCAGTGGGTGGAGGTGGTGGTTGGGTAGAGAACTTCCAGATCCTGGCCTTACCTGCCAGCCCCGGCAGGTCAGGCAGCCATGGCCGCGAATGCTGGTGTGCGCAGGGTGGGAGGGCCAGGCCCGCAGCGCTTCCCCTCTTTGCGGCATTCCACCAGCTCAGGACACTTCACCCACGTGTTTTCTGGTTCTCCTTCTCCTTTCTTTGCCGGAAGAACTGGGAAGGGGCCCGCAGTGCAGAGTGATGTTCTCGCATCATCATTCGATGGGCGCTCAGGGCTTGCTGTGGAGCAAGGGGGCCCGTTGTGGGGTGAGCAGGTGCGAGGTCTGGGTGTGACTCTGGACCCTGCTTCTCCCACTCCACTTTCTTCCCCCACAGGTGAGGGCCACCTCCTTGGTACCCTTAACCCACGCCTCACCCCCTGCCTGTTCCTAGTTGGAGCCCCTGTCGTTTCTCCCTGGGATCTGCCTCGTTCTGTGACTGGTTTCTGGGCCTTTAGCTGGGCCCTCTCCCTGCCCCCCTGCCCCTGAGCTATCATTTCTCCACATCGCAGCTTGCAGAATTACCTTTGGATGATGTAGGTTTGATGACGTCTCTGGCCTGCTGAAAAAACCCTTCCATAGCTTCCCCTGTGCTCTTAGGGTGGATTTCAAACTTGTTTGCATGGTCTGTGAGTCTTTGTCAGGCCAACAAGCTTCTCTGACTTCCCTCACTAACCCTCTTACACATTCTCGCATGGAGCCATACCAGCCTTTATAGAGGCTGCCGTTCTCCACCAGCTGCGCGCTCCACCCCTGGCTGCCTGCTAAGCAGGCTCAGGTCTCAGCCGAACTGTCAATTCTTCACAGAGGTGTCCCTCCTCCCCACCCCCCTCTGCTCCCTTCCTGGGGTCCGAGTCGAGTCGTGTGTTAGCTGTGGCTGCTCGTGCCTGGCCTGGGTCCTGGACTGAGGGCTCTCTGGGGGCAGGAGGCGCTCATCTTCTCTGTTACTCCGCCAGCCCCGTACCCTGAACCTGTCCCATCATGGGCGGGCAGTGTCCAGGGGGGAACGCCTGTGGCCTCAGCAGGCGGGGCAGGCACCTGGCAGCAGAAAGTTGTAGATGGAAGCCCAGAGAGGTGAGGGCACGGGGAGATGGGGACCTGGGGCGTGTGTTTGGTGATCAACCTCGTCTTCTCCACCACTCCCCTCACCTTCTAAAACTCGCTCAGGACAGCGTTGATTTGGGTGGCTGAGAAGATCCACAAAGGACATAAATTCAGACTCCCGAGATGTTGATCACGTGTGTCTGCCTGTCTGGCCTTAGGTATTTATGTACATACATGTTGATTTAAAGTGTCGGGAAAAGAAGTTTTGGGAGGAGTCTCTTTCTCTCAGTGGACAGGTGAGGTTTATTTTCCGTAGCACACCTGCGACAGGTATTTATTTGTTCACTGCTGGTCCCACACCCTCCTCTAAAATATGAACTTCATCTTGTTTAGTTCTGTTTAGTCCATGATTGTATTTGATACATAGTAAATATTTGTGGAGTGAATGAAAGATGCTTTTGTTGTGCATTAACATATGCAAAGGAAGGAAGTCTACCCTCGCAGTTATACTTATGGGGTAAACTCCTTAGAAGTGGAACTGCTAGGACAAAAGGAATATGTATTTAACAGGTTTGTGGATGTGGCCAGATGGCCCGCTGGAGGGGTTTGTGAGTTTGTGGCCCCGCCAGCGGTGTCTGAGTGTACCTTTTCCTCAGGCCAGTGTTCAGCAGTACTCAGCCCACATCTGAATCTCTGCTGACCTGAGGGAGAGACCTAGTCCCTGGGGCCTGCGGCGGGCGAGGGGAGGCATTTGGGCACAGGGCTGTGTGTGGCACAAGTGCCAGGGGCAGGGAGGTCAGGGCGCTTCGAGCCCCAGGGCGAGGAGGAAGCATGTTCACGGGCATCTGAGAGGCCACCAACGGCAGACAGTCCTGGAGCAAGGCTTTGGGAATGTTCACCGCCTGGCAGAGGTGTCTGGGGGCTCCTGAGGGAGCTGCGGAAGTTCTTCAGCAAGCACGTGATGTGTGAGGGTCAGCTCCAGGACGATGCAGCTGCTGGGGGCGGGGGCAGTAAGAGGCCTGACAGCCACAGACCTCTCTGCTCCATGGTCTCAGGCATCCTAGCTCCTGTGAAGAACTGGGCCCTGGGACTTCCCTGGTGGTCCAGTGGTTCAGAATCTGCCTTCTAAAGCAGAGGATGCCAGTTTGATTGCTGGTTGGGGAACTAGGATTCTCTATGCAGCGAGGCAGCTAAGCCCACAAGAGAAGCCTGTGGACCACAAGGAAAGATCCTGCATGCCAGAACTGAGACCCGACGCAACCAAATAATTAAGTATTTTGAGAGAATAAGAATAACAAGAGGTGGGAGCTGGCATTTGTTAGCCCTTCGTCTGTGCCAGGCTTTGGACTGAGAATAACTTAACCTGTGAGGAGCAGGCACTCTCAGGAGCCCCATTTTCTGGAAGGGGAAGTGGAGGCTCAGAGAGGGCTGACGACCCGTGTAAGATTGTGCCTCGCGGAAGTGGCCAAGCCAGGCCTGAAGCTCGGGCGGTCCCAGCCGGGGTCAGAGGAGCGCTGCAGGGGAAGCCAGGGAGGAGCGCGGTTCTCAGGGCTCTGGCACTGGGCTTCCGGAGCATGGTCGGGGGCCAGGAACCTGCCTCGAAGGCCGTTGGTGTCTCCAAAAGGCCCGTTGACGGGCCAGAGCAGATGGGGGCAGCCCGGGCCAGCAGACGGTGTGAAGTGGTTGGCAGGGGCCCGGGGTCATGTCTGTGGCACGTCTCCCTTCCTCTGGGCCGACTCCAGCAGGACGGTCGGTCCCCACCGTGGAGGTCGGATGGCAAAGCTGTTGCATTGCAGCGGGAGCCAAGCCGAGCCGAGCTACCCACTCCTGTCCCTAAACTCCAAAAACAGCTTCCCACACCCCCCCGAGACAGAAGCTTTGGTTGAACAGGGCCATGCCACCTCCGCCAACAACCCTGGGGATGGCACCTGCCCGGGGGTGGGGGAGGAGGCGCCCAGGGCTCTTAATACCTACCGCCTCCACCTTCTCCCCAAAGGTGGGGGCCAAGGGAGCCTCAAGCTGTCCCCAGTCTGTCTCTCTTCAGTCGTTTCATCACGGGTGACAGGGAAACAGATCCAGCCGCCCTCTCACTGCTCCGCTGAACCCAGGCTCAGGGTCTCCACGCTTGAAGAAGTGGCTGCTGCGTGTCCCTGGGGTTGGAGGGGATGGGAGGGCTGGAGCTGCTTGTCCCCGAGCGAGTGAGGGACACAGGTCAGTGAGCCTGAGCCCTGCCATCTACCATCCCCTTCTGTCCACCCACAGGCTCAGGTGGCCTTCCTCCAGGGAGAGAGGAAGGGGCAGGAGAATCTCAAGACGGACCTGGTGCGGCGGATCAAGATGTTGGAATACGCACTGAAGCAGGAGAGGTGAGCCCCGCCATGCCCCGGCCTGCCTGCCTTCAGGGGTCGAGCCCCTGGGAGCATCCTCTCCTCCATCAGTCAGTACCGCACGGTCCAGGAGAGGGGGGCAGAACAGGACCTCGTGGGTGGGGTTCAGGGCAGACCGCGAGCAACGGCTTCATCATGGCAATGACCCACCACGTGGCAGACACCACACAGTCCTTGTCTCATCCCTGCCTTCCAGGGGCCCGATGGGTTCAGGTGAGGCTTCTGGAGGGAGAGGACTTCTTCAAGGACTTAGAGCTGGGAAGGCAGCCCGGTGTGCCTGGCTCCCAGCAGCAGGCTCGCCACAGTGCCATCTGTACCGCCGCCTCCGCCACGGCTGCTTCCCAGTCGGGCAGGGTGGAGGAGGGCGAGAACCCGGGCTCTGGGATTCTGGAGGCGAGGGCTGGCCCTGCCGACGCTTCGGTTCCTCTCATTCGTTCATCGTTTGACCTTTTAGGGCCAAATACCATAAACTGAAATTTGGGACAGACCTGAACCAGGGGGAGAAGAAGCCAGAACTATCGGAACCAGGTACCCACCGCCAGCCTGATCCTCCCCGCATGCCCACCCGCTGCAAACCGAGCGTGACAGAGCAGAGATGGACCCCCGAGTCTCCCATGCTCCACGGAGAGCTGGTGTGGCCTGAACCGGGAGGAGTCGGGTCTCACTGTTGGTGCCCTCCTGTGGGGGGACAGGGGGCGGGGAAGGCCTGGGAGTCCTGTCCGCTGTCCCTCTGTCTGTCTGAGGCAGACACACGACGCCCTTGAGGGTCGGAGCTCCTAGAAAGAGGCATCAGTTCACCATCGGGGAAGTAGGGAGGGTGTTCTAGGGGGAGGAAGGAGGGTCCAGGAGCGCGGAGACGTGGAAGAGTGTGGTGTGTTCGCAAAGTGAGGCGGTGACCGTTGTTCTTCACGTCGGACGCCGACCAGAGTGCCTTCCACAAGGACAGGGGTCTGTGTTTACTGATACAGTCCAGGCACCTAGCTGGCCACATAATGGATGCCCGATAAATACTCGATGAGGAAAGTAAACAGGCTGCCTCATTCAGTCCTCACAGCAGTCCCAGGAGGTGGGTGCTGTGGTTGTTAACTTTGTTTCTCAGATGAGGAAACTGAAGCTCAGAGAAGTAAACCGACCTGCTCAAGCCACATAGCCGGGAAGCGGCCGGGGCGGCCTGGGCCACGGTCGTCTGCCCATTTGCTCAGAGCCCGCCCGTTTCCTGTGTGGGGAAATAGCAGAACAGGGTCTGAAGACAGTCTGGGGATGGTCTGGGGAGTGACCCAGAGGGACTAGAGAGGAGGAGGGCAGGGGGAGAGGGAGGCTCCAGGCCCTTTCAGCAGGTGGCTCCGCAGTGACTGATTTGGGTTTGAGGGTGAGGACAGGGCCAGTGGAGGAGGTGGTGGGCGCCTGGGTGGTGCCCTCGAGACAGCCCGCCTCCTTTCTCTCCACCCCGCAGTCTCCAATGGCCCCGTGGAGTCAGTCACCCTGGAGAGCAGCCCGTTGGTGTGGAAGGAGGGGCGGCAGCTTCTCCGACAGTGAGTGCACGCCGGGCCAGGGCGGAGGCTGGGCCGGGGAGATAAGCCCGGGGACGCCACAGTCCTTCCTGTCCCCACTGGGGACCGTGAGCTCTCAGGATCCCTGCTGGCCACAGCCAGGAGGGCCCGTCCCCCTGTCGGGGTGGAGCGCAGGAAGCCTGGCAGGAGGCAGCCCTGGGGGACCCCAACGCTTGGAAAGCAATCCCATGTGCCTTTTTTCCCCCCACCCAAGGGAGAATGTTAAATTTTAATTGTTTTTAATTTTAATTTTATTGTTTTTAATTAAAGAGATATATGTGTTTTAGAAAACTTGGGAAACAGGAAAACACATAAAACAAAAATCACCCATAATTCCACCACCCAGGGAATTTCATGCCCCTATAAACATTTTGACATACAGGCTTTCTCTTCTGTATATATGTATTTGTGCGTGTGCGTGTGTGTGTTTTATAAAAGCGGGGGTTCCCTCTTTGTATTGTTTCATAAGGCCTTGCTTTGTTAAGTGTTGTGAATATTTCTCCACATAAATTAGTTATGTTGCATCATTTCAAGACCTATGTAATCGTGTGTTATGTGGATAATCATAACTTCCTGTGGCCAGTCTCTTCTTGTGTATTTTGTTGAAGGCAGTTTTTTAATAGTGTGACAAATACCAGGAAGTTATTTGTCCGTATCCTTGATTTCCTTACGCTAAACGTCGGAGAGTGTAGTTGCAGTTGCTAGCTTAAAGGGCATGCAAACAGTGATGACAGAAGGATTGTCCCAGGCAACACCTGCCAGGTACCTGTTATGTGCCTGGCACTGGGCTAAACGCCTGGTGCACCAGGATTCCTCGTGTAAATCCCTAGGCAGTGTAACTGCTAGTGTTCCCCTCATTTTCACAGATGAAAAGACGAGGTGCAGAGAGGGCTGCGGAAGGTCCCAGCTAATACGCGGAGGGTCTGACGTGTGATCTTAGGAACCCATCCCCAGAGCCCAGCTCCCCCTCCGCACCTCTCCCTGCTGGTGGGGGCAGGGGAGCCTCAGGCGTACATGCACATGCCCCAGATTCTGTGTCTGCTGTTGCCCAGGCGCCTGGGTCACGGTCAACAGAAAGGCTCTGCGGGCGCCCCCCGAGGACCAGCCAGGGACTCCTGTCTCCAGTGTTCTGAAGCCACAGATACCTGTAGTTGAATCTCGTTCCCTTTTCTTAAGCATTCAGGCCGGTCTCAGCTGGCTTCAGGTTTTGTAGTCATGGTGGTAATAAATGCTCGCGTGTAGAGTAAATGACGGAAGTTCCTACTGACCTCCCTGATCTTGCTCTGCAGAGGAAGTCACTGCTCTGAAGCTCAGTGTGTTTCTTTCTAGGCCTGGTGCGGGGCGTGATACAAACGTGTGTTTTTGTGTGGTCTATCCTTAGGGGCACCTTGTTTTTTTTCAACAAACACTTGAATTGTAAGGAGCACTTAGCTTACAACTTCTGTTGTGCTGTTTATTGAGCACGGCCCTCTCCTCTGGGCTTCCCAGGTGGCTCAGTGGTAAAGAATCCGCCTGCAGTGCAGGAGCTGTTAAGACACACGGGTTTCATCCCTGGGGCGGGAAGATCCCCTGGAGAAGGGATGGCACCCTGCTTCAGTATTCTTGGACAGGGAAGTCTGGCAGGCTACAGTCAATGGGCTTGCAAGGGGTCAGTCGCCACTGAGCACTTGGCACTCTTCCTCGTTTATCCTGTGCCTGGTGTCCCATCAGACGTCTACTTCCGCAGTCCTCGTCAGCAGAAGTGTGGGTCGGCCCCTGCCTTTAGGTCCCCCAGACGTACACGGTCTCTGCAAGCGTCTGCGACAGCACGATACCCATATAGAAAGGCTTCCACCGGGAGTAGTCTCGAAGGGGAAGCAGCAGGGTCAGGGGAACGCTTATGTGAGATTTCGGTGTGTTGTCTTCAGTTGCTTCTCCAAAAAGGCTGGCCCAGTTCACATCTGCCCCTGCGGTATAGAAAGAAGCCATGTGGCGCCTGACCCACTCAGGTTCCGCCTCCCCTGCAGACCTGTCCTGGTTCTGCCTCCCCGCAGGTACCTGGAAGAGGTCGGCTACACCGACACCATCCTGGACATGCGATCCAAGCGTGTGCGCTCCCTGCTGGGCCGCTCGTTAGAGCTCAACGGGGCCGCCGAGCCCAGCGAAGGGGGCCCCAGGGCCCCGCCGGCCCCCGGGGGGCTCAGCGGTGGGGAATCGCTGCTGGTGAAACAGATCGAGGAGCAGATCAAGAGGTGAGCCCTGGGGTCTGGAGGGTGTGTTCCCCCCCCACCCCCCCCACCCCATGAGGCCAGTCCATGATCTGGAGTCGCGTTCTTCCTGGAGTGAATCGTGGATTCCTCTTCTCCAGAACCCTCTGTCCCTTGTGGGATGTGCAGGTTCTGTCCTGGGTCCCCCTGGGTGGCCCTCCCCTGGCGTCACTTCCATGCTGCTGCGCTCTGCAGCTCCCCTCCGACCCGGCCCCGCCTGAGGCGCCAGCCTGCACGCTCCCCAGCAAACGCCAAGTCCCTGGGGGATCTGGGGGGCGTGGCACGACATGTGGTCACTGCCCCCTGGGGAGCTCTCCCTTGCTCATCCTCTCATCAGTTGTTTGTCAGAAAATAAATCGCTGATGATGTGAGGAGGTCTATGAAAGGCAGTGAGAAAGCAGTGGGAAGGGACTTCCCTGCGGTCCAGTGGTTAAGACGTTCCCAGGTCGAGAGCTAAGATCCCGCATGCCTTGTGGCCAAAAGCCTGAACATAAAACAGACGCAATATTATAACAAAGTCAGTAAAGACTTTTAAAACAATCTACATCAAAAAAGAAAAAAAAATCTTAATTTAAGAGAAAAAGGGTGATGGGAGAAGCAGTACTGCTTAGGACAGGATGACGTTTGGGCAGAGAACTGCATGGAGTGGAAGCCGAGCCAGCCAGGTAGCTGGGAGGGGAGTTTCTCAGTAAAGGGTCCAGGACAGGAGGGGGCCGGCACGCCCAGGAGCAGGCAGAGGCCGGTGTGGCGGCAGTGCTGCCAGCACGTGGTACCGTGGTCTGTGGCGAGGCTGAAATCTCAGGAGTCCAATCACAGTGGGCCTCACGGGCCACGATAAGGAGCTTAGACATGGGCTTGTGGTTTTGAGCCAGGGTGTGACATCATCTTGGTCTTATGGAGAGGCTGACTGAGGGCCGGGCTGGGAGCAGGGAGGGCCGGTCAGATACTCCTAGAGACGTCCAGGCCAGAGACGGTGGACGTCAGCAGTGGAGGGGTGAGGCCGGTCCGCTTCTCAGCAGGTTTTCAGCGGGAGCCGGCAATAATGAAAGGACTGGCTGTGGGGGGAGTGGTAAAGAAACTGGGGTGACTGAAGGGTGGGATCTGAGCAGCTGGGAGCAATGCTGACCCAAATGGAGGAGATGAGTGGGGGGCTTCAAGGGGGCCATTCAGAACGAGTGGAGTGTGTGAGGTCTCTGTGAGCCCCCGTGGCGAGGGTAGGGGCAGCACTTGACTCATGACTGTATCTCCAGTTCACCAGCACACAGGTGGGCTTGAAAACCATGGGGCTGGGCAGTCACTGAGGCAGAGGGTGCAGAGATGGCACCAAGGAAGGAGCCCGTTCCACGTGTGGAGGCCCCCAGAGGAGCAGGGGGCTGGGCGGAGACAGCTCGCGTTGGGGACGAAAGCCCGAGCAGGGAGGCTGGGAACTGAGGGCTGGGGGGGTCTCTACCGAGTGGCACCTGTCCTCCCGGGCAGCTGACAAGGACGCTTGGAGCATCAGCCCGGTGGTAGCCTCCTTTTGGGAGGCCGTCCATGTTTATCTGATCTTCGAATTCTGCCCTCAAGTCACGTTTGGTGGCAGATGACCTCCTTGGCGCAAACTTGTCGTCCCCAGGGAGCCACTCAACAGCAGGCCCGGAGGTGGACAGGTGGCGCCGTCTGGCGTGGGGAGGGCGCAGGCCGTGAGGGGCCCGAGCAGTCCTGGGCTGACCGATCCCACTTTTCCTGTCGCCGGGTGTGTCCCCGCCACTCCCTGCCCTGTGTGCACGTGGTTCGGCCGTGGGGATGAGGGCTGCAGAGTCAGCGGCGATCTCGTGACCAGCTCTCTGTCTGACTCAGCACACGCGGGGGACGTGTGGTCAGGGTCGGGGGCTGATCTGGAACTGGAGGGAGGGTCAGAGCTCAGTGAGGGGTCCAACCGGGGTACGCCTGGCCGAGGCTGGGCTCCAAGCCCTGTGCAGGGTCAGAGTCAAGGCTCTTCTGGGGTCAGGCTCCTGCCCCCCAGCCTCAGCGCACTCCCAGCCGAGCTTTGTCGTCTGGCAGGACTGACAGCCCCTCTGCCCCCCTGTCCTGGGCAGGAATGCGGCCGGCAAGGATGGCAAAGAGCGCTTGGGCGGCTCGGTGCTGGAGCAGATCCCCTTCCTGCAGAACTGCGAGGACGAGGACAGTGACGAGGACGACGAGCTGGACAGTGTGCAGCACAAGAAGCAGCGCGTGAAGGTGAGGGCGCGAGCCCGGGGGGCCCCCATCCAGGAGGGCCCCCCTGCATGCAGAGGGCCTTTGGGGGTGTTCTTGGGCTCCTCTGAGGACTGGTCCATCCCTTCCCCACGTTCCCGTCTCCTGTCCAGCCATGCTGTGGCCTCTGGTCCCTTCCGAAGCACCTTGGTCTTTTTTGTCAGGGCAACCCTTTCTCCAGCTGTACCCTCATCGTTCTCTCTACATTCCCTCCTTGGGCTCTGATGTTTCCAAGTGGCCTTTCCTGAATCACCAGGCCAGGCCAGCCCCGAGATGCCCTCTCATGGCGCGTTCTCCTTCCCGCCAGCCCAACCACAGTGGGACTTGGAAATGTTCTAACGCACCCCCGGCTGTCTCCCGCAGTAGACTGTGAGCTCCCCAAGCCAGGGGCTGTGTGGGTCTTTTCTGTTCCCTCCCCAGCACCCTTAGGGGATGTGGCCGAGCCGCCAGCTTAGCCTGGAGTCAGGTTGGGGAGCTCTGGGGGTCACTTTGTAGGATGCGAGTGTCCAGTCTGCTGTTGGTGGCAGGACCCAGGCCCAGGGACACTGCTTACAAGGTGGAGAGTCCAGGTCTTCTCAGCTTGGCCTGGAGGTCGGGCTCCCACCACGTTTCACCCCTGCTCCTGGACTGCCAGAGCCCAGTGCTCCTGCCATCCTGATGGCTCTGTCCTTAGGCGGGGCCTGGTCTCACCTGTCAGTGTAGGCCTCTTGGGCCAAGCTCTATGCTGGCAGCAAGGACATGGAGACACAGAGGTCTGGTCCCTGCAGGAAGGAGCTTGTGGCCAGCAGTGGGCTTATAGGTAGTTACAGGCAGGGACATGCACCCATGAAGGGGGCCCTGTGGGAGAGGAGACAGCCTCGGGGGCTTTCCTTGACCGGCTCTTCCCACCCGAACTCCAGCCCTCCCTCCTCAGACCCGCCTCAGACACCCCCTTCTCCAGGAAGCCTTCTCTGATTCGCCCTTGCTCCCCTTCTCCCTAGAGGGTCAGGAATCTCCTATGGGCTGCCCCATTCTGATCGGGACCATCCTGGGTCCTCCCTGTCTGGTGTCAGGCCTGCCCCGGCCTCCACTCTGTATCCAGGGCCCCCACCATGGCTCAGCGCAGGGTCCAGGGCTCAGTGAGCACGCTGAGGGGACCGGAGCGCCCGGAGCCGGAGCCCTGGCCTTGGGGTTCCAGGAAGAGCAGGGTGTCTCCGAGTCCAGAACGCCTGGTCCCTCGTGCCCCCTGGTGGATTTCCACTCCTTTCACAGGTCTCCCTCAGCCCCCTCTGGGAAACCTCCCCTCTGCCCTGCGCTCCTGTTAGAAATGCTCGCGTGCTCCCTGCAGCGGTCCCACACGCCCTATCAGGCGGCTCACTGTGCAGGGTCTCACGCGTCCCCAGGTCTCTGTCTCCACCAGCTGACCTTCAGTGACTAGACCACAATTCAGGAGACCCGCCCATGAGTGCCTCCCAGAGTGGCCACTGGCCTGGCTCTGTAACCAGGGACACGTGATTCTCTTTGTCATAGTGTCAGCCTCAGAGATTGGTAGTCTGTTTCTGAGTTGTTGAGGAATTCATTAAAATGAGTCCTGGGAGTTCCCTGGTGGTCCAGTGGTTAGGACCCGGCACTTTCACTGGTGCGGCCCAGATTCAGTCCCAGGTCAGGGAACTGCGATCCCATAAGCCACCACATGGCAGAGCCAAAAATGAATGAATAAGTAAATAAAATCTGTATGTTTGAAAAATAAAATAAATGAGTTCACACCAGGCAGGCGCGTGGCACCAACGGCCCCAGGAGGTGAAAGAGAAGCAAGGCCTCTCTCAGGGACTGAGCCCTACCATCGTCTCTCTGGGCAGGCTGTCTGAACCTTGACCCTAGGTCTTCTCCCAGAGAGGAAGGGAAAAGCAGTCACGTCCCATCCCCCTCCTCCCACACAGGCCAGAGGCTGGCCCCTGAAAATGCCCTAGCACAGCCACCTCCATGTCAGTACTCTGGAGACCCAGCTTGGGGTGCTGAGCCTCTGGGACGCAGTCACCCGCGCCCGGAGGAATCCGCAGCCTGTCTGAAGCAGGGCCCAGGCTGGGGACACTGAGGAGGGGGAAGACTTCCTGGAAGAGGTGGTGTTTGAGTCCACTGGTCCCGGAGCCCCAGTGCTGAGGGTGAGCTGTGTCCTAAGCCAGCACTGAAAGCAGAACTCATATCCGAACAGTCTTTGAAAGCTCTGAAACTCTCTTTAAGCGACGTAAGTGCAGTCTCTGAAGTGCCAAATACACAGCTCCCTCCCGGATGGCACTTGATGGTGAACATAGTGATGCTTAGGAACTGGGAGGCTAAAGGTCTGCGTGCGAGATGTCACCTCATGAGGCCGCGTCTCAAAGGTCTGGTGGGGAGACGCAGGCGCGATGCTGCCCCACCATTCACAGGCCTGGGATGGGGTCCAAGCTTGTGGACTGAGGAAAACGAGAGGGTTTGGTTCTCAGCCCTGGTTATGACCGAGTGTGGGAAAACTCAGACTCTGTATTCACTCGCCCAGCGTTCTGTTTCTCAGAAAGGAAGAACTGGGGTGTTTTCTCATTCTAAAAGTAGCTCCTGCTTGTTATAGAAGAAAACAAAAATGCAGCCAGTATAGGAAGTTACCAGGAAGACTTGGAGACCCCCAGGTAGCCTCACAGCCCAAAGCTTGTCTTTGATGTATGTGGAGTGGCTTGGACCTGGGGCAAGGGACTTCATTCTGCTCAGCCTCAGTTTCCTTAATCTGTAATATGGGAGTAATAATGAGAAGAGTGGTAACTCCGTGGGGTTGTGAAATCATATATGTGAAGCTGAGTCAGTGCACTGAGTAACCCCGAGAGGCCGGCACTGTGGTAAGTGTCCATCGTCATTACTGTTGTATCCACGGATCTGATCTCACTTTGTAGTGTCTCCTTCCATGCCTGTACACCCATACACCCAAGTATAGCTTCCTTCACCCCCGAAACAGGTTGTCATATTATCTGACGTTTTTTCCTGAGAAGTGTACTGGGCTGGGAGGCAGGGCACGGGGGAGCAGGAACAGCCTGAGCGAGAGGAGGAGGGCCCTGTGTGGGGGTCACGGCGGGCAGCAGCAAAAAGGGTCTCCAGAGCCAGGCTTGGGGGCTGGCACGGCCCGGGAGCCCTAGAGAGGTGCAGCCCTGAGGGCTTCCAGTAGGGGGAGCACGGCGTCAGGGTGTGGGACTGGGGCCGTGGCCAGGAACCCTGGTTTTTCTGCTCTGGGAGACCAAGTGGGCTGGGCCCTGACCTCTCTCTGGTGGTCTCCACGCCCCAGCTGCCATCCAAGGCCCTGGTTCCTGAGATGGAGGACGAAGACGAGGAGGACGACTCAGAGGACGCCATCAACGAGTTTGATTTCCTGGGCTCGGGAGAGGATGGGGAGGGCTCTCCAGACCCGCGGCGATGTGCTGGAGAGGGGACCCACCATGAACTGGGTGAGTTGGGGGGTTTCTAGCCGGCCTTCCTCCCCGCGGGCGCACACTGCTGCCCGCCCGCAGCCTGCAGCTGCTTCCTGCCCCAGGGTCCCCACCGGACGGATATACTTCCTGAGGGGAGAGTGGCCCCGGAGAGCCGGAGGCTGTATCGCCGTGGCCAGGCCCTCTCCCTTTCCCTGGAAAATCTCAGGGGGTCACAGGCAGGCCCAGCTCTTCCTGAGGCAGGGCCTCCAGCCCTTCACCCCTGGCCAGTTGGTGGACCTGGGGGGATGGGGAGGGGGAACAGGATGCAGACCCAGCGCGGGGAAGGCAGGGGGCAGCGCTTCCTGTCCTGTGACTCTGAGCTCTGAGGCCCCTGGGGTCACGTAGGATGACGGGGGACTGAGGCCATGGAGGGTCCCCTCTCCATCTTTCTCCTCTGCCTGTCCCCAACCCCACTTGGAGCCCAGGGCTCCCCAGTGCCCCCACAGTGGCAGGAGAGCACCCTCCCCACGTGGCTGAGTGCCCGGTTAGTGACGCCCGCCCGTCTGCGCCCTGGTCCTGCAGAAAGCCGGCGGGTCAAACTCCAGGGGATCTTGGCTGACCTTCGGGATGTGGATGGGCTGCCCCCCAAAGTAACCGGCCCGCCTCCTGGCACCCCCCAGCCCCGGCCCCACGAAGGTAAGCGGCTCCTGCACCCTGACCCAGTCCTGAGGAGCCCACGGCAGAGGGAGGCTGCAGAGCTAAGCCCCGGGCTTCTGTGTCCTCAGAGTTGAAGCCCAGCCTCTGGTCTGCAGCCTCCCTGTCCCAAAAGTTCGTCTGTCTATCTCTGTCTCCCTCTTTTTGTCTGTCCTGCCCTGTCTGTCTGTCTGGCTCTCCCTGTCTCTTTCTTTCCAGCTGTGATTCTTGATCTTGTTCTCTCCCTGCCTCTCTGTCTCCCTTCTCACCTCTCTCCGCCTCTCTCTGTCTGTCTCTCTCTTTCCCGGCCCCTCTCTGCCCCCTCCCTCCCCTCCCCCTACCAGGTTCCTTTGGCTTCTCCTCAGACGTTTTCATCATGGACACTATCGGGGGCGGGGAGGTGAGCCTGGGGGACTTGGCAGATCTCACCGTCACCAACGACAACGACCTCAGCTGTGATGTAAGTCCTTGGGGTGCCCCATCCCTCTCGGGCCCCCCCAGGCCTCCGGCGCAGTGCTGGGACTGGCTGAGCTCTGGCCGGGTGCCTGCCTGCACCCAGCCCCTCACACAGCAGGACGATGTGAAATCATTCGCCAGCTCACCCTGTGTCACAGGGATGCTGATGCAGACAGGCGCTGGGACTGGACGGGGTCACCGAGGTGCCTGGCCTAGCAGGCTCTGAAGCCTGGGTTTCATTCACTGCCAGGCTGCTCCTCTCAGCAGTGCTCCCTTCCACCCCAGGCTCCCATGCATCTTGAATCCAGGACCCACCATGGGCACGAAGCAGGGGCAAAGGGATGCTGAGTCCAAATACAGCATCAGAGGCAGCAGGTGCCTTTGGGGTGGGGCAGAGCGGGTAGGAGTCTGTGCAGGAGGCGGGGATTGTGGACGGGAAGGTGACCTCCAGTCATACACACAAAAAAATCAGGCTGATCTGGTATGAGTGGAGGCTGGCAGGGCAGAGGGGCTGGAATGCAGAGAGACAGGGCCAGTGTCCTGAACCTGAGATCTTTGGCCAGGCCGCTGGCTCTCTGGGCATCTCTGAAGTGGGCGCGTGTGAGCTTGTTCCTGTGGTAGGACACTTAGCGCAGCTTCCAGCGAGACTCCAGGTGGTTGGTGATCTCAGCCAAGTTAGGCACTCTGGGAGGGCGGCGGGGGCGGGTTGGGAGAGTCTGAGCAGGAAGATGCTGGGTTCTTCTGCTCCCCCAAAATGAAATGAAGACACGCACCCCCCCCCCGGGGGCTGCATGCGCATGAGGGGGTAGACCCTCTAGTCCTGAACAACTGGCAGAAGCGATGACCTCAAGGGACAGAGCCCAGATGTAGGGGTCTGTCGGGGTGCACCCCGTCTTAGGGAAGGGCACTGAGACTTGCCTGACAGTCTGCCCGTCTCCTTTCCCCCGGGGCCCTCCCCGGGCCCCCCACCTCGAGAGGGATATCATGGTCCATCAGGCCTTCTGTGGTGTCTCGGGGACTCTCCCCCAGAGGCCTGTGGACGCTGCTCCCCGGTCTCTCCCCGCTGCGTGTGCTGGTCCCCTGCTCCGCTCCCTGGGAGACTTGCCCTGGGACCTCCTCCACCTCTCTCTGCAGCAACTCTCCTCTTCCTCAGTTCAGCACCCCTGCCATGGAGTAGCCACGGCTCTAAACCCTCCCTCGGGGCCCCCGTCCCTGAGAAGGAGCAGCAGGTTCCTGGGTGTGGGCCAGCCCTCTGGGCCTTCCCTGCTGCTCTCCCTCTCTTGCTGTGCCCCTGGCCTCCTCTCGGCTCAAGATCCGCCTTTGCTGCCTCTGCCTCGGGGGCTTCACACATTCCGTTTCCGCACTCTCTCCCCTTCATTTACCTAGTAACGTCCTGATCACGTGTCAGTTCCCCAGGAAAGCCTGTTGACCCGCACGGAGGAGGACGGGCTGCCCAGCACCTTCTGTCAGTGCATCTGAAATTCATGGCACTGCTTGTTGTTCGTCTCTGCAATGGAGATGATCTCTGACATCTCCCCCAGGCTCCCTCTGAACGGGGACACCCCTGGGCTTGGGCTCACCATTGCCTCCTCAGAAGCTAGCACGGGCCCTGCGTACTGCAGGAGCTCGCTGAGCGAGTGAGGGGGCGCTGCGTGTGGACGAGAAGGAACCGGTCCGGCCTGGGCCAGAGGCTCCTGTGTGCCACACGCGGCTCCATGTGGGGCTGGGTATGGGAACCACCGGCCGGGATGGGCAGACCCTGAGGTAGCTCCCCCACCCCAGCTGTCTGACAGCAAAGACGCCTTCAAGAAGACCTGGAACCCCAAGTTCACTCTCCGCTCCCACTATGACGGCATCCGCTCCCTGGCTTTCCATCACAGCCAGTCGGCTTTGCTCACCGCTTCCGAGGACGGCACGCTGAAGCTCTGGAACCTCCAGAAGGCAGTCACGGCCAAGAAGTGAGGGCAGCAGCCCCGGGGTGGAGGGTGGGGGCATCCGGGCATGGGGGCACAGGGTGACTCCCGGCTCCTCTGGCTACCTACAGGAACGCCGCGCTAGATGTGGAGCCTATCCACGCCTTCCGGGCTCACAGGTAGGGAAGTGCCCCTGCCCCTGTGGCAGCCTGCCCCCGGCCCGCTCACTGCCATCCTGGGAGCCAGGGCAGGCGGCAGGGTGGCTGAAAGGCTCCAGGTCCCCGTAGCGCTCGGCACATACCCTGCCCTGCTCCCGACGGCGTGCAGGCTTCCAGTGCTCCACAGCTGGTTCTCAGCACAGCCTTTAGAGGAGGGGGAGGCTGGGGACGGGCAGCTAGCCTGGGTGGCCCAGCCAGAGGTCCGGATGCTGGGTTCCTTTTCAGCAGCCTTGAAATACGCTAGTGGCACACCCTCAGGTCCTGTTGAGGGGAGGAGGCGAGCCCAGAGTGTCTGGTCCCCCCCTTCACCCCACCTCCGTATCCTCCAGGGGCCCCGTGTTGGCCGTGGCCATGGGCAGCCACAGTGAATACTGTTACAGTGGTGGGGCAGACGCCCGCATCCATAGCTGGAAGATTCCAGACCTCAACATGGACCCCTACGACGGTTACGGTGAGGACAGCTCCCTCCCGTCTTTCTTTTTCCCCCACCCACCTGCCCCTGGGGGCCTCTTGGTTCCTCAGCACCCAGGCCTCGCGCTTCGAGAACTCGGGAGGGAACGCCAAGGGCTCCCACTCTGGTGAAGCCTGGGCCCAGGTGATTCAGCACATGACCGAGGGTCAGATGAGACGAGGGCGCGCTGGGTGAGCGGTGCAGAGAAGCTCATTGGGGTGGAGCTTTGGGACAAACCAGGCAAAGGTGGTGGGCCCTGGCAGCAGTCTGGTCTCTGCCTGCATCTGCGTGGTCGAGCGGAGGAGGCAGGACAGGGGAGGTGGAGATGCTAGCTGGGCCGGGCTGCAGGGTTTAATATCAAGTGGAGAAGTGAGCAGACTGTCCCCTTTGTTCAGTGTCCGTGTGCCTGCCCTCTGACACCTCTTTTGATAATGCTTTTGATCACACACTTGGCTCCATGCCGCGGCGTGTCGGGGCAGAGTTTGGGGATCTGTATCTCCTCTCAGGACCATCTCACCCTGTCAAAGATCAGGGGTCAGCCCCAGGCAGTGTCTGCTGTTTGCCCGGCAGGCTGTCACACGTTGGGTGTCAGCAGGGCCCAGCCAGAGCACCCCACGTGGACCCGAGTGATCAGGGAGGCCGTGGTGGGAACAGCCAGAGGGCTTTGGAGGAGAGAGTGGGCAAGAAAAGACCGCGGGGACGGAGGGTAGGGCTGACTCCAGGGGCCAGGCTGCAGAAGTCTCGGCCCTTGTTCCCTTAACTGAGTCTTAAAAGGTACGTCCCAAGCAGGGCTTTGTGCCAGGTACTGTCACAGGCCTGGGGGAACGGCAGGGAGCCAGATAATCCCTCCCTCTGGAGCTTCCACTCTGGGGGCGTTGAAAGCCTGAAACCTTCAGAGAACAGCTGGCCCGTGGTCAGAGCCTGAGCAGCTCTGAGGGCACAAGGACTGGGGGGTGACTCGGCAGAGCCGGCACTCCCGGGCTGTCCAAGCTGGAGCAGGGCCATGGCCCTGACGTAGCCCTCTCCTCCCTCCGGCTGGCCCAGACCCGAGCGTGTTGAGCCACGTCCTGGAGGGCCACGGGGACGCGGTGTGGGGCCTGGCCTTCAGTCCCGCCTCCCAGCGCCTGGCCTCCTGCTCTGCCGATGGCACCGTCCGCATCTGGGACCCCAGCAGCAGCAGCCCGACCTGCCTCTGCACCTTCTCCACAGCCAGCGGTGAGGGGCGGGCCGCGGGGCTGTGGAGGGCCGTGACACCTGGGGTGGAGGCCCCTGGAGGAGGGTGACTCCTGACAAGGGCCCAGGCTTCCTGCCGCAGGGCAGGAGTGGGGCTGTTGGCAGCCTTCTGTTCCCTCCGCCTTCAGATCACGGGACCCCCACCTCAGTGGCCTTCACCAGCACCGAGCCTGCCCACATCGTGACCTCCTTCCGTTCTGGCGACACCGTCCTGTATGACCTGGAGGCTGGCAGTGCCCTCCTCACGCTGGACTCCCGGGGGAACAGCGGTAAGGGGGAGCCCAGGGCCAGGGGCTGAGGTCTGAATGCCTCCAGGGCCCCAGTTTCTCCTGGGACTTTTTTCTCCTATTGCCCAGTCAGTGGACGGTGGCTGCCCTGCCCTCTCCAGGGCTCCGAGCAGGATGGAAATAGAGTCCCAGTCACTGTGCCCTTATGGACAGCTCCGGAGGGCTGGGGGAGAGACGTCCCTGGGGACTCTCCTGTGGGCCGCCTGGTGGAGCAGAAGCACTGCCTTCACGGTCATCACCCCTCCTGCTTGCCCCAGGGCCACGCGGTGTCCACAGCACAGATGGAGAAGCCCTGGGCCCGGGAGGGAGCGGCCAGGGCACCCAGCCCTGCTTGACGTCTCGGCAGAGGACGGGGACGGGATGGCGGTTCTCCTCTCGTCTTTGTCTCTCCTGGTCTTCCTGATTCTTTCCCCCTTGACTTCTGCTTTTTCTCCTTTTCAGGCCCAACCCAGATCAACCAGGTGGTGAGTCACCCCAGCCAGCCCCTCACCATCACCGCCCATGATGACAGAGGCATCCGTTTCCTGGACAACCGAACAGGTGAGGCCCAGCCTCCCCAGCCCCTGTTCACCTGTGCTGGTGGGGGGCAGGGGTCAGCCCGCCTCAGATGGAGACCTCCCAGGGTCCACCTTGGAGACTTAGTGTCCCCGCTAACGCCTGCACCTTTCCAGGCTGGGCGCAGAGTGGAAAAGTAACCTGTCGCCCACCCTCTCCCTGCAGGGAAATTGGTGCACTCCATGGTCGCCCACCTGGACGCGGTCACCTGCCTCGCCGTGGACCCCAATGGCGTCTTCCTGATGTCAGGAAGTAAGTCGGGAGCCTCCTGGCCCCTCAGGAGTGAGGGCACGTGCCCTTCCCTGCAGGAGGCGGAGAGGAGTGCTCGGGGGCTCTCTGAGGCCGGGGTGCTGGTGGGAGTGCTGTCCGAGCAGGGGTCAGGAGCCCCTCTGTGGCTGGTTAGAGTGGTCACAGGGGTGGGGACAACACCGGAGCCACAGTAGGTGTGCTCCCACATGGCCCCGTTGCATTTGAATGATGTTGGTACTGCAGCCCTCATTGCACACACGTGGAAACCGGGCCTAGAGAAGTCACTTCACTTGGTCACAGCCCAGCGGGTTGCAGGAATTTCAGGCCTATCTGACTCTCAGTCCCCACAAGACGTGTTAGCAGTTAGGGCACCTGCCATTTGTGGATAAAGACACCAAGCCCCAGCGACCACGGGGCTGCTCCTCGATGGCATGGCTGGGACTTGGGCAGGTGGAGAAGGGACTGAAACTCCCCAGGGGGGTGAAGGGGGTGTGTTGGCCTGACCAGGGATGTCAGTAGACGAGTGCACGCATAAAGGCACGAGCCATGGTGTGTGGCAGGGTGGCCAGGACGGTTCAGCTGTCTCCAGGATGGCTGGGTTCAGGAGGCGGTTCTGGGCAGGGAGCTGGGGGACCCGGAGCTGCTGGGCGACAGCCTCTCCTGCTCCTGCACCCGCACAGGCCATGACTGCTCGCTGCGTCTGTGGAGCCTGGACAACAAGACGTGTGTTCAGGAGATCACGGCCCACCGCAAGAAGCATGAGGAGGCCATCCACGCGGTTGCCTGCCACCCCAGCAAGGCCCTCATCGCCAGCGCGGGCGCCGACGCCCTGGCCAAGGTCTTCGTATGATGCCCACCTGGCCCCCCAGCCCAGGCCACCACGCTGGCTGGGGGGCGGGGCCGGGCAGTGGCACTGAGGTGAGGGGATGGAGGGCAGAAGCCCCCGGCACCCTCACTCCCGCCTGGCGTTTCCGGAGGGTGCCAAATCCCAATACCCTAGCTGGGATGCCCTGCGAGAATTACCAGGGTCGCCCCTAGGCGTTCAGAGGAGGGGCCGGAGCTGCCTGACCTCTGGCACCCTGGAGATCGTGGTCCAGCCTCCCCTCCCCTCTGTCTCCCACAGGTGACTCCCGGCCTTGGTCTGGAGGCCCCAAGGCCTGGCTGCCTCCTGCCTGCCTTGGGGCCTGGTGGTGCTATCGGCCCTCTCCCTAGGAGGCCCTTCCCATGGCCTCCCGCCGGGCGCGGCCTCCTTCAGGAATCGCCCTCCAGCATGGTCTCTGGGAGTTTTCCCTTCACCCTGACACCCACGCCAGGTCTCTGAGCCTCCTTCTCTGGAGCCACACATCCAGGGCTGGGTGTCCATGGGGCTCAACTTTTCCAAGATGCCAGAAGGTGCCGGGTTCTCTTTTGGAACCCCTGACCACTCCTCTCCACCTCCCTGGCCCCAGGTGGGAGCCACGCGGGAGGCCCCCCTGCGCCCCTGCTCTGGGTCTGCTGGGGCCCTGGAGCCAGCTGCAGGCCAGATCGTCCTCCCTGCGGGGGCCTCTCCCCCCCCCCCCCCCACCAGCGTGCCCAGTAATCCCCCTCCCCTCCAGTTCCCTCAGCACAGCTTTCCAGACACTACCCAGCGCCGCCAGGGCCAGTAACTGCCTGGGGAGCAGGTGATGCCCTCGGGGGAGCGCCCGACCCTACCTCCCCCAACACTTCTCCAAGGGCAGCCCCCCAAACCCCCATGGGGTGACCCATGGGGGGAGAGATAGCCTTCTCTTGCCCCTTCGCAGGGCATGGAGGGTGGAGTGGGGTCCCCTGGGCCCCCCGTAACTCCCTGTATATCTGTATAAATAAATGGGATTTTAATGGAGCCCCCTTCCCCCATGTTGTTATCACTGTGTGATAGTCTGTCCGTTTCCACTCCTGACCCTTCACTCTCTTCCTCTATTTATTTCACTCTGTTTTGGGTTCCACCCTGTGCCCCCAGGCCCCCCTCCCAGGTTCCTGTTTATAAGCCCCATCCCTTCTGCCCTGACTTGTACGTGAAACTTGTCTCAATAAACCCTTTGGAGTAAGATGGGTGGCAGTACTGAGTGTCGAGGGGACTGGGGACTTTCGGGGAGGAGTCACCGGCTCTGCCACGGGTGGGTGGAGCTTGGAGAGAGGAGATAGTGTGGGTTGGGGTTTTGTGGTAGGGTTGGGGGGGCAGAGCTTGGGCGGGGTGTGGGTGGAGGGACGGAAGTGGGGGCACAGGACCGAATCTCCCCGTGCCCCTCCTTTCGGCCCCTAAGCGCTCCCTCCCCAGGGGCTGCAGCAGCAGCCTGGGGGCGGAGCCCTGACTGGCCAATGATAGACGGGACAGTTCAGCTCTAGACTCTTCATCCCCGCCCCCCCAGCATGCCTGACCCAGAGTACTGAACATGCCCCTTCCCTCCCTGCCTGCATGGAGTGTAGGGCCTGCCCGCTCAGAACACCTCCACGCTGCTGGGATTCCTCTCCCTTCTCGAGGCGGCCGAATCACAGTGGCTGGCTGTTCACTCAGCTGGAGCCAGACCCTGTGCTTAGCTCTTCAGGTGCCATTGCGCTGGGTTCTCACAACCTCAAAGAGTGAGGACAGACCATGACACATGTTACAGAGTATAAGAGATGGAGGCCAGGGCTCGAGGCAGCCAAGCAGGTTGTTCAGGGCCCAGCAGGTCATCAGAATTTGTATCCAGTCCCTGGGGACCCCCTCTGCTCGCTTGGAGGCCTCCACCCCTACTAGCCAGAAGTCCTTGGGACAATCCCCGTACCTCTCTGGACCTCAGTATCCCCAGAAAAGAGAGCCAGACAGTAATGCCCACCTCCTGGCTTATCAAGGGCTGCACCCCAATGCCCAGAACAGGGCCTGCCTCCTGTCAGGGCCCTGTGAACACTTAAGGAAGGATGAAGGCCTGTGAAGTCCCCTTGAAGGATGAAACCCTGAGAAGTACACACTCCTGTTAGGACTTCACGGTGGCAGTCGCCCACTTGTCTGGACAGAGGCCATCAGGTGAGGCTGACAGGAGCCCAGCTTCGGGCACCATGTGGCCTCATCCCCTGCCCACCCCCCGCCAATCCCTCTAGGCTCTGTGCTGCTTCCCCAGGTGGTGGTTTAGGTTTTCGCCCCAGCCTCAGACTTCCTTCCCCAGCCCCAGCCAGCCCCCGGATGTGGTGGCAGATTCGCTACTGTACCGACCTCAGCTGCCCCCCAACAGCCCTCTTAGGAGCAGGGGGCTCGTTTTGAGGTCCTCATCCCCCACCCAGTCCTGCTGGTTGGGAGCCCAGATACAGTGGCCCATCTCAACCTGGATGCTTCTCGGGCTCAGCCAGGCCTTGGCCTCTCGATGAAGCCCATGGGTGGTAGTTACCCGCTGGATGATCTTGGCCAAGTCACTCTGCCTCTCTGAGGGTTCAGCTTCCTGTATGTAAACTAAATGATAGCGACCCTTATTATTAGCTGGGGAGGAGAAATCAAGTCCAAATGGCTCCTTGAAGGGGTGTTTTATGACAGGCCTGGCACATTCTAGGGCCTCAATTCATACTTGCTGAATGACTGAGCAAACCCACCCACAGCACCCGAGTGTCAGCACATGAGAGTCAGAGCCAGCAGGACTGAGCTTCTACTGTGTTTTAGGCAACACTTACACCGTTTCATTAATCCCCACAAAGACCCTCTGGGGTCAGGCCAATTGTTGTCCCATCTGAGAGATAAGAGAAACAGCCTCAGAGTGGAGAAGTCACCAACCTAAAGTTACCCAGAGAGAGACACGTGCACACTTGCCCCGGAAAACAATGTGCTTTCCGTCTGTGAGGTGGTGAGGATGTGTGGTCCTCCCTGGTTGCTATGGTTCTTCCAGGTGCCCCTAGGCTTTTATTTGGCTCTTCACCCTTCTAAAGACTGGGGCAGAGTGGGAAGCTGACTAGAGGAGGAAGGAAACTACACCCCTTCTCCACCGGCCCTGTGCCTGACTACCGGCACAGCGTGCACCAGCCCTGACACTCCCGTCTGTTCGTGGCACTTTGGCCAAAGTCGTTGGAGCAAGACCCAAGGCAAGGATCTCTGCCCATCTGGAGGCCTCGGTCTTCCCACCTGTGGAATGGGCTGGGGTGTGTCGCGGGGGAGGAGGGGTGACGCTCTGGGAAGAGGCAGGCTCACTCCGGAGAGCGGGCCGGACCTGACACTGTCTCCCACCCTTTCCCCTGCGGTGGGCGCCGGATGCAGGCCCGGCGAGATGGCTCCCTTACTTAAAGGGCCAGACGCCTCCTCAGCCCCGGCCTCGCGACCTGTGGTGGGGGAGAGGGTGGCTTGTTCCTCCCTCACCAGCTGAGGGAAAAGTCAACTTTCCAGACAAGGGTTTGTTGGTGGGAGGAATCGGTCTCTCCTCCCAGTCCTGCATCTCCCACCCCAGGTTCCCAGGCCTGGGCGGGGGAGGTGTTACCCCCAACCTGGAGGCGCGCTGAGCCCGCCCTCCTCTTCCGCCCCCAGGCTCTCATCAAGTTCCACCCTCTCTGACGTCACCAAGGTCGGTGCCGATTGGCCGACTGAACTGTCACTCTGAACACTTCCTCCTGGGCTGCCGCCGCAGAGTTAAACTTTGGAGGGGGAAAAAGAGCCACGGGCTCCCTGCGCTGGGTGACTTTCCCCTCCTTCCCACCCCCCGCCACCCCACTGCCGATGGTAACACCGCCTTCCCCGCGGGGCTCGACCGAATTTTTCTCCAACTTCCGAGACCCGTGAGATTCCCTCCTTAGCACCTCGGCCCTCGGGATCCCTCTGCCCATCCCCGGGCCCGCCATCGGATCCCTGGGATCCATTCGATCCCCGACTCAGAGGCTCCTGCTCTCCACCCCCAAGGTCTGGAGAATCCCTCTGGCCCCCTTCTTAAATGGATTCTCTTCCTAGAGCCACTGACTTCTCGACTCCACCTGCTCCCTTTCCAATCCCTTCTCTCTCCACGGATCCTTTGGATCCTGGGCTTTTCTGATCGCTGTGACCCGGACCTACTAGATTTTCTTCTTTGATTTCTTGGTATCTCCCAATTGCTGGCCCCCCTCCCCAGAACCACTAGATTTCTCCTTTCTGATCATCTGTGATCCTTTAATTCCCCGGGTGGGCGTCTGATCCACTAGATTCCTTTTCTCTAACTTCCCAGGGTCCCACCATCCTCGAGTTCCCTCAACCTGCCAGGCAGTGTTCTCTTCTTGGATCCCCGGGATCCCCGCTTATAAGATCCCCGGTTTACAGTGACCCAAGCCTCCCTGCTCAGGCTTCTCCAGCCGGATCCCGGGGTGGGCGCCGGGCGGCCGACCCCGGGCCTCCCCTATGGCCGCCGCCCCCTCGCATCCCGCCGGGCTCCCGGGCTCTCCCGGGCCGGGGTCACCTTCGCCCTCCGGCGGCTTGGAACTGCAGTCGCCGCCACCTCTGCTGCCCCAGGTCCCAGCCCCGGGCTCGGGGGTCTCCTTCCACATCCAGATCGGGCTGACCCGCGAGTTCGTCCTGTTGCCCGCCGCCTCTGAGCTGGCCCACGTGAAGCAGCTGGCTTGCTCCATCGTCGACCAGAAGGTGAGCACACAGGTTTCCCCCGCCCCAGCTTTAGGAGAGGAGTGGGGGGTGGGTGCTGGCAGAGGTGGTTTCGAGCCCACTATAAGGAAGAGGGAGAGAAGTGGACTAAGCCTTGGGCTGCTGAGGGGTGGGGTGCAGCATTGGCCCCCCCAGTTGCCTCCTCAGCCCACTAACCCTTTGAGAGAGGCCTGGTCCAGGGTGGGGTTCCCCAGAGGCTTCCCCGAATTGCATGTCCCTGCATGTTTTTGTTTGCTGCAGACAGCAGGGAGGAAGGGAGGGGCCGGCCAGGTGTAGGAGCCGAGAAGGAGCAGGCGGGAGCCCCAGATGTGGGAGACCTCCCTGCCTGGGCCCACCCCAGCCTCCGACTTGGTGGAAACAGTAGAAATTGAAGCCGGGTCGGCCTGGGCGATCGGGTGACATGTGTGGGTGTGGGTGTGCACCCTGGACTAACTGCCAGGGGCAAGTGAGGTCTCAGAGACCAATCTCTGCCCTCCCCCAGGCCGGACATGTGTGTGGAGGGGCAGGCGCGCCTCTTCGAAATCCCCAGAGGTTCTGAGGTCTCTGTCCCCGCTCCTGATCGGTGTCCCCACCCTTCAGCTCTGAGGCTGGCCTGTCAACACGAGCCTTCCCCACTCCATCCCACTCTTTGCTTTGGACATCACGGTCACTGGGGTTGGGGCCTGGGGAATCTTGTCAAGGGGAAAATAAGGTGGGACACAATGCTTGAATTCGAGAACGCTAGAAGTTAGAATAGTGGGCTACTCTACTGTTGGAATTTTGAACTTTAAAAATGTTAGAATTCTACATTGTTGGAATATGCAACTGCTAGGTAACTGACTCCTCTGGTATTGAAGTGTTCAAACATTAGACCCCGAGGTGGTTGAAATACTAGAACATTAAAATGTTGGAATATTCGATTCCCTTGTTGTTAGAATCCTAGAGCATTAAAATGTAGAATTTTGGTATGCTGGGTTGTTGAAATCCTTTTAGGCTAAGATATTCAAATATTAGAATTCTAGTTTGGCAGATCCCTACAACATTAAAATATTAGGCTACTGCTAATCTAGGTAGTTAAAAGTCTAAACCTTATAATAATTCGTTGGAATCTAGAAATGAATCCTATCATAGGCGCATGCTGGAATCCCCAAATATTCAAATTCTAGAATCTTCTTAGACTCCTGGGAATGGATTCTCTGGGCTTCAGAGAAAACACGAGGAACCTGGCCAACTCTCCCATTTTACAGACAAGGAAACTTAGAGAAAGCCCCCGGGGGCAGTCAGGACTTGGAGTCCTGGCACCTGGGGACCCTCTCCCAGCAGCAAGAACAGATGAGTTTCCTTTGCCACCAACCCCCTTCCCCTCAACCAGCTCCCACACCCAACTCAGCCTGCTCCTTGGGGAGTCAGGCTGAGGGGAGAGCAGTTGTTCCCTAGGTGAGATTCTTTATCTGCTCAAGTCCTCAGCCTACCCCCTCAGTCCTCACCCCAGTTTTCTTTTCTGCCCTCCCTGTCCAGGTGTAGTAGGGCCCCTTTCCTTCCTTCCAGCAGCTCCACCTGGGTGGTTTCACTTTCTGTTCTACAGGTTTCATTTCCTGCCCCCACCTCCCTAAGCTGGGAACCGGGGCACCTGGGTCCTTGGGGCTTTGGGTGGGGGCACCCTGCCTATCTCCAACTCCTTGGAGCCCTAGACTTTCTGCACCACCCCCCCACGCCACCCCACCACCCCCAACCAGGAGTCTTAAATCTCCTCCTTCCAGATTGCCCAGCCCCAGTGCTGGGCGTGGAGCCAGGTAACAAGGACAATAGATTCAGGAAGGAAACTGGTAGTTGGGGGACAAGGAGGGGGGAAGTGGGGGGCTGCGGGAGCAGGAGGTGGTGTGGAGAGAAGGGAAGGGGTGCTCACTCAGCCCTGCCCCTCTCACTTCCAGAAGATTTAGATCCCCGAGATCCCAGAGCCAGTCTCCCTCCCCACCTCTGGCAGGCGGCTCTCCCTCAGCACACCTGGGTCTCTGGCACCCTGCCCGGCTCAGCTCTAGCTGGGTTTGGGAGGGTACAGGCAGGAAGCAAGGGGTTGTGGGGTCTCTTGAGTTTCCGGGGGAAACAGCCGGCCCTGCCCTGGGAAGGTTCCAGACCGCTGCTCTGAGCTTTTCCATCACCACGTCCCTCTCCCGCCCCTCAGTTCCCCGAGTGTGGCTTCTACGGCCTTTACGACAAGATCCTGCTCTTCAAACATGACCCCACGTCGGCCAACCTCCTGCAGTTGGTTCGCTCCGCCGGAGACATCCAGGAGGGCGACCTGGTGGAGGTGGTACTGTCGGGTGAGAGGCCGAGGCCCGCCTAGGGGCGGAGCCTCGAGCGGGGGGCGGGACATCGGTAGGAGGCGGGGCGGGGTAGGCCCAGACACTCAGTTCTTCAAGTTAGGGACCCGCGGTTCTAAGCGATGGCTGCAAATTAGGAGCCCCGCAGGAGCTCTTAAAAACTCCTGCTTCCCGGAATGGGTAGATGTGGTCCCTGCACACCGTGGAATTCGCCACGCACTGAACGTAAATGAGCCAGAGCAACCCGGATGGATCTCACACACCTTGCTTAAGGGACAGAAGCTAAGCTAGGCATTGAATCATGGCATTTACGAAGCACAAAGACATTTACGCTATTTTGGCAGAAGCCAGGAGAGTGGGTGCCTCTGAGGAAGCTGCAGTGGGCGGGGTGGGGGGGGGCGGTCTCAGTGGTTGAAACTTCCATTTATCCATCAGGATGCTGGTGACACGGCGTAAACAGTTTGACGTTTCATCGAGCTATGCGTTTCTGATTTGTCCCTTTCTAGACCTACGCGTCACCTTGATATAAAGTTCAAAATGTTTTGCTGTCTGTGTCTCCTCTCGATGACATGCTTAATTCAGATTCTGCAGCGGGAGATGAAACCCGGGCACCTGGATTTTCAGCCAGAATCGAGCCCACCCACTGGCCATTCCCATTTGAAAGATGTGCAAGCTCTCAGCACTTAGAGGAATCTTTAGCCCTTGGTTCTTTCAGAAAGGCTGAGGTGGGTGGGAGGTACCTTCCTTACTCAGGTTGTGTGTCCTCCTTTGCCCCCAACCCCACCCTGAATGCTCCAATGCTCAGTAAAATTTGCTGGATGGATGGATGACAATTAGAATTTTGGATTTACCTCCCTCCTAGAGTCTCACAACCCTTGGATGTTTATCTTCATCTTGGTCTCCCCCTAAACCCTAGTCTTGTTCATGTAGCTATCTTCCTGATGCTTTTACCGGGTGCCTCCAGGTACCTCAGATATAGCCTGTCCAAGACAGAAATCTTGATTTTGCCTTCTTTTTTTTTTTTTTTTGTCACACCGCTGGGCATATGGGATCTTAGTTCCCCCACCAAGGATTGGACCTATGCCCTCTGCAGTGGAAGTGCAGTGTCTTAACCACTGGACCACCAGGGAAGTCCCCCGCCCTTCTAACCCTTCTCTTCCCACTATCTTCTCCAGCTTGGTGAAGGATATCACCATTCACCCAGGTGCTCAAGCCCCAAACCTTGGGTCACCCCTGACTCTTCTTTTTCTCGTACCCCTTTACTTGGTCCATCATCGGACCTACTGATCTCAGCCTTAGTTTACATCCTGAAGCTATTTCTTATTCTCTCCATGGATCCAAGCCGCCATCACCTCATGCCTAGATTACTGCAGTAACACCTAAGTCAGCTCATGACATTCCACCATTCAGAATCCACCCATGGCTCCCCAGTACCCTTGGAAGAAAAAAATGCAAACTCCTCAATGTGGTCTCAAGGCTGTGCATGACCTGGCCCCTGCCAATTCCCTGAATCCATCCCTTAACACTGTCCTTCTTACTTTCTTTGGTCCAACCATCTTGTCTGCCTTCTGTCCCTTGAAGAAACCAAGCTCCCTCCCACCTCAGGACCTTTGCACTTGCTTTTTTGTTTCTGGTTTTGGCTTTTGATGTTTTTGTTTTTAAACATATCTTTACCTATTTGGCTGCGCCAGGTCTTAGTTTTGGCTTGTGGGATCTAGTTCCCTGACCAGGGATCAAACCTGGGCCTCCTGCATTGGGAGTGCGGAATCTTAGCCACTGAATCACCAGGAAGTCCCTATTCTTTTCTTTTTTAGTGTTTCTTGTCTCTTTCCTCAAAAGAATGTCAGCTCTCTGAGAGTGGGGTGAAAAATCTCTCTTGTTCAGAGCTTTATCCTGAGTGTGTAAACAGTGCTTGGCACATAGAACACAGTTCCCTTTCCATTGCATAATATAAGAAAAGTAACTTAATGATAGACAAAAAAATGGGTGGGGGTAGGGAGCCCAACAAGATTTAGTCCAAAAAAAAACTTTTAAAATAATAGTTAACATATTATTGAGCATTTTCTCTGTGTCAGGTACTATTTTAAGAGTTTTCCAGGACTTCCCTGGCAGTCCAGTTGTTAGGACTCCAAGCTCACTGCCAAGAGCCCAGGTTTAATCCCTGGTCTGGGAATTAAAATCCCATCAGCAATGTGGTAAGGTGCAAACAAAACAAAACAAATAGAGCTTTCCATATATTCATTTAACCCATTAGAAAGAACTGTAAGCAGATACTATTAAGATACTGGGCACGGAGACGTCCCTGGTGGTCCAGTGGCCAAGACTCTGTGCTCCCAATGCCGGGGGCCCGGGTTCAATCTCTGCTTGGGGAACTAGATCCCATATCCCACAGCTAAGATCCAGTGCAGCCAAATAAATAAAATACTTTTAAAAAAAAGAAAGAAAGAAAGAAAAAAAGATACTGGTCCTGTTCTTTGCTAGATTTCTGCATGGCCCAGACCCTTACCTTTTTCAGGCCTATATCTTCATGTCATCTCAAGAAAGCCTTCCTTGACTACCTATTTTATTTTGGCCGTGTAGCACAGCTTTTGAGGATCTTAGTTCCCCAACCAAGGATTGATCCCCAGCCCCAGGCAGTGAAAGCACCAAGTCCTAACCACTGGACCACCAGGGACTTCCCCTGACCACCTATTTAAAATGGTACCTCTTGCATCTTCCCTATCTAACCTCTTTGCTTAATTTTTCTCCCAAGCATTTACTGACTTCTCAGTTAGTGTATATTTTATTGCTTAAAAATTTCAGAAGCCTTATGTATACTGGGTCAGGAAGATCCCCTGGAGAAGGGAATGGCAACCCACTCTAGTATTCTTGCCTGGAGAATCCCATGGACAGAGGAGCCTAACAGGCTATGGTCCATGGGCTCGCAAAGAGTTGGACACGACTAGCAACTAACACTCTCATGTACAGGGTTAAAAGCATGAACTCTAGAGCCACCCCGGCCTGGATTTGAATTTGCGTTCTGTACCTTGCTAGCTGTGTGACCTTGGGCAGATTGCTTCACCTATCTGTGCTGTAGTCTTTTCATCTAGAAAATAGGCATAATCATGTACCTCAGTGGGCTCTTGAGAAGGCTAAATTTGTTAATATTATAAAGTACTCAGCACAGTGTGGCTCCGTGGCTCAGTGATAGAGAACCTACCTGCCAATGCAGGAGACACAGGTGTGATCCCTGGATCAAGAAGATCCCCTGGAGAAGGAAATGGCAGCCCACTCTAGTATTCTTGCCTGGGAAATCTCATGGTGGGCTACAGACTCCACAAAAGACTTGGACACAACTTAGCAACTAAACAGCAACAACAACTCAGCACAGGCCTGGCACAGAGTAACTGCTAGATTGGGAGACTGTTAAATGAGAGTATTTATCTTATTTATTTTGTTTGTCAGTCTCCCTTACTAGAGGCCAGGCAGAGATTTTGTCTGTGTTGTTCTATGTAGTGTCCCCAGCCCCTGGAACAATATTCAGAAACTATTTGTTGAATTTCCATTTTACGGATGAGAAAAGTAAGAAACATAGGTATTGCTTTTGTTTTGTCTTTCTCTTTCTCTCTTTTTTTTTTTTCACACTTCCCAGATCAAGTAGATCAGAAACTGAGGGTGGGACCCAAGCATTTGTATTTTTTTTGAGTTAAACATTTTAAAATTGTGATGAAATATACATAACATAAAACTACCATTTTAACCATTTAAAAAGTCCAGTGTTTAGCAGTGTTAATCACATTCACACTGTTATGCAATCAACCTCCAAAACTGCTTTCATATTGCAAAACTGGAACTCTGCACCCATTAAACAACTCCCCATTCCCCCTCCCCTCAGCTCCTGGCATAGGTACATAGGTGTTCTGGCCAGTGGTGGAGCTGGGATTTGAACCCAGGTCGAATGTAGGATGCGAGTAAATGATTGAAGGAGAGATCAAACCTTGCAGCTGGGAGGACTGGCAGAAACCTGGGAACGCGGGGGCTGAAATGGCCACCGCTGGTCGCGGCTCAACCATGCGCCCCTCCCTGCTGCCTGCAGCTTCGGCCACCTTCGAGGACTTCCAAATTCGCCCGCATGCCCTCACCGTTCATTCGTACCGAGCGCCTGCCTTCTGCGACCACTGCGGGGAAATGCTCTTCGGCCTAGTTCGCCAGGGCCTCAAGTGTGATGGTGAGAGACCGAGGGGGCTGGAGGCGGGGCCGAGAGGAAGGGCGTGGGCGTGAGGGCGGGGCCGGGGTGGAGCTCAGGACCTGGAGGTGGGGCCTAAGAGGGGGTGCTCGGAAGGCGAGGTGAGCGCCCGGAGGCAGGGTGATAAACAGAGCCTGTAGGGAGCATATATTAAAGTATTTTTTTGGAGGGAATTGGCTTCCAGGATTGCGTGCGCTGGCAACACTGAAATCCATGTGGTGGGTCGTCAGGAAGGGCAGGCTGAACTCTCAGGCAAGAGCTGAAACGTCTCTCCACCTGGGAAATCTCAGGTTGCTCTTTAAACCTTTCAACTGACTGAAACCGGCCCACCCAGATTAACTAGGATGATTCCCTTACTTAAAGTCAGCTGATTGTGGACTTGAATCACATCGCCAAATACTTTCGCAGTAACACGCAGATTAATAACTGGGGATGTGACACATAGAGCTGACCATCAGCGTCCACCCCGTGGCAACTTGGCACTTCCTTCTCCTAGGGCTGTCCTAACAAAAGATCAAGGGCTGGGTGGTGTAAACAATGGAAATTTATTTTCTCTTGGTTCTGGAGGCTGGAAGGTCCAAGATCTGGGTTCTGACAAGATGTGGTTCCTGGCGAGGGCTGTCTTCATAGCTTGACGATGGCCACCATCTCATTGTGTGCTCACATAGCACATGGGGAGAGGGTGATTTTTCATGTCTCTTCTTTTTTTTGTTTTTTTTTTTGTTTTTTTTTTGTGTGTGTGTGTCTCTTCTTTTTATAAGGATCCCGGTCCCCCTGATCAGGGCCCCATCCTTAGGGCCTCGCTTAAACTTAATTCCTTCCTTAAAGGCCCTATCTCCAAATACAGTCACATTGACGATTAGGGCTTCAATAGATGGATCTGGGGAGAACACAAGCATTCAGTCCATAACAAGCACCCTTACACATATCCTTAAGTCATACTTTAAAAAAAATAAAGGAACACAGTGTGTTCCTTTGAGACAAGTTGTCTTAAGGTTAAGCCCAAGAGTTGGGGTCCACAGGTTCACTGTTTCTGTCTTTGATGCTTCTGATCAGGAACGTTGAGATCACGCCTACCCTGAAGATAAGGGCGGCACTGCACGCTTTAGCTGGGCTCTATACACAGCAAATGAGGACCATCCATTCTAAGATGATGATCTGCACCGCCGTTGTTTATTCAGTGTGACCCACTGTTAGAGGGTATTCTCAGATGTCCCATTGTCTAAGGATCTCTGGCTTTGTGGCTGTCAGGTCATATAGAGATCTGAGTCCCTGATACCCTATGTTTCAGATGGCCCATGGTACTGGTGAAGACTCTTATCATGCATTCCTAAATATGGGACTTCCTTAGTGGTTCAGCGGTGAAGAATCTGCCTGCAATGCAGGCAGGAAGTGCAGATTGAATCCCCATGGTCAGAAAGATGCCCTGGAGGAGGAGGGCACGGCAACTCACATCTGTATTCTTGCCTGGAGAATCCCATGGACAGAGGAGCCTGGAGAGTCACAGTCTGCGTGTGTGCATGAATGCTAAGTCGCTTCAGTCATGTCCAACTCTCTGCGACCCCATGGACCGTAGCCTGCCAGGCTCCTCTATCCATGGGATTCTCCAGGCAAGAATACTGGAGTGGGTTGCCATGCCCTCCTCCAGAGGATCTTCCCGATTCAGGAATCAAACCCATGTCTCCTGTGGCTCCTGCATTGCAGGCAGATTCTTTACCACTAAGCCACCAGGGAAGCCCGGGCTATAGTCTATGGGGTCGCAAAAAGTCGCACATGACTGAAGCTACTGAGCAGCAACAGCAGCCCTAAATATGCTTGTGGAGGACTTCCCTGGTGGGCCAGTGGTTAAGACCCACTCTTCCACTGCAGGGGACACAGCTTCGACCCCTGGTTGGGGAACTAAGATCCTGCATGCTGCATGGCCAAAACCAACAAAAAACAAAGCATAATTAAATACACTCGTGGCATTATTTAAGGGCTCTAAAGATAACAGCTGTATTAGGCCTGCAAAAACCAATTTAGTGCATTCAAAGCTGCTATCAATATTGCCATCGTCCACACGTTGTATCCAACTCTTGATGTCTTGGTTTGCATAACCTTCATTATGGCATATCCCTGGTGTCATTAAGTTCTAATGGCCACTCTCTGAGTGGACTTCATTGGCCCGGCGTCACAGATGATAGTCCAAGTACACGTGGTTCCAGAAGAGGCCCAAATGCCTGTCCTTAATGCCAGTGACAACCTTCCTACAGGAGATTGACTCCACTTTAGTATTCGTGCTAGGAGTCAAAGATGAGATTCTGAAATTCTGTGAAGCATGTGGGTGATTAAAGACTGAAACTGAGACATGGTTCCTGTGTGCGATTTGCCAGCCTGGATCTCCTGGCAGTGCCAACAGTGGCCCTGAAGCTTACATCTGTAGTTGTGACATCATGCATTCGAGACTGCCTAGGAGGAGGAATTACTGAGCAGGAAAGTCTGTAACAGGCAGGCTGCCAGAAGACAGGTTTCATGAGGTGTTCCAAAAGAAGTTTCCAAAGGATGGAGGAACATTTTTTTTTTTTTTTAGTATTTAATTTGTTTGACTGTGCTGGGTTTTAGTTGCAGCATTCCAACTGTTAGTTGGAGCATGTGGGATCTATTTCCCTGACCAGGAATTGAACCCAGGCCCCTTGCATTGGAAAGCATGGAGTCTTAGCCAAGGGAGTCCCTGAAGGAAGATTCTTTGCTCCAGAGGGCAGTCCTGGAGTCATCTGGAATTATCAGAGGTGTATGGAGAAGCGTTCAGGAAGTCCAGTAGGAAATGACAAGCTGAGCCTGACTCTATCATGGTCAAGGATTAAAAATAGAAAAGAAAGAACAAAGGCACACTTCCACCTCATACGATACAACCATCCGGAGTGGGACTGAAAATGTGCTCTTTCCCCAGAAGGCAAAGTCCTCATGTGATAGTCCCTATTCTCCTTTGATATCCTGTAACTGAGATATCGGGACTCACCAGGTGGCTCAGTGGCAAAGAATCTGCCTGCCAGTGAAGGAGACGCGGGTTTGATCCCTGGTTCGGGTAGATCCCCTGGAGAAGGAAATGACAACCCACTCCAGTATTCTTGCCTGGAGAATACCACGGACAGAGGAGCCTGGAGGTGCTACAGTCCATGGGGTGGTAAAAGAGTCAGACACGACTTAGCAACTGAACAACAACAACTTACATACCATGATATAAAGCTAGTTATTATTAATATCTTATGTTAGAGGATAACGGGGTAGAGGAGGGAAGAAGAAAATATTTGGTATCCGCACGTATTCATAGCAAAGTAAGGAAGAAATTGTCCTGACTGTGACAATCCTCGGGGCTGCAACTAGCCACGTGGCTGTGGCTTCTTTGTCTTCCTTCTCCACTGCCTGGTCCATATTTCCCTCGCCCTCAGCCAACACCTCACCTGCCCAAGGTGGTGGCCCAAACCTTTCTTTCTTTATTTCTTTTCTGGCTGCCCCACTCATCTTGGAGCTTATTGTCCCAACCAGGGATTGCACCGGTATCCTCAAGAGCGAAAGCGCAGAGTCCTAACCACAGGACTGCCAGGGAATTCCCCAGACCTTTATTCCTGCAGTCTCTCAGCCCTTAGCAGTTCTGCCTGAAATGGGTTTTGTAGTTTTCCGTTGAAGTTAATTACACTAGGAAGAGGTATCTCGAGGGATCTGCTCTATTCCAGAGCTTCAGAAAAGGAGGAGGAAGGGGTGAGCGGAGCTTTAGAGCCTGGACCCGGTAGAGGCTCTGAATCTGACCGTCTGGCGCCCCCAACAGGCTGCGGACTGAATTACCACAAGCGCTGCGCCTTCAGCATCCCCAACAACTGCAGCGGGGCGCGCAAGCGACGCCTGTCGTCCACGTCTCTGGCCAGCGGCCACTCGGTGCGCCTGGGCACCTCTGAGTCCCTGCTCAGCATGACTGATGAGCTGGTGAGCGGCTGGGGGAATGGAGAGGGCGAGTGGCTGGAGGCTGAGGGGGATCCGGTGTGGGGGCAACTCACTGGAGTGTCCCTTCCACTCTTGACGTCTGATAGAGCCGTAGTACCACCGAGCTCATCCCTCGCCGCCCTCCCTCGTCCTCCTCTTCATCTTCTGCCTCGTCCTACACCGGTCGCCCCATCGAGCTGGATAAGATGCTGCTGTCCAAGGTCAAGGTGCCACACACCTTCCTCATCCACAGCTACACACGCCCCACCGTCTGCCAAGCTTGCAAGAAACTCCTCAAGGGCCTCTTTCGCCAGGGCCTGCAGTGCAAAGGTCAGCGAGGGCCTCCCCCCCCAACGCGCGCACACACACGATCTTAACAGGCTTAGGATCTCAGCTGGGCTTGTGGCTGCAAACAAGAGCCTCTGGCCTGTTCTTTAGAAGCACAGGGTCTCAGAGGGGAGTGCCCTGAATCCTGGTGTTCTAGAACGTTTGGAATTCTGGAATCCTAGAACCTCAGTCCTTAGAAACTTGTAATCCTAGTGCCTGAGAAATCTATATTCATATGACTCTTAGCATGGAATTCTAAAACCACAAAGCTTGAGAATTCTCAAATCAGAGAAATGTAGAAACATAAGTTTCAAGACTTCTGGATCATAGGATTCAACAGAATGAATCACAGAACCTTAGACTCAGAAATATTAAAACTCTCAAATTATAGATTCTCAGGTGTTCATTGTTTGTTTCATACCTTATTCAAGACTCCACATTGTACTTAATTGCGTTGAGCAACTACAGCTGCATGCAACAAATTCGGGTAAATTATCTTTTCATACCTATTCTATGACAAATATTTTCTATGTCCTTGTTATAGTTTCTTAGATACACCCATCATTTAAAAGTGTGCATTTAATTTCCAAATACATGGGATTTTTAAAGTAAAAAAAAAAAAGATTCTCAGAATGTTAGAACTTTAAAACTATAGGAAGTGAGAATGATAGAAACCTAGAAACAACATATTTGAGTCTGAAAAGTCTAGAACCATATAGCCTTGGAGGCATCACATTCTAGAGTCCTAGAAATCTAGGATCCCAGAACTTTGAATGATCAAATTCTGGAATACCAGAAGTCTAGATCTATAAAAAGTTAGAGCCATACAATTCTAGGATTCAGAACAAGCAAATTCTAGAATCTTAGATGTTTAGAGCTAAAGAACTATAGAAACATTAAGTTCTACATTCCTGGATGTACAGAATCCTGAAAATTTTGACACTATCAGATTCTAGAGGCTTAGAGTCTAGAATCATAGAACTGTAGAGTCACCAAATTTAGACTCTGTGAGTCCTACGACTGTCAAGCCATGGCCACTTCATCTGGCCCTCTTCCATTTAATCAAGCCACTCCATAGTTGAGGACTTTGACTCAAAGGCAGGATGACCAGAGTAGGATCAGTTAGCTTTCCTGCTCCCCAAAGCAAGAACAGACTCTTTTGAGACTGGGGGCTAGGCATCAAGGGTCGACCCTTAGAGGTGACCTCTCTTCTCCCCCTCCCCCTCTCCACATTCCTTGTCCTCCTACCACCAGATTGCAAGTTCAACTGTCACAAACGCTGCGCCACCCGCGTCCCTAACGACTGTCTGGGGGAGGCACTCATCAATGGAGGTAAGAAGCTAGGGGTGCTGAGTGGGAAAAGGCGACAGGACTGGGTGGAGACCCCTCTGATTCCCCTGTCCCCCTAGATGTGCCCATGGAGGAGGCCACTGATTTCAGCGAGGCTGACAAGAGCTCCCTCACGGATGAGCCAGATGACTCAGGTTTCATCCCTGGCTCCCACTCGGAAAATGCTCTCCATGCCAGCGAGGAGGAGGAAGGAGAGGGGGGCAAATCTGAGAGGTACCCAGGGCCCCATCCAGCGAAGGCTCCTTCCCCATCCCTACTGTGGGTTGATTTCACCCTGTACTTTTACATTTCCCAGTTTCCTGAGACCTGATGCAGAAGTAGCAAGCAACCTGGAGTGGCTGGAGCAGGGAGAATGAGGGGAAAAGGATGGGAAGTGAGGCTGGGGTGGAGGTGGGGCAGTATTCAGATCACAGTGGTCACCCTGAGTCTCCTCCTAGTGCCACCGGCCCTGGCCGCTTGGAACCTCAGAATCCCTTTCTCCCAGGTCTTTCCAGGTCTTTCCTAGCATTAACAGAGTGATAAGCTATCAGAGTTGGACCTTGAAGCACTTGAGAAGAGAGGGCTATTGGGAGAGGAAGCCTATTTCACAGATGAGGAAATTGAGTCTCAGAGAGGCAAAGAGAAGTGGCCACAGGCAGTCCAGTCCAGGTTCTCGCACAGGGATCAAGAAATTGTTCTCAAAAAAAAAAGAGAGAGAGAGAGAGAGAGAGAGATTGTTGGCTCTGGAGTTGCACAAGTCACTTAATTTTTCTCTGCCTTCATTTCCTCACTGTAATAATAGTGTGTGCACAGTGGCACAGAGAGGTTGAGTCACTTGGTCGGTATCACACAACTGGCTCCACAATCAGTGGGTTCAGTACTAATTACCACTTATTGGGGGCCCACCATGTGCCAAACACTCTGCTAAGCTCCTAAGAAGGGCTTCACTTCTCGCAACAACCCCTTTGGGTGGAGAAACTGAGGCACGAAGAGATTAGTTCTCGCCAGGCAGCCTGACTTTGGAAACCAGCCTCTTAATGTGGGTCTCTCAAGAGTCGCCTTCCTCATTATGGTAAATCTGGAAACACAGGCAAAAAAGTGTGGCCGAAATCGCCCTAGCTACCCAGAGATTGACTCCCACTTCCGCACCCCTCCCCCCTGCTGTAGCCCCAGGCACTGTGGTTATTTTCTGCTTGTAACCTCTCCTTCTCTCCCCGACTCTCAGCTCCCTGGGGTACATCCCCCTAATGAGGGTGGTGCAGTCAGTGCGACACACAACGCGGAAATCCAGCACGACGCTTCGAGAGGGCTGGGTGGTTCATTACAGCAACAAGGATACACTGGTGAGTGGGTGGGCGTTCACACCCTCTGTCCAACCCCTGCTTGTGCGCTCCCGTCCCATCAGCAAGTGTCGCCCACGTGGACGCCGTGCCCTGAGTTTGATTTCGGCTCCATCACTTTTCAGCTGGGGGACCCAGGCAAGTTACCTCACCTCTCTGCACCCTGCGCCTCTCACCTGTAAAGGGCGACCAAGAATAGTCCTTGCCGCAAGGCTGTGCCAGAATTCAAAGAGATAATCTATGTGGAGCAATTCGTTTAGGACCAGGCGTATTTAAGCTCCATTAAACTCCCAGTAATTTTAAGTGTGTTATCATTATTACATTATAGTTAATTTATTGAATTCATTCTTTGTATTCATTCATCAGTGCCTCCCATGCCAGTCCTGGGTTCCAGCAAGTCTCCTCCCAGGTCCTCGCTTCTGTCCTTGCCCTCACTGTCTTTTTCTACTTAGCTGTCACAGGAGTCCATTAAAACCATTACAACCTCCCAGTGGCTCCCACTGCCCTTGTAATAAAACCCAGACACCTCACTGTTTACCCGCTCTGGACGATCCTAACCCATCCCATGGCTGCTTTCTTCTCATCCTTCCCATTTTCCTCAAGCCATGTTATCTAAAATTCCATCCCTGCTGCAACGTCTCCATCTTCTGGTTTGTTTGGTTTGGCCATGTGGCATGTGGGATCATCCCTGACCAGGGATCAAACCTGTGCCCCCTGCATTGGGAGCTCAGAGTCCTAACCACTGGACCCCCAGTAAAGTCCTGGCTCCTGGCTTTATGGGTTTCATAAGTCTCTCTTTCTCATTCTTTCCTTCTTTTCTTCCTCTCTTCCTTTGTCTTTCAACACTTCCCAAAGCATATTCTTCTTCCTCTCCATAGACCCTCCACCTTCTCTCCTCCCAGGGTCCCCTCTGCCCTCTGCCTTGTCTCCTCTCTCAGTCCCATCCTCTCTCATTCACCTTCCACACAAAGTCAGAGAGAAATGCTCCCTGCCTTGCGCTAAACCCTTCCATGGTTCCCCAGGGCGCTGGAGACAAAGCTCAGGCTCCTGCCTGTGGCCCATGAGGCCCTGCAGAGCTGGCCCTAGCCTGATCTCCCTTTTTTATTCATCAAACCCGGCATACCTACTTTGTGCCAGGCACCATCCATGTAATGGGGATATGGCATGTCCCTTGAACGCAAGCCTTTTCTACCTCAGGATCTTTGCACATGCTTTCCCCCCAACATTCCTCCACCAGCTGGCCTCTTCTTACCTTTCTGAGCTCTGCTTCCATGTAAATTCCACCAGGAGGGCTTTCCTGACCACTCCATGCAAAATGTGTGCTCATCTGAGTAAGTAGAGAGTGCTGGGGTCTGCCCAGAGCCCTCACACATACTATCTCTGTCCTGTCAGGAAATTCCACTGTCTGAAATCCTCACCGTGGAGCCGGCCCAGAACTTCAGCCTCGTGCCACCAGGCACCAACCCACACTGCTTCGAGATTGTCACTGCCAATGCCACCTACTTTGTGGGAGAAACCCCTGGTGGGGCCCCAGGCGGGCCTAGCGGTCAGGGGGCTGAGACTGCCCGGGGCTGGGAAACGGCCATCCGCCAGGCCTTGATGCCTGTCATCCTCCAGGACGCACCCAGTGCCCCCGGCCACGCACCCCACAGTAAGGGCCCCACTCCAGATCCCTGGGAAGAGGGGTCCAGAGGGCTTGGGTGGGGCCCTGGAGAAGGGAAGAGCCAGGGAAGGGCAGAGCGGAGAATGTGGCTTCTGGACTCAGCAGAAATCAGTCTAAATCATTAAGAGCTCATGTGTAGCCTTGGGCATGTCACTTCCCCTTTCTGAGTCTTGTCCCGGGGCAAGTAATGACTCCTTCAAATTGTGAGTTCAGACTTTTTAATTCATGCTCCTTTGTGCCTGTCCTGTGTCAGACAGTGCTGTGGGCCCAGCTGTGACCAAAACAGCCCAGGACCCGCTCTTCTGGGACTCACAGTCCCAGAAGGAAGACAGACCTGTGCCCAGACAGGCTTACAGTTGGCAGGGCTGGGACAGGGGAGCCAGAGGGCTGTGGGAGCTCAGAGGAGGTGACTAACCCAGCCTGAGTGTCCAGGAGGGCTTCCTGGAGGACACAACATCCAGGCTAAGACCTGGAGGTTAAGGAGGGGTGAAATGAAGAGAAAGGAAATGGGAAATCGTTTCAGGCAGAGGCAAAGGATGATCAGAGTCCTGGGTTACTATGTTATGGAGCTCATAGTCCAGGGTGACTGACAGACATTCATCAGATCTTCCTGGGTGAATGACAAGTGGGATGTAAAACGTGTGCTAGAGGAATCTGATGTGGTCCCAGGGTAACATGTGAGCTGAGACTGGGCGACAAGGAGGATTTAGCTAAGTGCAGAGTGAGGGAAAGCGCATTCCTGGCAGAGGCAAGAGCAAGTGCCGAGGACCGGAGATAGGAGAGACTTTGCCCTATAGGAGGCCTGGCAAGGAAGCCTGAATGTCAGGAATGCACAACAGCAAGGGAGAGGATGAAGTCAAAGAGGCAGAGGGGCCAGATACTTCCTGTTATGCTATTTAAGGGACTTGGCCTTTCCCCTCAGGACACTGGGGAGCCATAGCAGAATTTTTTTAAATTAAAAAAATATTTATTTATTTGGCTGTGCCAGGTCTTAGCTGCAGTGCATGAGAGCTTTAGTTGGGGCATGGGAATTCTTAGTTGCAGCCTGTGGGATCTAGTTCCCTGACCAGGGATTGAACCCAGCCCCCTGCATTGGGAGTGTGGAGTCTTAGCTACTGGACCACCAGGGAAGTCCCCATGGCAGGGTTTTGAGCAGGGGAAGGACAGAGTTAGGCTTATGCTTTGGCAAGATCCCCCTGGCTTCCCTTTGGAGGAAGAACAGGAGAGATGGAGACAGGACAGGGAGACCAGGGAGGAGGCTAAGGAGCAAGGGCCAAATATTCCTCAGGGAGGGGACAGATGTTCAAATGGCAGAAGGATCAGGACTTTGGAAATGTCTGGCCCTGGTTGGGTCGGTAGTGGGGCAAATTCAGGGGAAGAAGCCTGAGTCAATTTCCCACTGAGCCCCAGTTTCCTCCTCAGTAAAATGGGATCATCACGCCTCCCTTGGTGCTGAGATGACAGAATGCAATGCTCGGTGAACTGCGTCATGACAACATATTTTGAGCTCCTCTCATTTCCTCCTCTCATTGGCCCTAGGAGGGAGGCCCTTTTATCATTCCTATTCTTTGGGATGAGAAAACTGAGGTTCTTAGTGAACGAGTCTAGTCTAACTACTGGCTCCAGAGGGTGGAGTTATGGGTGATCTTGAGCCTGGGGTCTTCTCACGTCCGCCTTCTCCTCTCCCCAGGACAAGCTTCTCTGAGCATCTCTGTGTCTAACAGCCAGATTCAAGAGAATGTGGTAAGACCCCACCCGCACCCGGCAGCCCCAAGGATGTGCCCCCCTTCAAACAACCCCCAGCTCTCCCAGCCTCCTTGACCACCCCCTATCTTTATGTGCCCCTTGACTCTCCCTCCCACCCTGCAGGACATCGCCACTGTCTACCAGATCTTCCCTGACGAGGTGCTGGGCTCCGGCCAGTTTGGAGTGGTCTATGGCGGTAAGGATATTTCAAGAGCCGACCTAGAAAGGCGTCTTGGGGGTTTCTGGGCTCCAGACCTCCCCTTCTGCTTGGCCACATGCTCACCTCCTTTTCTAGTTGATTAAGAAAGCTGGATCCTGGGGGCAGATGGTTGCAGGCTCACGTTTTCTCACTCGGAAAGGCCGGTGACTCTCTCCGTTATTAATAGGGAAGGTAAACTCTGCGCTGATTGGCCACAGAGCTAGATGCTGGATTCTGATTGGTTACAATTCTAGCTTCTTATGTTATAGTGCCTCAGAGATCTGACTTTACCTTCCTTCATTCTACCTTTATTCCTAGGGTCACCCACCCTTGACATCGCTCCCGGGGGCCCCTCAGAGCCCCCTTGGTGGCCTTTCATCCACCTCTGCCCAACTCTAGCTGCGTGTCTCTAGTGGGGTCTTCCTCTTGCCAGGACTGGAAGGTCCTACATCTCTCATCCCCCACCTCCCCTACCCTCTGCCCAGGGAAGCATCGGAAGACAGGCCGGGACGTGGCAGTAAAGGTCATCGACAAACTGCGTTTCCCCACCAAGCAGGAGAGCCAACTCCGGAACGAAGTGGCCATTCTGCAGGTGACCCCTGGAGTCTATGGTCCTGCTCTGACCCCATCCCCACCATGCAAGGGCTTTCCCTTCCCACTTCCTCCAGTCTGGGGGTGGTCAGGGAGGGCTTCCTAGAGGAGGCGGTACGCATGTTGAGACTGAAGGGGTGGCGCACGTATTCTGAGCAGAGGGATCAGCCTGTGCGAAGGTCCAGAGTTGAGAGGGAACACAAAGTCTTCTAGGAATTTGAAGGGGTTCAAGGTTACTAGATGGTTTATGTGAAGCAAGGTGGTAGGCGGTGAGGCTAGGGAGCAGGGTGGGGTCCCACCCCCCCTATGGGCTTTCTCCTAAGGGTACTAGGGAGCCATGGAAAAATTCTGAGCAAAGAGAGGGACAGAGTCAGATGTGTGAACTTTAGGAAGATCCCACTGGCTGCTATTGGAGGAGAGGTGGAAGGGTTGTGGGGCTGGAGCCTGCAGCCCTGGGAAGAGGCTGGGTGGGGACCTGTGTGAAGAGATGGGGTTCAGCCAGGCAAGGGTTGGGGAAGAGCCAGGAGGGCGGGGATTTAAAAGATACAGATGTACGAAGCTCCTTCCCATTTCTTCAGGCTCCCTTCTCTCTTGCTCCCTCAACCCTGGGCCTTCACCATGATTTCATGGTGTAAAAATCCTTCTGGACACCTGGTGGTGCAAGAGGGGTGGTCCTCTCTGGGGCTGTGGACACCCTTTCCCCTCTGCCACTGCCACCCCCAGGGGGGAAAGGCCCTCCAGGGACATCCTCTTCTTGCTTGTTGTCCGCCCGCTCCTGTGGCTTGTCCTCTGGGGTCCCAAGCTCATGGGCGACGTGGGTCCTGACCGCCCTCCTCCCCACCCCAGAGTCTGCGGCACCCAGGGATTGTCAACCTGGAATGTATGTTCGAGACCCCGGAGAAGGTGTTCGTGGTGATGGAGAAGCTGCACGGGGACATGCTGGAGATGATCCTCTCCAGCGAGAAGGGCCGGCTGCCTGAGCGCCTCACCAAGTTCCTCATCACCCAGGTGCGCACGCCCCGCCCCCCCAGCCAGGCTCCCCACCTGTCCTGCAAGTCTGCTTATCACCGAGGTGCGCACGCCCCGCCCACCGCCCGCCCACCGCCCGCCCACTGCCCGCCTCCCCAGCCAGGCTCCCCACCTGTCCTGCAAGTCGCACCTGTGCTGTGTGCCCTGAAGGGCAGGCAGACCTTGGGTGGGAATCATAATAGCGGATAAGAGAAAATGTAGTAATAGAGTAATAATAACAATCATAGAAAAAGTATTAGAATTATACTTTAAAAATTATAATAGAATATGATAGAACAGTTAGTAGAATAACAGTTACAGAGTAATAACAATAGATACATAATAAGATAAGTTGAAAATAATAGAGCAGTAATAATAATATTATAGAAAATAATAACTATTATTTTTTATCCTTTATTACTTTATATAATGAGTCAGGCTCGCTGGGCCTGCCTGACTTCATGAAGAAAAAGGGAAAGAGAGAGAGGCCTTTCTCTGGGGAGCTCATTCATTCATTTATTAAATGGTTCAGCAAACACTGTCTGGCCCCATGTTGGGCAGTGTGAGGACACAGCGGTGACCTCGATAGCCCCGGGTCTGTACAGTGATCACCCAGAGTGGGCAGGGCTGAGATGGGGGTGCTGATAATGAGAATGATAAACAATGTGGTCACTAACCTTTATCGAGCCCTTACTGTATGCCAGCCACTCTTTTAGTTCATGTAATCTTCCTAGCAACCTATGTGGTAGTGGTTATTACTACTCCCATTTTACTGAGACTCAGGGACTTTAAGTAGCTCACCCAGGGTCACACAGCTGGTGGGATTTAAACCTGGAAGCGAGCTTTTACCAAGTAAAGTCAAACAGTCTTAGTCACTCAGTCATGTCTGACTCTTTGCAACCCCATGGACTGTAGCCCGCCAGGCTCCTCTGTCCCTGGAATTCTCCAGGCAAGAATATTTGGGGGAAAAAAAAAAGGAAGAAAAAAATAGAATACTGGAGTGGGTTGCCATTCCCTTCTACAAAAGTCAAACTTATTTGTGTTGTCTGTGTGTGTGTGTCTGTGTGCATGTGTATGTACATTTAAATTGATTTCACATCACATATAACACTTGTTCTGCTTCTTACTTTCTTCACTTTAATAGTGCTTCTGAAAGACCGTTCTATTTCAGTATGTAGTTAGCAGAACTCTCTTTTTCTTAATTGTATCCCTCGACAATATCACCAAATTCTCCAGTTGCTGAGTATGTAGTTGGTTTCACTATCCCACTACTGCAAACAACAGCCTGTGAACATTTGTCTACAAACATCGACAGGCTCTGGTGGGAGGATTTCAATAGAACATGTTTCAAATAGTAGACTCCCAAGCCTAAGGAAATGTGCTTAAAATTTTTTGAAAGGTGTTGCCCAGTTATTCTCTAAAACCTCTTTCAATCTTTGTTCTCACCAACAGAGTTTGAGGGTGTCTATTTTCTCAGTCCTTACTCTGGATAATATATTCACCAGTTCTTTTTTTTTTTTCCCCAAGCCACATGGCTTGAGGGATTTTAGTTCCAGATCAGGGGTTGAACCTGGGCCATGGCAGTGAAAGTGCTGAGTCCTAGCCACTGGACTGCCAGGGAATTCCCAATATAATCACTAGTCTTAAAGGTGGAAAAATAATACTTCATATGGCTTCATTTGGTGGTTTAAAAATTATGAGTGAGGTTGACAATATTTTCACACGTTTATTGACCTGTACTTTATGCACTCTGGACTTCCCTGGTGACTCAGATGGTAAAGTGTCTGCCTACAACGCGGGAGACCTGGGTTCAATCCCTAGGTCGGGAAGATCTCCTGGAGAAGGAAATGGTAACCCACTCCAGTGTTCTTGCCTGGAAAATCCCATGGATGGAGAAGCCTGGTAGGCTACAGTCCATGGGGTCGGAAAGAGTCGGACACGACTGAGTGACTTCACTTTCACTTATGCACTCTGGCCTTTTTTTTCAGTTGTATTATTCTTATTGAATTGTAAAGTGCTCTTTGTATATGAAGGACCCTGGATCTTTGTTGCTTGTGTTGTTCCCATCTTTTATCCTGGTATTTCTTTTCCTCTTCATTTTGTTTGTGGTGTTTACTTTCATTTTGGGGGTTTCACAGCCTTCTTGGAAATATCTTCCCACCTGGCTGGCCCTACACTTGATTCTGGAACATGTTCTCTGTTGGTTGAAAAGTTTCCTGTACTGGCTTCCTTTCTCCAGGCCCAGCACTCTTGCTCTCCCAAGCTGTCTGCCTTTGTCAGTCTGGCTTGTGGGGTGGGGATAGAAACTCACTGAGACAGGCCCATCTGGACTTCAGGTGGGGAGAGAAAACTGCCTGCCTTCAGCAACTGAGGCAGTTTCTCTTTCATTCTGGTCTTTTATCTCTTTCTCTCTTTTTGTCTGTGCTCTTCTCCCTCTTTCTCTTTCTGCAGATTTCTGCTTTTTGCCTCTTGCCTGCCCCACCCCAAGTCCTGGGCTAAGCTAAGCCCTATACCTCATGAACTTATAAACTGCACAACCATCTTCGAGGTAGGTATTACTATAATCTCCATTTTACAGATGAGGAAACTGAGGTTGAGGGGTTTCCTAGGTCTTGCCCAAGGTCATACAGGTACAAGGGCACACTGCTAGGTAGCTTAGCTGTCTGGCCAAGGTTTGAACCTGGGTCTGTCCAGCTTCCCATCTACCCTCTTTGTTCACCATATTTACTAGTGGTTGGGAAAATCAGTAAACTGAAGCTATGTAGGAGAGGATGTCCATATATGGCTTTGGACCCCCAGCCTCTCTGTAGAGTGAGGAACTTGGACCTCAGCAGTAGCTTTCAAATAGCATTTCCATAGTCGAAAATCATCCATGAAAACAATGAAAAAGTCCAAATATTTCAGTTCTAAGATATAAATTACAGCTTCATGCTTATATCACACTTTTGACAATTTGACATTTTGTTTGAGTTATGTAGAATCAAGGAAAATCATGGCTTCCATAGATAAGTAGTTACAAATGGTAAGTCTTTTTTTTTTTTTAATTTTATTGATGTATTTATTTTGGGCTGTGCTGGATCTTCATTGCAGCCTGGGCTTATCTCTAGTTCTGGCGAGCAGTGGCTACTCCAGTTGTAGTGTGTGGGCTTCTCATTGCAGTGGCTTCTCTTTTTGTGGAGTGCAGGCTCTTGGCTTCAAGGTCTTCAGTAGTTGAGGCTCCCGGGCTCTAGAGCCCAGGTTCAATAGCTGGGGCTCATGAGCTTAGTTGCTCTGCAACATGTGGGATCTTCCCAGATCAGGGAGTTAATCCATGTCTCCTGCATTAGCATATAGATTCTTTACCACTATGCCACTAGGGAAGCCCAACAGTTTTTTTTTGTTTGTTTAAGTCAGCTCACCTTGCCATCATAGAATATTCTTAAATTAACAGCTACAGCAGGAAAAGTTTGATTTGAAACACTCACAGGAACGTGTCCACTAATAGGCCATCACAAGAATAATAACCAAAACAACAATAATAATAACTCACATGGAGTGCTTGCTGTGTGCCAGACATTGCCCTAAGCACTTTCTATACCTCACTCAACTCACTTAAAATGCACAGCAACCCATGAGGATGGTTTCTGTTATCACCCTCATTTTACAGGTGAGAACATTGAGACCGAGAGAGATAAGGTGACTTGCTGTAGGCAAGTGTGCTGTAGGCAAGTGTGGAGCCAGGTTGGCTCTCAAATCCCCCCACCTCTTAAGGGTGTTATGTTTGATTTATAATATGTCATATTGGCATTGTTTGTAATTGTTTAGTATTTCAGGTTTTTAATGCATGAAAAATATTTTTTAAAAAAATGGAATCACACAATAGCACCTCCTTGAAACCGCTGCGTTATTCATAGCTCTTTTTCAGCAGGATCTGCATGTCAGAGGGTGTCAGGATCTTCCTAAACCCCCTGCTCAAGTTCAGTCTCCCTAGAATTATATGTCAAACTTCTATCTTTGACTGAAATGGTTCTGGGGTTCTGAGCTTCTTTGGTGCTCCGATGCCTTCCCTGGTCCAGGGCGGGGGCTGGGGTGGGGGGCGGTGATGGCATGGATGGGGTTTGGAGGGCTGGCTGCTGAAGGCAGACTCTCACAGCAGGGACTTTTCTAACTTTTACTGGTGCCATCTCCTCCCCTCAGATCCTGGTGGCTTTGAGACACCTTCACTTCAAGAATATCGTCCACTGTGACTTGAAACCAGAAAACGTGTTGCTGTCATCAGCCGACCCATTTCCTCAGGTCAGAAATGTCCCCTCCTTATTTGGGGAAGTCCATCTAACACTAACAGTGGGTGGGGACTGTGTTAATCAAGATAATTAATCAGCCACAGAGACCCAAGATAATGGCTTAAGTGAGACAGAGGCTTGCTTCTCACTCACGGAGGGACTAGCATAACATTTTGAGGGTGAAAAAGCAGTGCAATGGTGTTGGGACCACAGCTCCTGTTGTCTTGTTGTGGCCTCTCTATGGCGTTGCCTGGTCTTCATGGTCCATGTTGCGCCGCTGCTTCCCCACCTCCTAAATGTAAAAGGATAATGTGGGGGAGGAAAGAAACCGGGTAGAAGAAATAGATGCACCCCTTTCCTTCCCTAAGGTAATACTATGAACTTGCACGGGGCACGCCTCACATTCCATTGGTCAGAACTTGATCACGTGGAACTTCAAAGGCTGCTGGGAAATGTAGTTTTCATTCTGAGCGGCCGTGTGGCGCATTAAAAATCGAGAATTTTTATTAAGGGGAGAAGCAGAGAACAGATATTGGAGCGGAGCAACTGGTAATTTCTTCTGTGGATCTCTTAGGAAAACAGCTTTTTTGGTGTTCTTTGTTTGTTTTTAATATATTTTTTAATTTATTTATTTGGCTGCTCCTGGTCTTAGTTGCCACATGTGGGATCTTCAATCTTCCCTTCCATATGTGAGATCTTTTCTAGTTGCAGCATATGGGATCTAGTTCCCTGACCAGGGATCAAACCCACGCCCCCTGCATTGGGAATGTAGCCTCTTAGCCACTGGCCCACCAGGGAGGTCCCAGGAAAACAATTTTGATGAGCCTCTGACTGGTTGGATGAGAATCCCCTTGAGGCAAAGCCAGATTGAGCAAGGGTGATGATTATAACAGCTAAAGTTGATTGGGTGCCCACTGTGTTTAAGGGCTTTTAGCTACAGGTTCTCATTTAGCCCTTCCACATCCCTGTGAAGTTTTTGCTTCCTTATCTCTCTTGTGTGATTATTTCATTTCATTTTAAAAGTTCATTTTGGTCATCAACTAAAAATTATTGTGTGCCTACTATGTGCCAAGCTGCATGCTGGAGCATTAGGAACTGTAGTAAGTAGAGACAGCCCCATCTCCATGCCCACTGGTTTACAGCTGGGACTAATTTTGCACCCCAGGGGATATTTGACAACATTGGAGACATTTTTGGTTGTCACAAGCTGTTTGAGGGGAAGCATTACTACTGGCATGGAGGGATTGCTAAGCATCCAACAGTGCACAGGATAGCCCCATAATACAAGATTATCTTTCCCTAATGTCAGTAGTGCAGGGTATGAGAAACTGTAACTTACAGCAGTAATATCCACTAGACATATAATGTACTGGGACTTACTTCCCTGGTGGTTCAGTGGCTAAGACTCAGCTCCCAATGCAGGGGGCCTGGATTCAATCCTTGGTCAGGAAACTAGATCCCACATAATGCAACTAATAGTTCATAGGTCACAACCAGAGGTTCCATAGAAATTAAATCTTATAATTTACAATAAATATATAAATTTATAAATAAATATAAATTAATAAAAAAAGAAATATAATGTGAACCCTATTTACAATTTTACATTTTCTAGTAAGCCACATTTTAGAAACTGAAGAGAAACTGGTGAAATTAATTTTGCTAATATACTTTGTTCTAGTATATCTAAATATTACCATTTCAACATAGAATCAGCATAAACATTATTAATGAAATATCCTTTCTTTTCCTACTAAGTCTTCCAAATCTGGTGTGTATTTTACACTTAAAGTAAATCTCAATTTGGGTAATAGATTTCTATGAGAAATACTTGATTTTGCACTTAGATTTCAGAAAGTTAACAGTTGGGAAAGTAGATTGATACACCCAAGTTGTTCCAAGCTTATTTAAAATTTTTCCAATAAAAAAAATCTAGGACCCCTTTTAAAATGTAAATTAATTAAAATTAAATAAAAAATAGTTTCTCGGCTGCACTTGCCACATTCAAGTACTCTGCAGCCACATGTGGCCACCATGCTGGATGGCAAAGCTCATAGAGGGTAGATGAAATATTGGTCAAATTGTCACAAGAACGTAATTATATCTGTGATGAGTTCTGTGGCACAGTTCTACGAGCTCAAACTGTATAGCCCAGTGGAAGGTCAGAGACAATTTATCTGAAGAAACAGTAGGTTTTTTGAGGGGAAGGGACAAGTGTTCTAGTGAGTGGGAGCAGCCTGTGCAAAGGCCCTGTGGTGTACTTAAAAAAAAAAAACCAGTTATATTGAGATATAATGTGCATACTATACAATTTACCACTTTAAAGTATACAATTTAGTGGCTTTTAGGGTATTCAGAGTTGTGCAACCATCACCATGATCAATTTTGGAACATTTTCATAACCACAAAAGAAACCTCATGCTTCTTAGCCAACATCCTCCCCAATCGCACCATCTCCCCACCCACAACAACTAATCTACTTTCTGTGGATTGTCTGTTCTGAGCTTTTCATGTAAATGGAATAAACAAACACTTCTCTGTGTGTGTGTGTGTGTGTGTGTGCTCAGTAACTTCAGCCATGTCCGACTCTTCATGACCCCATGGGCTATAGCCCACCAGGCTCCTCTGTCCCTGGGATTCTCCAGGCAAGAATACTGGAGTGAGTTGCCATGCCCTCCTCCAGGGGATCTTCCTGACTCAGGGATTGAACCTGCATTTCCTGTACTGCAGGCAGATTCTTTACCATCTGAACCACCAGGGAAGCCCATCATACATGGCCATAAAAAGAAATGAACTATTGACACATGTATAACATAAATGAACCTTGAAAACATTGAGAAAAAGAAGCCAGTCACAAAGGATGACATATTATATTATTGTATATTCCATATATTGTGTACTACATGTATACATATATGGAATATACAATAATATAATATTTCATCCTTTGTGACTGGCTTCTTTCCCTTAATGTTTTCAAGGTTCATTTATGTTATAGCATGTGTCAGTGCTTCACTTCTTTTTATGGCCATGTAATATTCCATCATAAGATAGGTAGAAAAGGGTGGATCTTAGAAAAGTAAAAGATTATAAGGTCTGTTAAAAGGGCAAAGGATCCTAGGAAAGGGTGGTATGGCTGTCACATTGAGATTTGGGTCAGGGGTTGGGGTGTTGCTGTTTTTGAAGGCAATAGAGGCTTGGGGCAGTAGTGAACCAGAGAAGTGTTTTGAGTAGGGGAGGGACAGTATATGAATAGAGGTGGCAGCTGCCTATGGACTGGTAGGCAGCAGACAGGACTTGAACCCAGAACTTGCTGGCTCTGAAGCCTATTCATGACCCTCGACTGCCTCCAAAGAGGGCAAGGTAGGTTCACACCTATTTCCATGGATGCCATGGTCAACTATTTACATGCTGAGTGCCCTTTAATCCCCAGGGAAGCCTGATCAGCAGCTGCTGTTAACATCCTCAACCCGGTAGACAAAAACGGGGCTGCGAGAACTTCTGTCCCTCTGCTGTGATCCCTGAGGCTCGCTCTATGCCCGCTGCTGCTTCTATCATTTTTCCACGTATTTACTCTTTCAATTCATACTAATACCCTTTAAGGTAGGGATTGTTAGCATCGCCATGTGCAAAAGAGGAGACAGAGGCAGAAGAAGGTTGAGACCTGTTCGACATGACAGAGGGATAGTAGCAGGGAGCCCTTACGGAGCCCTCTCTGCAGGTCGGGCATTTATTGTCCTGTGAGCTTTAGATGGATGAAGTCCATATAATCCTCACGACTGCCCGTTGAGATAGGCGCTGGTAGGATCTTCCCCCTCCTCGTACAGATGAATAAACGGAGGCCCAGACAGAGGAAGCCCCCTGCCCAGGGTCACCCAGTGAGCAGAGGAGCCTGGATTCGAACCAGCGTTCGATTTTGTCTGGGATTCTGTAGTGGCGGCACGCTAGCACAGATGCGGGAGGCACGACCTCCACACGCCCTGAGACCCTCTATCCCTCGCCTCCGCAGGTGAAGCTGTGCGACTTCGGCTTCGCGCGCATCATCGGCGAGAAGTCGTTCCGGCGCTCGGTGGTGGGCACGCCGGCCTACCTGGCGCCCGAGGTGCTGCTCAACCAGGGCTACAACCGCTCGCTGGACATGTGGTCGGTGGGCGTGATCATGTACGTCAGCCTCAGCGGCACGTTCCCCTTCAACGAGGACGAGGACATCAAAGACCAGATCCAGAATGCTGCCTTCATGTACCCGGCCTGCCCTTGGAGCTGCATCTCGGCCGGAGGTGCGGGGCTCGCTGGACTCCAGGGCGCAGGCGAGGGGCGGGGCCCCGCGGTGGGGGCGTGGTGGGGATAATGGGCGGGGCCGCCCTGAGGAGGCCTGTGGCCGTGAGGGTGGAGCCTAGTGATGCTGTTTAAGGGAGGCTCGGAGACCTGGAACTTTGGGGGAGGGACTCAGCACGTGTATGGAACTAGGGTCCGAAGACTCAGGCCTAGACTAGGTTACGTGAGTTGGAAAGGAAGTGCCCTGGGAACATTAAGACAGTTACCACCTTGGAGGCTATTAATTAATACTTGGTTTGTCTAGGGCGAGGCGGGGAGAACGACTAGACCCGAGAAAGTCAAAGGGCGGGGTGGCTAGGAGAAAGAACAGGTCCTCCCAAGGTGTTGGCTGGAGTCTGAAGTCTTTGGGGTTATGACCCCAAAAGGATTAACCCCGCAGAAGCAGTGGCGCCAGGCGGCAGGGTTGAGGAACAAGGGCATGGCAAATTTGCCAGGTACTGGAGGCTTGACTGGGATGAAGATGGGCCTGGGCCCTGGGATTAGATCCAGTGATGGAGGGAGCTGATTTAGGGGCTTAGCTAGAGAAGGGGCAGGGCTTCCCTGGTTGCTTAGGTGGTAAAGAATTTGCCTCCAATGTGGAAGACTTGGGTTCGATCCCTGGGTTGGGAAGATCCCCTGGAGAAGGGAATAGCAACCCACTCCAGTATTCTCTCCTGGGAAATTCCATGGACAGAGGATCCTGGAAGATGGGCTACAGTCCATGGGGTTACAAAGAGTCAGACATGACTGAGTGACTAACACTTTCACTAAAGGAGTGGCAGGGCCACAGAGGGTTTCTGAAGCTTTCTAAGGGAAGGACTGACCCTGAAACCAAAGTCAGGCCTGGAATCTGGGAGCAGGTGGAGGTTGGGAGAAGCATGGGACTATGGGGGTGGGGGCTAGGGGGCAGGACAGAGGTGGACCTTGGGGTCTCTGCATATAGGGGCTTTGGCATCGTGGCCTGGTAGTGCTGATGGTCTTTGTGATGCTCCTGCTGACTTGGAGACGGGTCTGGGAAATTTAACTCCTGAGGGCCCCCAGCTTTGGGGCAAAGCCAGGTGTCAGGGTGAGCCAAGGGTGAGGCTAAGATACTGGGGTGTGTGAAGATGCCTTAAATGAGTTAGAACAAAGGGCAGGTTCTGAAATCAGAAGCTCAGGAAGACAGAAGTGTGGGAGGGAGGTTAGTTAAAAAGACAAGCATTTGGGAGTTCCCTGGTGGTCTAGTCATTGAGATTCAGTGCTTCCACTGCCATGGCCAGTGTTCAATCCCTGGTCAGGGAACTGAGATTCCAAAAGACACAAGGTGCAGAGAGAAAAATAAACAAAAAAACAAGCTCATCCTTAAGAGTTTCTTCAACAAGTATGTGTTGAGTGTCTACTTCATGCATAGTACTGATTGTCCTAGGTTCTGGGAATACTGGAATCAGTTGGAGAGAAGGGATCATGAAAGAAGGTGGTCCAGTGGTCCATGAAGAGGAGGGGGAGGGGCATAGAGGGTGCGACCTCATGGAGCAGGCAGAGGGGGTTACACAGTGCAGGAAAGGGTGTTGGTGGCCCAAGAAAGATGAGCACCGAGCAGTGAGGAGGTGGGTTGACTTGAGCCCTGGAGCAGTGTAAGGGGTTGTCTTTTGGGACCTGATCCGGAGTCCCTCAGTCAAAGTGTGTCCTCCGGTGTATGTGAGTGAATTTGAGTGTGGATGGGTGTGTGTGAGGGAGCCTGTGAGAACAAGGCCTATACTCAGAGGAGTTTATACAGTGGGGCCTTGTCTTTCAAGGCTCATGATCAAGCAGGGAGCCTTGGACGAGTGCTAGCTTGTCTTGAATGCCTGACACTCACTAATCCTTTTCATAGAGAGCAGGCCTCTGACTCTGGGCTTTCTGCAGGAAACTGGTGACTGATTAGCATCTCATAACATTGTTTTCTTTTCATTTTATTTTTGTGAACATGGCAAGTGATCTTAGGATTTCTATTGACCAGGGTGATAGAAAGTTTCCATTTTATATAATTCTGTATCCTATATTTTATATAAAGTACATATGTATATGATTATATATATAAATATATATATATATATTTGTGTATTTTCACCTTAAAAAGTGAGTTGAAAAAGTGAATTGATTTAAAACCAAATTCTACCTATTTTTCCAAGGGTTATGTACATGGTTCAAATTTTTTCTATGTACAAAAGGGTCTAAAATGAAAATTTTTTCTTTTTTTTCTCTCTTATTATTTTATTTGACATCCTTCCCAAAGGCAGTGTGTATTACAAGTCTATATACTTATCCAAGCAGATATGGGTACATACATTCTCTTATTTCTCCTTTTACACAGATGGCAGCATGCTATACACAATATATATATATATATATATATTTAACCAACTTGCTTTGTCCATATCCCAGCAATCTTGGGTAAATGAGTTGGCTTAAAGAAAAATACTAAGTGAAATATAGTATAAATGTACCTGTACATGCTTGTGTATGACAAAACCAATGAAGGTGACATAGGAATGGGGAAACTGAGGTAGAGACTTGGTGGGAGATGTAGGACCCAACGTGAGGGATGGGGATACATGTGTAGTTTAATGAGGAAATAGGTGGGAGAGTGATTCGTGCAGGTGGGGCTTCTGCACTGAAGGAAGGCCCCCATGACAGGTGAGTAGGGTGGGGTGCCTGTTGAAGGAGGGGCGGCCCCTCACCCCACAGGATTTAAACTGTCTCTCTCCTTCCGGTGCAGCCATCGACCTCATCAACAACCTGCTGCAGGTGAAGATGCGCAAGCGCTACAGCGTGGACAAGTCTCTCAGTCACCCATGGTTACAGGTGATTCAGGGGCGGGGCTGAGAGCCAAGTGGGAATGGCTGAGTCATTCGTTGGGCTAGAGGAAGGCGTGGAACCACATCTCTTATTGGATACTAAGGTAGTTTAGGTTATAGGTACTTTCCCGCTGAACTAGGAATGTGGCTGAGCCTCCCATTGGCTGGGCTGTAGAAGGAAGTGGAGCTAATTGGCTAGGTAGGTTGTGAAGGGTGTGGCTTCACCGTCCTTGGTATCCGGCTTCTCACTGGTAGGCAGATCCCATGGGGGCGATGCTCCGGCAGCTATTGGCTGCCCTTGAGCAACACCGAAACTAATCTTTGTTCTCCCCGGCCCAGGAGTACCAGACGTGGCTGGACCTCCGGGAACTGGAAGGGAAGATGGGCGAGCGGTACATCACGCACGAGAGTGACGATGCGCGCTGGGAGCAGTTTTTGGCAGAGCACCCACTACCCGGGCCGGGGCTGCCAGCCGACCGGGTGCTTCGTGGGACCCTCCCACCCCCGGACCACGAGATGCAGGGGCTGGCCGAGCGCATCAGTGTCCTCTGAGGTCTCGGGCTCCCACTCTGGCTGCCTCGTGATGCTGTCCTTGCGTGCTTGGAGAGCGGCGCTTCACACCTTACCAGTGATGGAACTGTTCTGAGGAAAGCAGTTTCCTGCCCAACTTGGACACGCCCCCGGGGGAGGGGCAGGGGCCGGGGTTATTTCCAAAGTTAATTCCCCAGCAATTAAAATGGACTCATCTCTGGCCCTATGGCCTTGGTCTTTGGCCACACCGCACTCTCGTATTATTGAGTCTGTTGCTCACCAAGATGGAGTTCATCTGGAAAAATGATGGGATGGAGGAGGAGTGGAGGGAGGGGCACTGAAGGGAGAGGAGTTTTGGAAGGAGAACTAACGGATAAAAAAATATACAGAGGGAGCACTGCCAGGAGGGAAGACTAGAAAGGGAAACAGTGTGAAAGCATAAAGAGGAGAGGGAAGATTAATGGAGGAGAAATAGAAGGAATATGATCGGAGGGGTGAAGGATTTAGAAAAGCTCAAGTAATCTCATGGCTTAATGGTTTAATTTTTTAATTTGGTGTTATTGCTACTAACTGCACACCTGATCTATGGTAGAAAGTCGATACACAGTAGTTGGTATTTTCTTATAAGTTGATATAATGACTTCTCTCATTCGCTGGCTCATCCATTTGTCACACTGTGTGGGGTGATGCTGGGGACATGGTGGTGATCAAGCCAGCCCAGGTCCTGCCTTCAGGGGCTTCACCATCCAGTGGGGGAGACAGGCTTGTTCCTGACTAGTGAGGACCCAGAGTGGGGAGGGCTGGAATGGGAGAGCCCAAGAGGGTGGGGCAGCCTAGCATGAGCCTGGGTGTCTTTGGGGGCAGTTCTTCTAAGCTGACTTCTTGCAGTTCACCTTCACCCAGAAGGTTGTAGGCAGAGAGAACCTCTGTCCTTTGACCCCTGTCCTCCACTGCCCTAGCTCCCCATTATCACCCAGACTTTTGGCCTAGAGCTGAAGGCAAACGATCAGAGCATGCGCTTAGCCAAGCTCTCTATACACCTTGGTCACGCTCGAAGTTACACACCGTAGTTAAAGATTTTCCTGAGCCCCATATAACCAGGATAGTATTCAGCAGCCAACTTAAAACTGCCTGCAATGCCGGAAATGTGGGTTTGATCCCTGGGTCGGGAAGATCCTCTGGAGGAGGAAATTGCAACCCACTCCAGTATTCTTGCCTGGGAAATCCCATGGACAGAAGATCCTAGTGGGCTATAGTCCATGGGGTCACAAAAGAGACACGACTCAGCAACAAAACAAAACTTTAGGCTAGTACCTAGAGCTTAGGCTCCATGTCTTCCCAATTTATATCAATTAGCCCATCTGCTGGTCAGTTGGGGAGTTGCAGCTCTTTAATTTGAAAAGGTTGAATGAACCCTAGTCAATGAGGATCTCCAAACAAACCCGAACACCTCCGAGGCATATTCCAAGCCCACACGTATGGGGCATGTCTCTTAGACCCAATCCTGAATGTTTCTCCTAAAACTGACTGGTCTAAAATCCAGAAGGGTAGACAACAGAGGGCCAAATCCATCTGCAGTGATAGAGCAGGCTAGGAGATGGATGAAAAGACTACTCAGGCCTGATCCTTGATAATCACACTGCTTCTATCCTGGCCACGACTTTTGTCAACATCCTGAGGTCAGAAATTAGATGATCAAAAAAATCATGTTAGCTTGATTACAGAACTCCAAGAGAGTCCAACATGAGGATGAAAAAAAAAATCCACACAATCCAATTTAAGGTCCTGCTACTTAAGCACCTGGAGATAAATAGGTAAAAAGCCATCCTATTGGCCCATCAGAAACCACTAAGCCTAATCTTAAGAGAGACACCTACAGGTACTATAAAGAAAAGGGACGTTGGACTTGAGCCTGTCCAGCTTTAAAATACAAAAAAGGAATTTGAAGGACTTCCTTGGTGGTCCAGTGGCTAAGACTCTGTGCTCCCAATGCAGGGGGCCTGAGTACCATCCCTGATCAGGGAACTAGATCCCATATGCTACAACTAAGACCTGATGCAGCCAAATAAATATTTAAATAAATAAATAAAAGGAATTTGAACCTGGGATTCATTCTCCCTGGTGACTTCCAGCAGACCTTCTCCTCTGCATCCATAAACACCCCTCAACTCACAGAGGCAAATGACCATCCCCATTAATGGGCATGCTACCCCCAGCTTTGTAGATACAGGGGCCACCCCACCCCTTAAGTATCTCATAGTCCATTCACCTCTCAACTGCCCTCAGGGCCCAGCAATGATTTTGATGAGATGCCACAATTAGCTACATTGTTTAATTTTTTTTTTTTTTTTGCTTTATCACGTGGCATGTGAGATCTTAGTTCTCCATGGGTGTCTGTGTGCATGGGTGCCCAGTTGCTCAGTGGTGTCTGATTGTTTGAGACCCCGTGGACCACAGCCTACGAGGCTCCTCTGTCCGTGGGATTATCCTGGCAAGAATACTAGACTCGGTTGCCATGCCCTCCTTCCATACTCCCTTTCAAGACCCTTCCCAGCTCAGAGCTCCATCTGCACAGGAAGCTCCCCCTACCCTATCATCTATAGATCAGGAGTCATGTGCAGTATGTTCATTCCCAGGAACTCTGCAGATATCATCATCACCACCATCCAAAGGCCAACAAGGAAATCCACAAAATTTCTACCACTCTTCTGACTCCACCTACTAAGGATCTCTCTTCATCTCCTACTTGGAACCCTCTCAGCTGGCTGCACTCTTGTCTCAAGTCTTTGGTTTTACTCCCTAATTGGATCATGAGCAATTCTCTTTTTATTTATCTTCCTAGGAATACTTATCCTCAAATGAAATGGCTGGTGACCAGAACCCTAAGTCAGCTCCAGATCCAACATGTTACACAGAAAATGGTTCCACTGGTCTTGCACAAACAGCAGGGATGAAAACCAATCCTGACATCACCCCACACACTTACTGCCAAGAAAATCTTGTCTGAGAGCGAGCTTTCCATATCCCCTTTCATCAACCTGATCATCTCCCCACTGTTGGTAAATTAATGTAACTTAAGGAAATGGCAACCCACTCCAGCATTCTTGCCTGGGAAATTCCACAGAGAGAGGAGCCTGGTGGGTTACAATCCATGGGGTTGCAAAGAGTCAAACATGACTTAGTGACTGAACAACAACAATAAATGACAGTCTACATCTGTCTTAAACAAGAGGAGGATTGAATAAAGTTTATCTATACTAAAATCCAGACTCATTTTTTTTCTCCATAGGACTCACAAGATTATTTTTAACTTATTTATCAGACCCTTCCGTGGCTCTTTATAATGGAAGTGCGCCAAGCACTTGACAAACATCTCCCTTAATCCTCATAACAACTCAATGCAGTAGACAGTATTACAGCCCTGATTAGACAGCTAAGGAAAGTGGGGCACAGAGAGGGCAAGCATGTTTTCCAAGGTCACACAGCTAGAACGTGGCAGAGCTAGGGCTCACCCCAGGCAGTCTGGTTCTGGAGTCTTTGCTCGCAATCTCTAACTTTGTCTCTCCAGTCCAGGACCAGAAGTTAACCTGGGATCATTAAAGGAGGGAGGATCTTGCACGATCTTCTGGGTCCTGGTTTTTAGGGAGTCAAAGTTTGTCTGAGAAATGGGTATAAATTTTGGAGCTAGATCTTGAAGGTAGTAGGGACGCACACTCAGCGTAGTGACCCAGGCTGGCCGCCTGAGGGGGCACCAGCCCTGTTCAAGGAGCCAGGGGAAGGAGGAGGGAACCTTGCAAACGAATGTCAGGCTCAGACTCTTATGAACTGTAGAGCGTTGAGAACAGAGCATCTTAGAAGGGGGAGAACAAAGCCTCTTAGAACGTAGTACAAAGGCCCCTGGAATCGTTGAATGGTGAGCGCAAAGCCTCACAGCATCTGGGAGATAAAAGACACTTAGATTCTGTTCGGCCCAGGGTCTTATAATTCCCGAATTGGAACATGACCGATCTTAGACTCTAGACGTTAGAACTGGCTACCGAATTTGAAAGGCCTAGTACAAAATGAAAATGCAAGGCCCTTTTTCAAAAAATAAGAATTTCAAGACAGTAACAGCAGAGTATTAAACCAAACTCGGGGCCCTCCTAAGCGGGTCATATGCCCGTGAAGCTGGCCTCGCTAGAAGCACAATTTTATGGGTGGATGTCGTCTCAGTTGGCCTGGCCCTCTCGTATTACAGCTGAATATCTGGGAAGGCTTCCTGGAAGAGGAGGCAAAATCAGCACTGGACTCTCAAATCCTTTCCTCCCCGTGCGCCGCTTCAGAAGCTGAAGGTTAAGAGAGGTGGGGAGAGAGGAGCAGCTGCCAAAATGTCACATGGACCCATTCTCTATTTATAGATCACCCCCGCCCTTCTCGCGGGACAGTCCAATGGCAGCCAGAGCTCTCCCGCAAGGGGGCGGAACCAGTTGCGGGATGGGAGAGACTAGGACCAATGACATCCGGGCAAGGGAGGACTTGTTTCATTGTGACGCGTGGGGGCGTGGCCATGGCCAAAAGGGCGGTGAGAAGGGGGGCGTGGCGAGGAGGGCCGTAAGCCGATCGAGTAGGCAGCTGCGAGCATGCGTCCCTTTGGAGGGTGCACAGCAGAGCATCTTCGTAAGGAAGGGTACCAGCCAATAAGCCGGGGTTGCTCTGTCGCCGGGGGCGTGGCCATGCAGATAAGGCGCGGGTGGGCGGCCCAATGGGCGGGCGCCTATGCAGATGAGACGGTGACAGCCGGGCCAGCGGGCGGGCTGGCAGGCGGGCTGTTGGGGCGGGGAGGTGGGACCGGGAGAGGGGTGGCCGCGGGGCCCGGCCGGTCTGGGGCGGGGGGCCGCAGCCATGATCCGGGCCTTCTCGTTCCCGGTGAGCCCCGAGCGGGGTCGGCTGCGGGGCTGGCTAGAGGGCAGCCTGGCCGGGCTCTGCGAGTTACACTGGCTCCGGGAGAGGCAGGAGTACCGCGTGCAGCAGGCGCTGCGGCTGGCCCAGCCCGGAATGGGGGGCGCCGAGGCCGAGGACGAGGAGGACGCCGACGAGGACGAAGATGCGGCGGCGGCGCGCCGGGCCGCAGCGGCCCTGGAAGAACAGCTGGTGAGGGGCCACCTGTCCTTCCGTTCCTGTGCCCTCGTCTGTGTCTGTCTGTCTGTCTCGGTTGGATGCTCAGACACCCGTCCGGGTGGGGGAGGGAGGAGGGGAAAAGAAGAGGGGGGTGGGGCTGGAGAGTCTGGGCGGCGGGCGGGATCAGGCCTCCCCGCCCCCAAACTGAGAAAGGGGGCTGCATCGCCTCTGCCGGACCCTCGTGTGATGCACAGGGCCGCATTTCCTACACCCCTTCCCCAAGGAAAATCCATCTGGGCGCCAAGTACGTGTCAAGCCCGGGCTGAGTATTTGGCAGGCGTTGTCTTCTTGCAGCTTGGGGAATAAGGGGATGATAGTACCCATTTCATAGAGGAAAAAACCTGAGACTCAGAGAAGGCAAACGACTCACCCAAGGTCACACAGCCGGATCCAAACATGACCCTCTCCTGGTCTCCCTATCAGCGCCCCCCCCCCCCCCCACGTCTTCCCTAAGTCCTGGTGCGCTTGGAGATCTACGGAGGGGGCTGGGAGGGGGGAGGGGATCCTCGAGCCTCCTGAGGGAGGGATTGCTGCCTTGAGGAAGTTCAGTCCCTTAGGATCCCACGGTGATCTCGCCTCTCTGGTGACACTTTCCCTCCTTTGCTACCTGGTCACAGCCCTGCTTAACCCAAGTGGTGACAAATTGAAGCAGCATGGGAGTCTGACTTCTAGACACCCTGGGTGCTTGGTGGAAGATGAGGCAAGGTGTCCAGAATGACTTAGGGAGCATCACCCCTCTCTGCCTCTCTTTGTTATTCCTTAATTCTCCTGGGTTTCTTGCACTCTCTTCCCTCCTGACACATCTCTGTGACTTTCTGTGCCTGTCTGTCTGCCTTCTCAGTCCTCTGTCTCTCTGTCTCCCTTGGTCTTCCTTTCTTGCATTTCTTCCTGCCCCACATCCCTGTCTCTCTCTTCCCCTCCCCCCAGCCTGCCAGGCCCGAGACCCCAGCTCCACTTGCTGATCCCATCCCCAAGCCTGTGTGTGGTCAGAGCTTCCCGTTTGGGGAAACCTGAGCCGAGGTAGCAGGGGGAGGGGGCTCTCCCTGCTATTGACCTCGACTGCCCCCTCCTCGGATGGGGAATGGCGGGAAGGTGGGGGTAAAGTGAAGCCAGACTCTGGGGCAGGACGGCCAGCCCCTCCCCCCAGCCCCCCACCCCGCCCCCCGTCAGGAGAGGGACCCTGCACATTCTTCTGTGGAAACAGAAACAGCTGTGGGAGGCCCCACCCCCTCCCAAAGTTAGAGCCGCGCATTGTGGGGGCCCTCACCAGCTCACCCCACCCTAAGCTGGCTGGGCTTGGGAAGGCACCTCCCATCCCTCCAAAGAGAGGCAGAAGGCATGGGGATGGGCCAGCTGTGTCCTGCCTCCCTGCCCCTCATCCTCTCCCTCTCTGCCTCAGTCTCCCCCTTTTCTGCCCCTCTGTCTACTCCCACCCATCAGTACTCCCCCCCTACCCCCACCCCCAACAATCTCCAAGCAGAGCTCCGTCCCTGCATCAGGGAGGAGGCGGTGGCAGGCAACGGGAGGGAGACAGCGCCACTGAGGGAGGAGCAGAGAAGCGCTAAATATAAACTCCTCTGGTGTTGGGGGTTCCTGGGTCCTTCCAAAGAGGGGGTGGGGGCCTCCTCTGATCCCTGAACCTCTGTTGTGTGATGCTCACCCCTTCGACTCCTCCACCCCACCACTCAGGGATACACTCCCTTTGAAACAAGAATTGATTGAGGCCAGAATTGATTCATTTCTAGTAGGAAAGATAGGGATGCAGGGAAAGATTAGGGGGAACCTCAGAGAAAAGAGGCAAGAATCCTGAATGGGGCAGGAGTGCTGTTCTCTCCCGCCAAGGAAAATGGTCCCCTTCCAGCAAGAAGGACTCAAGTTAGACTTGCAGAAGGACTTCCTAACAGAGATCAAGGGAATTGGACACAGACCAGGGACATGTGAATGGGGGCAATAAAGGTCTGGGAAAGTTTGGGCAAAGGGGTCTCCAGAGGTCCAAACCACATTCATCTTAAACCTGCCTGAAGTGGGCAGCCTCAGGCCCACTTGCAAATGGGCTTGCAAAAAAAAAAAAAAACCAAAAAGCCATAAGGGGCACTGTGAATAGGCAGAGAGCCAGATTCAGGCCAAGGACCTTCTGGTCTTTTAAAGATTCATCTCCTTGCAGCTGGGAGGATGAAGAAATGAGGTCAGACTTGCAAATAGGGGGGTGTTGTAGGGTCCAGGCACTGGGGAGGAAGAGGCCTCTGCTATTTATCTTCCTTACTCCTGCTCTTCCCTGAAGTGGAAGAACTGAAATTGGACCTGCAGAACTTACTGGGGAAAAAAATCTTTTTTCATTTATTTCTAATTACACCAGTAAAGCATGATTTTATATTTTCCCTGTTAGAAATTCATGGCTTTCATGTAATAATAAAAGTCAGTATTTATTTAGTGCTTAAAAGGAACTGCTGTTTAAATTTGTTTAATCCTTACAAAAACCCTATTGGAATCAAAAGATGCCCATGTTACAGACGAGGAAACTGAGCCCCAGAAACCAGCTCAAGGTCATACAGCTGGCAAGTGGCTGTGAGTTGAACTTGAACCCTGGCAATTCGGCTCCCAGCTGTGCCTCCATAAACACTTCATCCTACCATCCAGTCCCCTCATCCCTCCCTTGACTCCCTAAAATCCACCCTCTTGCCTGTGATCATCATTGTCACCCTGGTGTGAATTCTGCATCTATGTACAAAAACAACCTACATTCCAAAATATGTAGAGTTTGCTTTGCTTTTTTCAAATTCCAGTTTCTTGGGTGAGGTATCAGAGACTATAGCAGTAGTTCTTAAAGTGTGGCCTGATGGACTAGTAGCATCACCCAGGAACTTGTTAGAAATTCAATTTCTTAGGCTTCTGCCTGGAATCAGAAGCTATGGGGGGTCAGACCCAGTAACTTAGCTTTTAACACAACCCCCAGGTAGTAGTTCTGACTCATCATTATACTATACATTCTGCTTTTGTAATTTTTTTGACTGTGCTAGCTCTGCGTTATGGCACTTGGGCTGTGTGTTGCAATGCACAGGCTTCTCTAGCTGTGGAGTGTGGGCTTAGTTGCCTCGGGGCATTTGGCATCTTAGTTCCCCAACTAGGGATCAAACCCACGTCTCCTGCCTGGTGGATCTTAACCACTGGACCACCAGGGAAGTCCCTCTGCATTTTCCTTTTTTCACTCCACAATAGGTCTTGATGATGGTTCTATTATATAGAAATCGCCTCATTCCATTTTAACAGCTGTATAGTATTCTGCTGTATTCATTCATTCCTTTTCCAAACATTTCCTGGGTACCTACTTTGAGCCAGGAACTGTCATAGGCACTGGGACTGGGTTGGGGGGCTGGTGACAGGGACGGCGCAGCAGTATACAGAACAGACCCAAATCTCTGCTCTTCTGGGGCTGGGACTGACGATCTGGTGAGAAAGACAATGAACAAATGACAGCCTGATACATCATTTTAAGTCAGGAGGTCATTGCTGCTCTGTTGGGGGTGGGGGTGGGGGGAAAAAGCAGAGCAACCCAGGTGCAGAACGATGGGGAGTTATTTTGGAAAGAGTGATCAGAGAAGGGAACATGTTAGGCATCTGAATGAAGCAAGGGAGGGAGCCAGGAGAGCGTGCTGGGGAAACACATCCTACTGAGTTAGGAGCATGCCTGGTATGTTCAGGGAACAGTCAGGAGGCCAGTGTGGCTACAGCGGAGAGAGCAAGGACATGATTAGTGTGGGACAGGATGTGGGATTATAGGGGTGGTCCTTGATGTGTTTTAGCCATCCCTGACACTGCATCATGCATCTGCATCCCTGGAATCTGCTCAAGGATGACACCACTCTGAGCATCTCTGTCCACTGAGCTCAAAGTGAAAAGATCTGTTGACTTTCCTCCCAGATACAAGCCCAGATGGGGGCTTCTCTTCTGGGGGGGAGGGGTAAGGACCAGGGCCCAGGAGAGCAGCCACAGGAATAGGAAGTTGGAGGGGGGGTTGTCTGCGGGGGAGCCGGCCAGTCTTTCTGCCCTAAATAGGCAAGCCTGGGCGGCTGCCCTCTCAGCCCCTCCTCCCCCCTTCCCTCCCTCCCGCTGCCCGCCTGCCGTCCAGACAAGCCGCTTTTGTCTGAGGGTCAACCGTCAGCCCGAGGCTGCCCCCACCTCTGGCCTCACCCAGATCCCTGCGAGACTCTTCCTGGCTCCAGTCCTGTTTTTCAAAAGCGGGTTAAGTCCTAGTGTCTTGGAGACCCCATGTGTGTTGTTTCAGCCCCTGCCCCCACCGTGTCCCAGTCACTCCCCTTAAAGGGTTTCACCTTCATTTATTCACATCTGATAGGAGGCGGTCTTTTCCTGCAGCACAAAGGATCCAGGGTAGACTCCATCGACATTTCCCATGGGGATGAGGTGCTGTGACAGACACTAGGGCTTCTAGGTGAGGATGGAGCTAAGGCAGGAGGAGGAGAGGTCCCTGCTGGAGGCAATGGAACCCCCTGGGGTTTGCTATGGTAGTTCCACTAAGGCTAGATTCACAGAAGGGCTTTCCAGTAAGCATTTGTTGTTGATCAGTCGCTAAATCATGTCAGACTCTTTGCGACCCCATGGACTGTAGTCCACCAGGCTCCTCTGTCCATGGGATTTCCCAGGCAAGAATACTGGGGTGGGTTGCCATGCCCTCCCTCAGGGAATCTTCCCAACCCAGGGATCGAACCTGCGTCTCCTGAATTTCCTGCATTGGCAGGTGGATTCTTTACCACTGAGCCATCAGGGAAGCCCTCCAGTAGACATGAGGGGATTCTTTCTGAGGGGTGCAAAGATTTATATAAATTGTGGTCAGCCTGTTTTACCCAAATGAGGGACAGAGCCAGCCTGCAGCAAGAAAAACTTAAGGAAGACTTGCAGAAGGACTTTTCATTGGTGATAAGGGGCACTGGGGGGACTTCCCTGGCGGTCCAGTGGCTAGGACTCTGAACACTCCCAATGCGGGGGCGGGGGGGGGGCGGGTTAGATCCCTGATCAGCGAGTTAGATCCCACCTGCTGCAACTACAACCTGGAGCAGCCAAGTAAATAAATAAATAAATATTAAAAAAGGGGGGCCATGAGGGGAGGTGGAAGCATCTGAGAAGAGAGAGTAAAAGTCTGGGGGAAGGCAGATGAATGAATGGCTGAGAGATCTGCTGGGTCCTGAACACTAACTTCTAGCAGTGACCTGCCTTTACAGCAGGAAGACCTGAAGTTATGCTCAAAGAGCATTCTAATAGGGGTTAAGGAGCCATGAGCTCCAGATGGAGGGAACAGCTGGTAGAGAAGGGACAAGAGATGGGGCCTTCGGAAGCCTTATCACTCACACTTAAGAGGGAATGAGGTGACTGCAGCATGAGGGACTGGAGTTAGATGACCAGGAGGACTTTCTAATGGGTTGAAGAGACAGAAATATTGAAAGGAATCCTGGAAGTTGGGTACTGCTTTTACCTTTTTGAAATCAAGCCTCACTGTCAAAGTGAAACTCTGCCCATGAGCTGCTAGAATAGAAGACCAGTTGACAGAGGACTGGGGGCTCTTCTGATCATCTTGCTCTCCCTACCTCCTTAGGAGGCCTTGCCTGGGCTCATCTGGGACCTGGGCCAGCAGCTGGGAGACCTGAGCCTGGAGTCTGGGGGCTTGGAACAGGAGAGTGGACGCAGCTCGGGTAAGCATGGGTAGAGGTAGTGTGGTCTGCCTGGGCCCCCCCACCCCACTGTCTCCTGTTTCTCAGGCTCCTCACTCTGCCTCTTGATCTCCTCCCCTCCACCCCATGTCCGCCTTTCAGGCCCCCCTGATTGTTTTCTCCCCTTCTCTTTGAAATCTAGGCTTCTATGAAGACCCCAGCTCCACGGGAGGCCCGGACTCACCACCCTCGACTTTCTGTGGGGACAGTGGCTTCTCTGGCTCTGGCTCCTATGGACGCCTGGGTCCCGCTGAACCCCGGGGCATCTATGCCAGCGAGAGGCCCAAGTCCCTAGGTAAGGTGGGTGGGGTTGGGCCCCAAGAGCTAGGCTTTTGATCACAAGCATCTGAGTCAGATCAACCTGGATTTGAAGTCTGGCTGTAACTGTCCCTTTCTGTGTGATTTTGAGCACATTCCTTCTTTCTGGGCGTTATTTCTCCATCCATTAAAATGGGATTCATAACAGCATCTACTTCACAGGGAAGTTTTGACTATTCAGTGAGCCTCTGCCCAAAGACATTGGAACATGGCACATGGTAGCCATTCAGTAAATCGCTGCTATTCATTTGTTCAATTACCTTTCTTTCTGAGTCCCTACTATGTGCCTTCCTGGCACATATCATAGGGGTGAGGAATAGAGCAGTAAAGAAATCACTGTCTTCATGAAACTGACATTCTAGTGAAAGAAATAGATAATATACAAGATAAATAAGTAAAACATCTAAGATATTAGATTTTTATTTATTTATTTAATAAGCTCCGTGGTGGTTCAGACAGTAAAGAATCCACCTGCAATGCAGGAGGCACGGGTTTGATCCCTGGGTCGGGAAGATCCCCTGGAGAAGGAAATGGCAATCCACTCCAGTATTCTTGCCAGGGAAATCCCATGGACCGAGGAGCCTGGCGGGCTACAGTCCATAGGGTCACAAAGAATCTCACGTGACTGAATGACTTTCACTTTTCATTTATTTAATGGTCAAGTCCCATGTTAAGATCTTAGTTCCCCGATCAGGGACTGAACCCATGCCCCCTGCATTGGAAGCACGGAGTCTTAACCCCTGGACCACCAGGGAAGTCCCTAGGATAGTAGATATTGACATGTACCATGAAAATAAAACTATGGAAGGGGATGAGAGCATGTCTCTGGGAGCCGGGAAGGGAACTGCAACTGTAGAAAATATGGCCAGAGACGGCGTCACTGAGGCTGTGACGTTGGAGTGGCGCCCTAAAGTAAGAGCGGGAGTGGGTCAAGCAGACATCCTGAGGGAAGGGTAGTTTAGGGAGCAGGAGCAGCCAATACAGAGACTGGCCCCGTGCATCCAGGAGTTGGAGGTCAGACACGCAGAGGCAGGACGGACCATGCAAGGCCTTGGAGGCCGCTGTGAAGACTTCGTTATGAACCTGATGTGTGGAAAGGGGTGAGAGCAGGTGCTTCGTTGTTACTGTTGTTTCTAATGGGAGTGGGAGAGTAGGGCAGGCGGCAGGCAAACTGCTCCTCCTAGGCTCATAGGGAAAGGGCTTTGAGAGCTTCTCCTCTCTCTTCCTTTTTTGCCTCCCTCCCCTAGGAGACGCCAGTCCCAGCGCACCCGAGCCAGTGGGCGCTAGGGCAGCCGTGCCGCGGTCCTTCTCGGCGCCCTATCCGACGGCTGCGGGGTCTGCGGGCCCGGAGGCCTGCTCCTCCGCGGAGCGACGAGCCCGCGCGGGGCCCTTCCTGACGCCCAGCCCCCTGCACGCCGTGGCGCTGCGCAGCCCACGGCCCTGCGGCCGCCCTCCCCCGGACTCGCCCGAAGCCGCGGGCGCGGGGCGGCCCCTGGACGGCTACATCTCGGCGCTCTTGCGCAGTTGGGCCTCGCCGTGGGAGGCGGAGGCGACCCCCGAGCCCGTGGCCCCGCCCGCTGCCCCCTCGCCCCCCGACAGCCCGGCGGAGGGCCGCCTGGTCCTCGCCGTGGGAGGCGGAGGCGACCCCCGAGCCCGTGGCCCCGCCCGCTGCCCCCTCGCCCCCCGACAGCCCGGCGGAGGGCCGCCTGGTGAAGGCACAGTACATCCCGGGCGCGCAGGCCGCCACCCGCGGCCTCCCTGGCCGCGCGGCGCGCCGTAAAGCGCCCCCTCTGACACGGGGCCGCAGCGTGGAGCAGTCCCCACCCCGGGAGCGTCCCCGGGCCGCGGGCCGCCGCGGACGCATGACCGAGGCCTCGGGCCGCCGGGGCTCGCCCAGGGCTCGCAAGGCCGCGCGCTCCCAGTCCGAGACCAGCCTTTTGGGCCGCGCCGCCGCAGTTCCTCCAGGTCCCCCCAAGTACCCCACAGCCGAAAGGGAAGAGCCTCGGCCGCCACGGCCTCGCCGTGGTCCAGCACCCACTCTCGCGGCTCAGGCCGCCGGGTCCTGCCGCCGCTGGCGCTCCACGGCCGAGATCGACGCTGCCGATGGGCGCCGAGGCCGGCCCCGCGGCCCCGCCGCCCGAGGCCCGGGTCCTGGCCCATCCCCGTCAGCTCCTCAGCGCCGTCTGCTCTACGGCTGCGCGGGCAGCGACTCGGAGTGTTCGGCCGGGCGCCTGGGGCCCTTGGGGCGCCGGGGCCCGGCAAGCGGCGTTGGCGGAGGCGGCTACGGGGAGAGTGAATCGAGCGCCAGCGAGGGCGAGTCGCCTGCCTTCAGCTCCGCATCCAGCGACTCCGATGGCAGCGGTGGCCTCGTGTGGCCGCAGCAGCTGGTGGCAGCCACCGCAGCCTCCGGGCCAGGGGCTGGTGCGGGTGGAGGGGCGCCTGCGGGCCCCGCCAAAGTCTTTGTGAAGATCAAGGCTTCCCACGCGCTCAAGAAGAAGATCCTGCGTTTCCGTTCGGGTTCTCTCAAGGTCATGACTACAGTGTGAGTTTAGAGGTTTGCTTGGGATCCCCCTACATGGCCTCTGCACCACTACACCCCCCAATCACTGACCCTTCTACACCTCCTTTCCAAAGACCACCATTCTCTCTGCTTCCAAAGACCCTTCCTCACTGCCCCATTCATTGCAGTCTGGGTTGAAAAGGCTCCTCCTCCACCACAGGGAGGAATTGGGGAGGAGCCCTGTTTGACCCAGATGAGCTGCGGACTCTGCAGCCCTTGGGCTAGAAAGTTCCCTTTCTGTGGGCCTCACTTTCTTCATCTGTACTATGTCTGTACTATGGTATACAGAAGGGGTAATTCAGTTTGAATTTCCCCATTTTAGTTTAGACAGTTAGTCCGTTTTTTCTTCTTCGTTTCTCTCACTGAGCCCTCTTATTCCTAGTTTCCATGCCCAGTTATGGCCCCCGTTCACATTCACAAAGTGCCCCCCTCCACGTCCTTGAACCCTTAGGATATCCCCTTAGCACCCTGGTCAGAGACTCTGTGGCTGACCCAGAGGGTGCTTGCAGAGTGCCCTGGAAAGGGAAGGAGCACTGACTTTGGGGTTTTGAGGGTCAAGTAGGAGTTGGTGACACCAGGAAAGAAAGACTCTTTCACCTCCCTCCCTGGACAGATATGAAGGATTGGGAGGTAGAAGAGTGGAAGGAAGATGGCTTCTATCTCGTGGCACCCCCTGTGAGAGGGAGTGGGGGAAGCCCAGGATGACCCTCAGTTGTTCCAATCCAGTATTTTTTTCTTTTTTTTTTTTTAAATTACTGTATTTATTATGACGATGGTGACTCCCCAGTGCACAGGGGGGCCAGAATCTGTGTGTTTCTTTAACCTCTTTGTAAATAAATGCACAGTGTTACATATGTGGTGGTGGACTTTCCTTCTGTGGTTAAATGGACTTTTCCTTTGGACTACTATTTATTGAGCAACTACTGTTTGCTTTGGGTATGGTAATGTCAGAACCAGATGTTAAATCCTAGCCTAGGTCTCAATAGCATTTTTTTTTTACCACTGAATATTTTATATCAATGAATCTAACCTTAGGTTGAGTTTTGTTTGGTCATAAATATGGTTTCATAAAATGGAAATAATACAGAAATAAAAAACAAAATGTTTAGAAATGGAAATAATATAGGTAAAAGTGACAGCCCCAAATGCCTTCTCTCAGAAGTCATCATAATCAGTTTGATGTGCATCCTTGTATGTTTTCCTTTATGTGTTTGCATACATGTATGAATCCTAGTAGCTATATAAATATATGAGACTATACATATGCATGAAGTGAAGTGAAAGTCGCTCAGTAAAGTCTAACTCTTTGCGAACCCATGGATGTATAGTCCATGCAATTCTCCAGGTCAGAATACTGGAGTGGGTAGATCCCCTTCTCCAGGGGACCTTCCCAACCCAGGGGTCGAACCCAGGTCTCCCTCATTGCAGGCAGCTTCTTCACCAGCTGAACCACCAGGGATGTCCATATATATTAATATACATATAGTTATACTCTGTCCAGCTAAAACTATTTACATAAGTTGAGCCATATGTATACACTGTCTAACAATTTTTTAATCTGTGCCTGGAGATTTCTATATGGGAAGGGTTTTAATTAGTTGAATTTCTTTGAGGGGTTAGTACTATTTATTAGCTTTTCTGTTTATTTGTTTATGCTTTTCTATTTCTTCATATGTCAGTTTTACTAAGTTGTATTCTAGGTGTTTTTTCATCTCATCTAAATTTAGGTGACGTATTTTCCTATCACTGTAGTAGCTGCATATGATTCCAATGGGGTTGGGGTTACCCATGATCTAACCTTATTGTCAGCTCCTCAATTCTTTCTATTTTAGACTTTAAGAGCCGCCTTAGTGCAGTAGGCAGTGCGTCAGTCTCATATTTTAGACTTTAGTGCAATTGTTTCTTTGTATATGCCTCTTTGTGCATATACATATTTCTGTAGGATCCTAGAAATAGACTCACTTGGTCATTACAGTACAATCATTTGAAATTATAAAAAATTAAAAATTAAAAAAAATTGTAATTGACATAGTCACAATTCCTTCCACTGAGACTACCCTCAGTTGACATTTCCAACAGTAATTTCCGAGAGGCCCATTTTTTTTCACCCCTTCACCAAACAAGAGATGCTATTAATCATTTTCATTTTGCCAATCTAGGGGAAAAAATGTTTTCATTTTAATTAGCATGTCTCCCTACTTTCATACAACACATTTTGTATGCTTGTTGACCCACTTGTAATTCTCTGAATTGCCTGTTCACACCTTTTGCCCATTTTTCTTTTGGATAAGCCCAATAATTGTACTAACTGCATGGATGGGTAAATAGAGACTCAGAGAGGGGCTATTACCCTGGTCACAAAGCAAGAGGGAGCCAGGACTAGGATCCAATCTCCACCTGACTCCACAGTCTGAAGAATGGGTATTTGTTGCTGCTTTGACCTTTGTAACTACATGGGCAACACGGGTGTGTCCACCTCTCTGTCCCTTTGACTTCTGAGAGAGTAAGGTCTACTGTACTCACCTGTATGTCCAGGGCCCACTAAGGCAATCTGGATATAGTAAGGAACAAAACAGAAAAAAGTCCTTGCCCCGTGGAGCTCCCCTTCTGGTAGGTGTGAGTTGTAGTGGTGGTGTGTGTGTGGATTAAAAGATACTTCCTTTTACAGCAACAAAGTTTTTTTTTTTTTTTTTTTTTTCTTTTTTTGCTTTTGGCTGTGCCACGAGATTTGCAGGATCTTATTTCTCTGACCAGAGAACTGGGGCATTGCACTGAAAGCGCCATCTAAAATCACTAGACCACCAGGGAACTCACAAAGTTATTTTTTAAAGTTTCCGGGAAAAGTCATTGCTTCTCAGGCCCTTGGGAATATTTCTCCCATCTCTGTTTCATAAAAGGAGCAACTAAAGCTGAAAGGGGGAAGGGACTTGTCTAAGGATATGCAAATCACTCAGTGGTCAAGATGGTTGAAGTGCAGATGGCTGACCTTTCTTCCTTTTTAAGACTTTAGTGCTTAATCATAAAAAAATAACAACCAACACTCTATGAGCACTTACTATATGCCAGACTATTCTCAGTGACTCATTTAATTCTGACATTCTCACGGAGGTGGATATGATTCTTATGCCCATTAAAAAAATTATTTATTTATTTATTTGGCTGTGCTGGGTCTTAGTTGTGACATTTGGTATCTTTAGTTGCAGCATGTGGAATTTAGTTCCCTGACCAGGGATCAAACCCAGGGCCCCCCTGCATTGGAAGCCTGGAGTCTTAGCCACTGGACCCCCAGGGAAGTCTCTCTTATGTCCATTTTGATGGAGAAACCGAGGCACAGCTCTCTGGAGTCACTTACCAGAAACCAAGAAGTAGCAAAGCCAGACCTTTAAGTTCAGACTGCCTACGAGTCCATGCTGTTAGCCACTGCCCCATCAGCCTATTTCTGTATGGATTATCTCTAGACAGATACACAAGGAACTGCTCACAGGGATGGAAGCTGGGTGGGTGGCGGGCAGGAGGGGATGCTGATACAATAAATATATAAATTCTACAATTTTTAAAAGGTGATAAGGACTGTGAGGGGGAAACTGAGCAGAGATGTGAAGGAATTGGGAGGGATGGGGAGGCAGAGGAGTTTTTAAGTAGACTGATCGGGGTGTTCTAATTGAGAGGGTTACTTTTGAACAGAGACCTGAAGGAGGTGGGGAGTTGAAGCTTGTGGATCTCTTGGGAAAGAACCTCCCAGGCAGAGGGGTCAGCCAGTGCTGAAGCCCAAACAGTGCCTGGTATGTTGGCAAAATAGTTGGGAGTCCAGCATGTCTGGAGCAGTGAGTGACGGGGGGAGAACGGGGCCTGGGGAGGGTGTGGGGGAGGTGAGGGCAGAGAATGGTCTAGGACCACTGCATCACGTGGGGTCTCATGGGCCATGGTGAGGAATTTGGTTTTTATTCCTCCAGAGAGATGAGAGCCATGGGAGAATTCAGAGCAGAAGAGCAACTTAGATGTTTGGGGTGTGGGAGGAGGGGGTTAACAGCTCTATTGAAACATAATTCACTACCATAAAATTCGCCCATATAAAATATAGGACTCAGTGGTTTTTGTTTAAAGTTTTTTCCCCCTTGTGATGAGAGCTTTTAAGATGGACTCTCTTAGCACCTTTCAGACATGCAATACAGGATTATTAATTATACTCACCATGTTGTACTTTATATCCCAGGACTTACTTGTTTTACAACTAGAAATTCGCTTGTAACTCTCTTCACCCATTTTGCCCATCCCCCAACTTCTCAGGCAACCATCAATCTCTCTCTGTCTAGGAGCTTGTTTTTGTTTTTAGATTCCATATACAAATGAGACCCCATGGCATTTATCTTTTTCTGTCTGACTTATTTCATCTGTTGTCCATCCATGTTGTCACAAATGGCAAGATTTCCCTGTTTTTTATGCCTGAATAATATTCCATTATATTCACATTTTCTTTATTCATTCCCATCAGTGGACACTTAATTTGCTTCCACAGTCTTGGCTATTGTAAGAAATGCTGCAGTGAACATAGGGATAAATGTATCCTTTTCAATTGCTGTTTTCATTTTCTTTAGATAAACACCCAGAAATGGAATTGCTGGATCATATGGTAGTTCTGTTTGTTTGAGGAAACTCCATACTGTTTGTCCATTGTGGCTGCACCCAGCTTACATTCCCAGGAATAGTTCGAGAGGGTTCCTTTTTCTCGACATCCTTGAATGACACCTGTCATTGCTTGTCTTTTTGATGATGGCCTTTCTGATAGATGTAAGGCAATATCTCATTGTGGCTTTGATTTGCCTTTCCCTGGTGTTTAGTGATATTGAGTCTTTTCATGTACCTGTTGGCCATCTGTATGTCTTATTTGGAAAGATGTATATTCAGATCCTCTGCCCATTTTTTTTTTTTTTTGACTGCCCTGGGTCTCACTTGTAGCATATGGGATCTAGTTCCCTGACCAGGAATCAAACCCAGGCCCTCTGTATTGGGAGCATGGCACCTCAGCCACTGGGCCACCAGGGAAGTCCCTGCCCATTTTTTAAAATCAGATTTTCTTTTGCTTTTGAGTTGTATGAGTTCTTTATATATTTTGGATATTAGTTCTTTATGTATTCTGGATGTTAATCCCTTATCTTGTACACAGTTAGCAATGCACCCCATTCAGTAAGTTGCCCTTTCATTTTGTTGATGATTTCATGTGCAGAAACTCTTAATTTGATATAGTCCTACATTTATTTTTGCTTTTAGTGTCAAATCCAAAAAATAAAATAGTATCTCCACATCTGATGTCAAGTAGCTTACTGCCTATGTTTTCTCCTAGGGCTTTTGTGGTTTCAGTTCTTAGGTTCAAGTACTTAATTCATTTGAGTTAACTTTTGCATAAGGTGTAAGATAGGGGTCCAGTTTCATTCTTCTGCATGTGGCTGTTGAGTTTTCAGAACACCATTTATTGAAGAGACTATCTTTTCTCTATTGTATATCCTTGGCTCCTTTATTATAAATTAATTGCCCATGTATGTGTCAGTTTATTTCTGGGCTTCCTATTCCGGTCTGTTGATCTATGTGTCTGTTTTTGTGCCAGTACCATGCTGTTTTAATTACCATAGCATTGTAATATAGTAAGAAATTAGGGCACATGATGCCTCCAGCTTTGTATTTCTTTCTCATAATTGCTGTGGCTATTTAGGGTCTTTTCTGATCTCACACACATTGTAGAATTGTTTGTTCTATTTCTGTGAAAAATGCCATTGGAATTTTGGTGGGATTGCACTGAATCTGTCCATTGCTTTGGATAGTATGGACAGCTTAACAATATTAATTCTTCCAGTCCATGAACACAGGATGTCTTTCCATTTATTTCTGTCTTCTTCAGTGTCTTTTATCAAGGTTTTATCAATGGCTTTTATTACAGTCACAGAGTTGTCCTGTGATTATATTATCACCACAGTAAATTTCAGAACATTTCCATCACTCCAGGTAGAAACTCTGCATCCCTTATCTGTCATCCTACAGTCTCCCCAGCCCGTGGGGATCCACTTTTGTAGATCTATTTTTGTCCTTATAGAGTGGCCTGTTCTGGAAATATATGTGGAATCATGCAATATATAGTCTTTTGTAACTGTGTATTTCACTTAGCATAATGTTTCAAAGTTTATCCATGTTGTAGCACATGTCAGTACTGCATTTCCTTTTATTGCCAAATGATAGTCCCTTGTTTGAATAGACCACATATAGTTTATCCATTTATCAGTTGATGGACATTTGGGTCGTTTCCACTTTGGGGCTTTTGTGAATAATTCTGCTATGAACATTCAAATACAAGTGTTTGTGTTACTACATGCTTTCATTTCTCTTAGGTAGATACATAAGAGTGGAATTGACGGGTTATCTGGTAACTCTGTAATCTTTTGAGGAACTGCCAGTGTATTTTCTAAAATGGCAGCATCATTTTACATCCCCACCAGCAGTGAATGAGAGTGTCCGTTTCTCCATATTCTCACTAGCACTTGCTACAGTTATCTTGGGACTTTGTTTTAAACAGGGTCCCTCTGGCTGCTCTGTGCCTAACAGGCTGAGGGAGACAGAGGTATTAATAGAAGCTGGAGACCCAGTGAGTAGGGACTATAATTGTCCAAGCTGCAGAGCATGGTGCCTGGACCAGAGGAGGTGAGAAGTGACTGGATTGTGGACAGACTTTGAAGATGGAGTTAATGGGATTTGTTGCTAGAGCAGTTGTGGGGTGTGAGGAAGGGAGGGGGGATCAAGATTGACCCATCAACTGAGATGAATAAGACTGTGGTAGGAAAGGGTTTGGCAGGTGGAATCAGCTCAGTTTTGAGCAACTGAGTTTGAGATACTGCAGACGTTCATATGGAATGTGCGGTAGGGATTGGGTATTCCATGCTAGATTTATTGTTGGCAGTCACCGCATGTTTCTTTAATAATTCAAGTCAGAATTGAATCTGCAATCCAGGGTCTCAGTTTCTCCCTCCAGAAAATGGGATCAGGAGTACCACTGTCATGAGGCTGGGGAATTCCTCTGCAGCACAGGGAAGGATTGCACATCTGGAAACCAAGGTAATGCATAGAGTGGAAAGGTCCGCAACCGGGAAGAGAAATGGAGGTTACGCTTGGTTCAGACAGTGTCCGCCTGTCCGTCTCCCCGCCCCCAGCCTCTGGCTGCCATTAGAGACGGAGGGAAGATTGGGTCGTCACCCTGTCTTTCCCCCCTCTGAGCCGTGTTTCCTCCTTCGGGGCTGCCCGGGCCAAAACTGCTGATGGAAACCAGCTGCGGGAGGCGCCGAGGTTAGGCGTAAACCCAGGCCCCTCCCCGGCGCCGGCCGACCCCGCTAAGGGAGGGAGACGGGGGCGCCCTAACTCCCCTCCGCTCTTCCGCAGCCGGGCCCGGGGCCCTGGCACGTCCGGCGCGCCTGATGCTTTCCAGATGTGAGCCTAGTTCCCCTCCCCCCAACCTGGCCCTGCTGCTCCCGCGCGATAGGGTGTTGGGGAGCCAGGGTCCGATATCCTCCTATCAAATTGGGGACCCAGGCCTGTATCCCCTGCCGGCCGGTCTCGCTTCCCTGTTCAGGCGGTAAAAACCCAATTGGGATGGAATGACTGCAGTAAAGACGCTTCTCTCCCCGACCTCCACGTCTTCCCGGGGTTCGGCCTCCGCCCCTCCCGCAGCTAGCTAGGGAGGCGAGGTCAGGAGCTGGAACCCAAGACCCGCCCCTCGCGGCAAACCACACCCTGGACACGCCCCCAGATAAGCCCCTTATAAGCCCCGCCCCCGAACCACCCCGCCCCTTCGGCGGCCCTCAGGTCTTGCCTCCGGGACGCTCCTCTGCCGTCTGGTCCCCTGCGGAGGGTGCGGTCGGTCGTGTCTGTCTCTCTACCGCGTTCTGTCTGTGTATCGGTGTCCGTATTTCTCAGTCACAGTTTCTGACTCTACTTTTCTGTCTGTGTGTCTCTCTTATGCCCTGCACGTCTCAATCTCTGCAACCCTCTGCCTGTCTCTGTCTCTCTCCTCTCCAAATTTCCGTCTCTGTGTCCCTATCTCTGCCTCTGTCTCTCCCGGCATCTCTCTCTCCCTCTCTCTGAATTTCTGTGTCCCAGTCCATCTTCAGTGAGCTTTCTCTAGCTCCCTCCACCTTCCTGTGTCTCTCCCACCTCTAATTCCCAGCCGGCCGGCGGGGGCGCTTTGCCCTCCCGGTTTCCACCTCCTACGGCTTTGGCGCCGGCGGGGTGGGAGGTTCGGCGGGCCGCGGGCGCCCCCGTGTGGCCGGCAGGGGAGCTGTCAGGAGACGACTGCGGGCTGAGTGTGCAGCGCCCGTTAGGGGTGTGTTCAGGGCAGGACACTGTGGGCGTCCGTGGGTGACACTCGCTGTGTAAGTGTGTACTACTTTGAGATCGCGCGTGACGTCCAGAGGTTGTGCGTAGCTGTGTGACCTTGTGAGATTTTCTGTGACAACCATAAACTGGGCGCGTGACTGTGAAATCATGTTTAGTTCAGTTCAGTTCAGTCGCTCAATCGTGTCCGACTCTTTGCGCCCCCCATGGACTGCAGCACGCCAGGCCTTCCTGTCCATTGCCAACTCCCGGAGTTTATTCAAACTCATGTCCATTGAGTCGGTGATGCCATCCAACCACCTCATCCTCTGTCGTGCCCTTCTCCTCCTGCCTTCAATCTTTCCCAGCATCAGAGTCTTCAAATGAGTCAGTTCTTCAAATCATGTTACACCGAGACATTGTGTGTGACCGTGTATGTGACATATCGGTGACTGCATGAGACATCATGAGTTTGGGTGTCCCTGAGACACTATTTGGGGGACTGTGACATCGAGAGACCATGTGTGAGCAAGAGGTCATGTGTGACTGTGCAATATGGCGAGGATGGGAGAGGTGTGTGTCCACGGGGAGATGGTGTGTGAGAGAGGGCAAGAATGAATGAGAATGGCCCACCAAGTAATGGTGTGAGAAGCAGTGTGAGAGACCTGTGGGGAGGGAAGCTGAGTGTGAGTGACCTTGTGAGTGTGTGACAAGGATGTGTCAGCCACAATGATGATGTGTGAGATGCTGGGTGTGACTGTGTGTAACACAGGTCGTGTGGGACCCTGAGAGACTGGCAGAGTGTCATGACAGTGCATTAGAGAGTGTGCAACTGTCAAGGGTGCTCAGATGAGCGTGCAAGAGAAACCTCATGGGTGTAAGTTTTGACACTGAGAGGCTGTGGTGTGAAGGCAGCACCTGTGTGTGATACAGACTGTGTGAGGCTCAGCAAGACATCTTGAGAGGTTGTGTGTGATCCTGTGTGGAACTGTGTGTGTGTATACATTTGATGCTTAGAGATCGTCCCTTTGACTGTGATTGTATAAGATGTCACTGGTGGTGATGGGCCTCTCAGAGAGATGGTGAGGGACTGTGTGACATTTTGAGAGGTCGAGTGACTGTGGCGCTGCAGAAGGTTAGGGTGGTTCAGGAGACTGTACACAGCGAGGAGCTGTGCATCTCTGTGAGGGACTGTGAGTGTGATTCTGTGTGCTGAGAGGGGATCATCTGGGATGGGGTGACACAGAGGTTGTGGGTGGGACAGGGTGGCAGAGCGTATGTAATGGTGTGTGAGGCTGTGTGGGACCCACAGGAGAGATTTGGATGACTGTGGGACAAATGTGGCAGAGCAGGGGGGACTCATCCTAAGAGACTCTTTACCTGTGAGAGTGTGTGTGTGTGTGTGTGTGTGTGTGTGTGTGTGAGTGTGACAGAGATAGAGACAGAGATTGAGAAGGGAGACAGACAGAGAGAGAGGAAGGGAGAGAGACACAGACACACAAAGACAAAGAGAGAGATGGACAGACGTAATGAGAGGACCCAGAGAGAAAAGACGCAAGGGTGATGGGGATGCTGGTGGCAGGAGGAGGCGGGTCCTCAGGGGCTGTGCCCCAGGAGAGGGGGCGGGGCAGAACTGAGCGGGGGACCCAGACGCTGTGTCTCTGCCACCCGCCTGCCTTCCCAGCCCTGAGCAGCAACAGGTAGGATGCTGTGGTCCTGAACCCCGACAGCTGGTCCCTCTGCCTGGGAATGAATGAATGAATGCGTGAGTGAATGAATGACTTTATCCTTGCTCATCTCCATCAGCCTGTCTTCCCTTCTGTCTCTCCGTGTGCCCCCTCCTGCACCTCCACTTCCTTCTGTCTGCCCTGCCCTTTCTTGCCTCTCTCCCCTCTAGCACTGTCCCTCTAGCGCTCTATGTGCCCCTCTTTCTGTTCTCTCCCACCTCCATCTCTCCATCTCTCCCCAAGCCTTCCATCGCCCCTTCTCTTTCCTCCCTCTGTCCTTTTGTCCGCTCTGTGCTTCTCTCTCCCTGTATCACTCTCTTTCCTCACACCCCTGTCTCCCTCCCTCCCTCTGTCTCTTCTCTCTCCATCACTCCATCCCTCCTGCCCGTCTCTCCATCTTTCTCTCCCTCAGTCTCTTTATTCCCCCCTCCCCCTCCCCGTCTCTCTCTGTTTGTCCCTGTCGCCATCCTCCCTGTCCCTCTCCCAGTCCTAGCTGGGTTGCCCCCTTCTCCAGCCCTTTCTCTGGCTGCTAATGAGCAGAGGAGCCTTTGAGGTGGCCAGGGCTGGGATGGGGGGCTCCCCGAGGGGGGCGGAGGGGGCAGCTGCTGCCAAGGCCCTAATGAGGCCCCCTCTGCGCCCCTCCCGCGGTGATCTTAATTCCTTCTTCTCCCTGGAGCCAGCGCTAATTGGCCTGGGGAGGGCCCCCTTCTGGCTCTTGTGCTCTCCCCAGGAGGTGAGGACACCTGGATCTCTGGATCCAACACCTGTGTTCCTGTCCTTCTGTCCCTCCCTCCACTGCTCCTCGGCCTCCCATCTGTGCTTCCCCCTTGCCTTCCCTCTCTTCTCTCTGTTCCCTCCGTCACCTGCCTCTAGGTACCCCATCTGTGCGCCCCTCCAAGCCTTCTCTTGGCCCTCTTGGCCCTGTTCATTGGTCCCTCTTTCGGCCGGCTTCTTGGTCCCCCATCCACGCAGATTTCCATCTCTCCCCTTTTCTTCTGTTTTTCTGTCTCTTCCTCCACTCTGGGCACCGCATCGGTGAGCCCTTCCACGCACGCCCCTGTTAACTGTGTTCCACCACCACCGCCAACCCTATCTGGGGACACAGCTTTGCCCTAGCCTACTCCTTCGCCTCCACTCCCACCGGCTTTTAACCTTTTCCCGCCGCAGCCATGTCCAACAACATGGCCAAGATCGCGGAGGCCCGGAAGACCGTGGAGCAGCTGAAGCTGGAGGTGAACATCGACCGCATGAAGGTGCTGGGTCGGGGTGGGGAGGAAGGCCGCGGGCTCCGGGGCTGGAGTCTGGACGGGTTAGAGTTGGGAGTGGAGCCGGGAGTCCGGGTGGAAAGATCCCCTTTGGAACCGGACTGGACTCCAAGGAGGGGGGTGGGGCGGGGCGTGTACATCTCCCCCTGGGTGCCCGCAGGTGTCGCAGGCAGCGGCTGAGCTCCTGGCCTTCTGCGAGACTCACGCGAAAGATGACCCGCTGGTGACCCCGGTACCTGCCGCAGAGAACCCCTTCCGAGACAAGCGCCTCTTCTGCGTCCTGCTCTGAGCCCTCCCGGCAGTTTGACCCCCACCCCCCGTCAAAATATGAATCCAATAAACGTGGTGACTGCGGGGGTGCCTGTGCTCTCGGGGAAACTGAGGCACGTGCAGAACTTGGGGCCACCATGGAGGAGCCCGTGTCCCTTCTCATACCTTCTCCGTGTGTGTGGAGTGGGGGCGTGGGGCGAGGTTATGTGGATACTGGGCCGGGGGGGATTTCAGAGGATATCCTGCGTCCTGGCTCTGGCCTCCACGGAGTGTTCCCACAATCCTGAATTGATTTAATCGTCCCAACAGCCCCAGAAAGCAGTTGGCTACTTGTATGAGGAAACTGAGGCAGAGGAGGTCCCTTACTCAGAGTCACAAGATAAGAGATAATGGGGTGAAGACTGGATGCTCCCGCTCTCTGAACCTCTCTGCTGGCGGCTCTTCTTGCCTCTCTCCTGGGTTGGAGGTCCTTAAAATACCCAGTACCCATCTTTCTCATCCCCCGAATAATTCCAGCCCCCTTTTTCACATGGGCCTACTCCCTACCACAGCCCCACCCCCACAAGCACCAAACTTGTCTCTGTTCCTTTTTTCATTCTTCCAAACACTCTTGGTCCTGTAAGGGTTGAAACAGGGGTCATGGACACGACCAAGACAGCCCTGGCCCTGGGTTCCTGGGGTTCAGAATCCAGTGGGAGTGACAGACCTGTCCTCAGATAGTGATGATTCAGAGTGGGCAGGGCTGGGATGGGGGAATTCAGAGGGAAGGCCTGACTCAGCTTGAAGGTCAGGGAGGGCTTCCTGAAGGAGGGGACATCTGAGCTGGTACACGGTGGGAATTAAATGTGGGGACCCAGAGAAGAGAGAAGCGGGACTACAGAAGACAAATCAGTATGTACATTCTTTTCTATTTCTTTTTTGGGGGGACATGGATTACGGTGACAGACCTGATTCCTCTTCTGTGTTTCTCACTTCATACACTGGTGATCTCCAGGACCTGTATTTGTTGTTTAGCTGCTAAGTTGTGTCTGACTTTTGGGGACCCCATGGACTGTAGCCCACCAGGCTCCTCTGTCTATGTGATATTCCAGGCAAGAATACTGGAGTGGGTAGCCATTTCCTTCTCTAGGGGATCTTCCCCACCTAGGGACTGAACCCATGTCTCCTGCATTGCAGGTAAATTCTTTACCACTGAGCCACCAGGGAAGCCCTTTAGGACCTTTATAGCCTGCAGTTGAATGACAGTACTTCACATAAAAGCCCATCTTGATGGCTTCTTCCATTTGGAAGGTCTGGGTGACCTCAGAACTGCATAACCTCCAAGGTGACCAGAGGCTATGAGATGGGGCCCTGGCTTTCCAGTTTGCCAAAGTTCCCACCACACCCTATTGTCTCCCAGTGAGGGACACTGGGGGTCAGATACTATTTATCACAAAGCCTGTGCCAGGAGCTTCTTACAGAGAAATGAAGAGAAATGTAAAATGCCTTGAACCCATGATTCTGCTGAAAATGAAGAAATGCAGACTGGGTGAGCTATGGGCTTAGTTAATTGTTTAACCTGGTTGGTCTGAGGTCCACTGAGTTTGCGACCCCTCCCCTCTCCACATGCCCCCTTGTCTTGAGTCTGCACCCCTGGATCTGGTCAAGATGACTCCCTGGGCCTCCCCTTCCCAGAGGGGCTGTGCCTGTGTCTGGCAAGTGCTCCATTATTCACATTGAATTAGGGTCCCCTGGGCCCCAAATCTGAGCTTCCTGTTGAATTGAGGCAAGAGATGCTGTAATTACATCTCTCTCCTGCCTCCCACCTCTCAGCCTGGCTCCGGCCCTGGTTGCATCATGTCTGTGGGAGCCCCGGGGGAGATGGGGGGACAGAGAGAGCCAAGGATGAGCTGAAGGGAGGAGGAGTGATGCTGAGGGGAAGTTGCCAGAAGGATTCTGGAATTTCACAGACTCAGCATCCTTGCATCTTAGAACCTGAAATGCAAAGGAATCTCAGAAACTCAGAGGGCTGGAATTCTGGAGTGTTTGAACCCTGTGGGGCCAGGATGGTGGGGTCCTGTCCCCTAATTGGGCTAGGAATCCGGAGCTTCACACTTCAGAAGTGTACGGATTTCTTGAGCCTGGCCTGTTAGACCCTTTGAACCCTGGGAACTTGGAGTTGGTCTCGGGGAATGGGAAGCTGGGGAGAAAGAAGCAAGTGGGGTTGGCTGACCTAGTGGTGGGGCAGGGAGCTGGAGGAATGTGTGCCTGCCTGGAGGAGCAGGGCTGGGTGAGCCTGTACCCCGACTGAGGCTGGGAGAGACGAGAAGCCAGAAGGGAGCAGTCCTGGGTGACCAGCCTCCAAATCGGATAATCTCATTAGTGGGTATGATTCTGGGGCAGCACCCGCTTCTGTTTCCCCTTTCCTGCCACTCCCAGCTGTGAGGTCAGCTCTGGGGTCAGGCTCAGGCCTGGTCAGAGCCAGGCCAAGAGGCAGAGGTGAATACCTAGGGAAGAGCTGGCATTCAGCAGTTCCCTCCCACTTCACTCCAAATCCCAGGGCTTCAGGCTGCCCCACTCAGCTGTCCTGCCTCCACACCCCACCCCACATCCTTGGCACTGAGGGGCCGGAGAGTAGGAGTGGAGATAGTGGAGCCAGAAGGAGCCATAATCATGGCCATCACTTATCAGGAGTCCGGTTTCACAAGCCCCATCTCACTCCATTCTAATGGAAGCTCCCACAAGGACTCTCCTTACCCCCATTTTACAGACATGGAAGACCCACACGGAGAGATAACCTGGTCAGCTGGGGCTTGAGGTTGGAGTGGGAGGAGCCAATGGATGATCTCGGGAGGGGCCGGAGGGGTTCAAAGGGGGCCTTGAGGGACAGAAGTGAGGGGATCCCAGGGGAGGCACCCAGCCCAGACAAATGCAGGGCAGGGGCAGCAGAGTAGGGACACCAGGGGCCAGTGAAGGAAGCGGCAGCTAGTAGGTGGGCAAGGGCCCATTGTAGGGTGGAAAACGGGGTGGTGGGCAGAGAATATTGGCCTCTAGCTGTAAGGGCTGGGGCCTGCTAAGGAAGGATGGGTCAGGATGGACACACGGCAGCTCCTCACAGCAGTGAGTGGGCACAGATGACAAGCGGGCCTGGCAGGCATGAGCAGCTGGTGGCACGTGGTGGGGGGGCGGGTACGAGGTGGGGCCAGCTTCCTCCCAGGGCACAGCCTGGAGGACGGAAGCCCGGGAGCCGGGAGAGGGTCAGGCCCAGGGCAAGCTGGCATCTTCGGTCAACAGCGCGACCAGATGCAGGCCTGGGCAGGCAGCTGTAGGCACTGGCCGGCAGGAGTGGGAGAGCTTGTCCCGGTCCCATTTCCTGGCCTGCTTGGTGCTTGTCCCCATGAGGACACTCGCCCAGATGGAATGACTCAGCTGAGGGCCTGCCCAGGCTCCAGCTATGACCTTCCACTCCCATGCCACTTGGGACTACGCCCACATCGGATGGTACCACCTCTGAGTCCCTCAGCCCTATACACATGCTGGTTTGTTGAGTGAATAACAACCCCACTAGTAACTGTATGAGAGCTCCCTAAAAGCAGGCAGAGTGAATTCCATCTGTAAACTAGGTCCATCTAGTCAAACCTATGATTATGCCGGTAGTCATGTAAGGATGTGAGAGTTGGACTATAAAGAAAGCTGAGCGCTGAAGAATTGATGTTTTTGAACTGTGGAGTTGGAGAAGACTCTTGAGCGTCCCTTGGACTGCAAGGGGATCAAATCAGTCCATCCCAAAGGAAATCAGTCCTGAATATTCATTGGAAGGACTGATGCTGAAGCTGAAGCTCCAATAATTTGGCCACCTGATGCGAAGAACTGACTCATTTGAAAAGACCCTGATGCTGGGAAAGATTGAAGGCAGGAGGAGAAGGGGACGGCAGAGGATGAGATGGCTGGATGGCATCACTGACTCGATGGACATGAGTTTGAGCAAGCTCCAGGAGTTGGTGATGGACAGGGAAGCCTGGCATGCTGCAGTCCATGGGGTTGCAGAATCAGACACAACTGAGCGACTGAACTGAATCTTTGTTCAGCAACTGAACAAAGTACAACATGTACTTTGTTGTACTTTGTACAACATCCCAACAAAGGCAAGGCAGCCATTTGATGAAGACCATCAAGATACATACGGACACACGTGGGCTGACACAGCCATGAAGAAACACGTGGTCACCAATGAACAGACACAACACACCAATAAACACAGATACACAAAGAGACCTCATAGGAAAGAATACCTACCCACCGCTCACACACACACCATGCTGATACAATGCTCACTTAGGTGACCCAAACCCACACACGAAGTCTCTAGCACACACACAGTCTCTAGCATGCTCTCTTCCGGGTACCCATTCCTCCCCCACACGGTGCTGCATGTCCATTCCCAGTCCTCCCGGGGCTGTCCTCTGTCTTCTGCAGTGCTGCCCCGGGGTCCCTCTGGGGAGTCCCTTCTCAGCATCGTGTGGCAGGGGGAGGGTGCTGACTCACCCATCCAGAGCAGTTCCCTCCCACAGCTTTTCCCACCCCCAGAAGCCACCACCCCACCCTCTAACCCAGACCAGCTGGGGTGACCTCTCACAGCTGAGCAGGAGGCTGGGGGCTCCCCAGAAGATGAGCGTGTCTGACCCGGCATGGATCCCAGGGATTCTTAGGAAGGAGTGATAGTCGTCACCTCTCCTGCCTGCTCTGGAGCACAGAATTCATATCAAGGTCGCCAGGGCTTCTGACCCTCAGCGGCAAAGGTGGGGAAACCGAGGCCAGGAAGGGGGTACCGTCTGAGACCTTGTGGGTCAGAGGAGCAGCATGGACTTCCCGAAAGCTCGACAGTGCCTGGCGGGGGCAGGAAGCCAGTGACAGGGAGGCTCCAGGCACCAGAGCACCCCCTCTCACCCCTGCAACTCCCCTGATGCTGAGACAGGACGCTAGCCTGCCAGGCGTCATCCTTCATTAATATGAGAGAACTTCCTGAGTTCCCTTTGGTCTGGCTGGGGATCGCTCAGAGTATGAGGGGGGAATCACGTGGCCAAGTAGGCCTGAGACAAACACCAGCACCCTCAGAGCAGGGCTGAATGGTCACTCTCCAGAGCCCCACAGTGTGGCCGGAGCTGGGGCACCCATCCTGGCGGAAGCTGGGAGTGCCAGCTGGGCGTGGGTGATAGGGAGACAGGAGACAGGGGAGAGGGGAGGGCATCGTGGTCATGGAGGCAGGGGTGACATGAGGACAGAGAGAGGAAGTCAGTAGCTGCCCAGGGTCCAGTCCTCGGGGTCAGGACCATTCTTCTGGGCCTTGGATGTGCTATGATATCTACAAGGTTCTCTCCTTGTTCCACAGAGGGGTCTGGGATGGGCCACTGGCCATGGTCAGCCCACCAGGCCCACGGAATCAGTGTTGCCCCATTGTACAGACGAGGAGACTGAGGTCCCCTGGCTTCCCTTCCTGGCCTTGGGACCATCCCATAGCAAGGAGGTGGTTGAATGGGGACAGAAACTCCAGTCAAATGGCGTAGGATCTTGAATTGGTCATTTCTGTATTTAAATGGCCTTCCTGAAAAATAAGGGGCATCTGAGAAGGTCTCTAAGGTCTTATCTGACCCTTGGGTGAGGAGGCCGCATGGGAAATGGGCTCAGTGGGGATAGGGACTGGTGACCGCTGTGCTGGCCGCGGGCACACACAGGCAGACCACACAGGCGGGAGGGTGGTGCCGCTGGCAATGTGTCTGTGGAGGGCTGGGAGACATTCTGGAAGAGCAATGTTGGAGCCCTGGACTGGACTGCTGTCTGTGGCTAAAATATTATTCCTTGAAGTCAAGGTCACCAGCGCTTGGTCTGGGGCCCGGGAGGGCTGCTGGGATGAGAGACAAGAGGGTGGGAGGGCGCTGCCCTTTGATACTGACCAGTGGAAATCCCGGCGGGGGGAGCTGTCCCCTACCCGTGGATGTCAGGTTCCCCCCCATCCCCCCAACCGACGGGGCTCCAGGGACTGGCATTTCTTTTTTCTGGCTGGGCCACCTCTTCCCCCACCCTTGTGGAAGGAGTGAAGTGCGTCCAGGGAACAGAAATCTCAGTTGCGCCTGGAAAACACTCCATAAGGGAAGAATTTCCTGGTCGTTTCTCAATCCTTAGGCAATGCCCTAACCCCGAGGGGCCTGAGCCCAGAACAGATGCCAGAGGCCACCCCCAGACCGCCTCACAGACTGGCTGTCTGTGCCGCTCAGGTCCTGTCCGGGTCCCAAATCTAGGACACGGGCGAGCTCCCAAATCTAGGGAGATGATGACTCAGGTGATCCCCACCCGGGGTGCCGCTGGGCAGCGCTGGGAAGGCGGAAGGGTGCAGAGTCCAGAGTGAGCCGGAGGAGGTGGCAGGTGGTTCAGGATGGGGTCCAGGAGAGGACTTGAGGAGGGAGAGGGAGACGCGGGAGAGACGGATGGGTGTCTTGGGCAGGGGGGTGGAGGGGAGCGCGCCAGGGAAGGCAGGAGGGAGCCAAGGGGCCTCTAGGAGAAGGCAGGGGGAGGGAAGGCGGGGCAGAGAGAGGAAATGAAAAGCCCGGGCGAGCGATCGGGGCTAGATGAGTTAGGGAGGGAGGAGGGAGGGACGTCGGGAGAAGCTGCCACTCGGAGCCGGACCCAGAGAGCAAGACCTGGGAGAAGGAGCTGGGGGACAGAGGGCTGAGAGAGTCGGCAGAGGTGCGGTGAGGAGGGGCTGGGCAAGCAGAGGTGCAGAGGAGGGGATAGGTCGGGAGAGGCAGGGAGGGAGGGAGGGAGAGGTGAAGGGAGTGGACCAGGGAGGAGACTGAGCCAGAGCCGGAGCCGAGACAGAGGAGGAGAGAACGAGGGGCTTGGCAAGGGCAGGATTAGACGGAGAGACAGAGGTAGCGGAGGAAAGAAACAGGCGAGGGAGAGTCAGGGAGGGAGCCTGGGGAGACGGGGGCAGAGAGAGAAACAGACGCCCCAGAAGTGCGGAGGGTAGCCTGGGACTCCCCTCCGCCTCCAGCTGCACCGAGGACCGGGGGGAGCAGGGAGCGAGGTGCTGGGCATCACAGGGGTGGACCCGTCTCCCCTTCCCTTGCCACCTCCCACCCCCCACCTCCCCGGGGACCCCTCCAGCCCCGCTCCCCGGGAGGCAGCCGGAGGCCGGGGATGGCGGATTCGTGCCGGAACCTCACCTACGTGCGGGACTCGGTGGGCCCGGCCACCAGCACCATGATGTTCGTGGCGGGCGTGGTGGGCAACGGCCTGGCGCTGGGCATCTTGGGGGCGCGGCGGCGGTCGCGCCCCTCGGCCTTCGCTGTGCTGGTCACCGGGCTGGCGGTCACCGACCTGCTGGGCACGTGCTTCCTGAGCCCGGCCGTGTTCGTGGCCTACGCCCGCAACAGCTCGCTGCTGGGCCTGGCCCGGGGCCGCCCGGCGCTGTGCGACGCCTTCGCCTTCGCCATGACCTTCTTCGGCCTGGCCTCCACGCTCATCCTCTTCGCCATGGCCGTGGAGCGCTGCCTGGCGCTCAGCCACCCCTACCTCTACGCCCAGCTGGACGGGCCCCGCCGCGCCCGCCTGGCGTTGCCGGCCATCTACGTCTTCTGCATGGTCTTCTGCTCGCTGCCCCTCCTGGGCCTGGGCCAACACCAGCAGTACTGCCCCGGCAGCTGGTGCTTCATCCGCATGCGCTCGGCCGAGCCGGGCGGCTGCGCCTTCTCGCTGGCCTACGCCGGCCTCGTGGCCCTGCTGGTGGCCGCCATCGTCCTCTGCAATGGCTCCGTCGCCCTCAGCCTCTGCCGCATGTACCGCCAGCAGAGGCGCCACCAGGGTTCGCTGCTCCTCGGCCCCCGGGCGGGCGAGGACGAGGTTGACCACCTGATTCTGCTGGCCCTCATGACGGGCATCATGGCCGTGTGCTCCCTGCCTCTCACGGTGAGTCCCCTGGGCAGCTCCGGTGGGCGGTGGGGAGGAGGGCAGCGCCCAGTTCTAGCTGCCACTGTTTGCGCCCATTTCACGGATGGGGAAACTGAGGCTCAAAGAGGTCAGAGACTTTGTCCACAGTCAAACTCCAAACTTTACAGAGACGTTTCTCCCCGCTTGCTTCTGCTCCATTTGACTCCTCCTGACCCTTGTCTCCCCCTTCCACATCCCTAGCCACCCAACCAACCTACCCCTGCAAGACTAAGACGACCCATCATTCAGTATTGCACTCTGTCTACCCTGTGCTCAGTGGTTTAGAAATCCCTTCTCCGATCATCTCAAGAATGATCTTACGCATCTATTCCACAAGCATTTAGCAAGAAATGTGATGAAGTTTCTGTCGGCATTTCTACAAAGGAGGGGTGATGATGTCTTTTGCCCACGATCACACAGAGGCAGGGCTGCACCCTGGGCTCCTCTGATGCCAGGGTCTGATCTCCTTGCCACCCTGCTCCCCATTTCTCCAGCCCTACCCATGTAGCTGCCCTTGGGCTCTCCTGGACTCACCCCTTCCCTGCAGGAACTCCTGCCCTGCCCCTCCCAGAGGGCAGCAGGGCTGATCCTGGTCCTGTGGCCCCCAGTCCTCCTGATACTGTCTGGACCTCAGCTTCTCTTTCTGCAAAATGCAAGGGCTAGGGTTAGAGTTGAGAGTCACCAAACCTTTAAGGGGGTGACGGAGGACTCAGAGATGGCACACACACACACACACAAACACACACACACACACACAGACACAGACACACACACACACACACACACACACACACAGACACAGACACACACACACACACACACACACACAGAACCATGGGACCCAGCCTCGCTGCCCCACCTCTCCCCCTCTAGGGCTTTGCTGACTGTCTCCTGGGGCTTTCTCTCCCTCTGCCCCTGGATGCATTTCTTATTTAGCTCTCATCTTATTTCTTCCCCTTCCGACAGGCCACAGGCCGCGCCTCCCTCATTTCCGTCAGTGAGCAAGGGAGAGGAGGGGGTCCAGAGTGGGGTGGGTGTTGAGGGGTGGGGCAGAGGAATCCTGGGGTGCTTCTTGATCGCTCTCCACTTGCCCTCAGATCCGTGGCTTCACCCAGGCCATCGCCCCGGACAGCAGTGAGATGGGAGACCTCCTGGCCTTCCGGTTCAATGCCTTCAACCCCATTCTGGATCCCTGGGTCTTTATCCTCTTCCGCAAGTCCGTCTTCCAGCGGCTGAAGCTCTGGTTCTGTTGCCTGTACTCGAGGCCTGCCCAAGGCGACTCTCGGACATCCCTCTCTCGGTCTGCCTCAGGGAGGAAGGACTCAAGCGCCCCCCCTGCTCTCGAGGGGAGAAAGGGGAACTGGGTGCCTTTATCAGCCTGGGGCGAGGGGCAGGGGGCGCCCTTGCCAGCCGCACAGCCACCCACCAGCACCGTGGGAACACCCTCCAAACCGGGGTCCGAGGCAGCCTGCTCCCTCTGCTGACATCTGCCCGGTGATCTTCCGCCCTGTCTTCCGGCCGCAGCTGCCAGATATTCAGGGACATGACCGATGGCTGCGGGCGGATCAGCCTAGGGATGGTTCCTGGAGCCCTGCCGGCCGGAACATGGACCCTCTGGATTCAGGGGATGATCAGCTGCTATTTCTCCTTCCTCTGGGTGGCCACGAGGGGCTGCAGGAGGAGGGAGATGTGGAAAGGAATTATCCTGGAACATAAAAAGAACAGTTCTCTCAAAATATCCGGCGGCTTGGCTGGCCTGGTCTGGCCCTCACTTGCCCATCCATCTCACTGTCTAAATATTTAGAAGGCAGAAATGTTCCCAGCGGCTTCTGTGCGCTCAGGTCTGCTCTGGTTAGGGTTCTGCCTCTGATCTTCCTTCATTCAGGGTGCCCCTGATGCCCACCCCAAGGCCCCAGCGGACACCCCTAAGCCCGGCTCTGCGTTGATGGGGGGAGTTCCCCAAGAGCCACCCTCTCTCTGCCTCATGAAAGTCTGGGGTTCCCTGACAAGTTCCCTGTCTCCCTTTCCTTCCGATTCCCCATTGGACTTGGGAGGCCTGGTCCACCCCCCTCCCCACCAGGGCAGAAGGGGTGACTGTTGCCTTGGGAGTGACACCACTGGACAGTTGCCTGAGAAAAACTGCATGGCTTGGTGAGTTGCAAGATGTGGATGGCGGGTGGCAGGAGAAGCTGGAGAATGATGGGGTGGGAGCTACAGAACCTAGGGATGGCCCAAGAACTCAGACCTAAGTCCTGTACCTATCCTTGGATAAATAGCTGCCCCCCCCCAACTGCCCCTGCAGAGCCTGACCTCACGCCCTGTGTCCTCAGAACCCTCGCAAAAATGTTATCCATCCATTCATTCATTCAACAAATAGTGAGCCCTGAATCTACCAGGTGCTGGGGACACACAAACCAGTCTCAGCCCCACCTGGGACTCTTCTAGGGTAATTTCCAGCCTTCAATTCCCCTTCTGATAGCCGGGGCTTTTCCACCCAATCCACCCCTCTCTCCTCACAGCCATCCTCTGCCGAACTCAAGGGTTTTCCAGGAGTGAGCATGAAAGGAAGTGGTGCTTCGGGTGGTGGGAGGAGGTGAATGGGAAAGCCCCCAGACTCTCCCCCGCCCTGATTCCACTTTCTCACTTGCTTCAGGGTTAAAGCAATCATTCTGCCTCTGGGAGGGGTGAGGGTGGGGGTGGGTGGTGGAATAGATGAGGCAAGAACTTCCTATAAAGACGGGCGGCTAAAGTGAGTCCTCCACCTCGTGAGTTGCACCCTCTTCACCCCAACCTGCTATTATTAGAGCCACTCTACATAGGCTGGAATAAAGGTCCAGAGAGGGCAATCACCAGCCCCAGGTCACACAGCGAGAAGAAAGAGCAGCCTGCAGGTGGAGCTGTTTTTTTTTTTTTTTCTCCTTTGGCTGTGTTGTGCAGTTTGTGGGATCTTAGTTCCCCATTCAAATCCAGGACTCTGCAGTGCAAGAGTGGAGTCCTAACCACTGGACCGCCAGGGAATTCCCTGGTTTACCTTTTTATCTCCTTAATCCAGATTGGGTTAGTGAGATTGCCTTGGTTTCCTTTAGAATGGTGATCGTAATCTAGTACTTAATTTACAGGGCTGGCTGAGGATTAAATGATTCAATTGAATCATTAAAAAGCAATTTAGCATAAGACCTGGAGTAAAGCCCACAATATGTGTTACTGTTACTGCTGCTATTGCCGTGGCTATTGGTATTTGTTGTCTTTGGCATCTGAGCACATGTGGCTTGAAAACAAAACTTTTCTCCATTGTTCTGACATTGTTCCACACCCGCCCCACAACCCCAAGTCACTTTGTTTCATTTGAAGGAGTGGCTGTGAGAGTTAAAAATAGATCAAGATGACTGCTTAATGGGTAGGGGTTTCCTTTTGGGGGAATGAAAATATCCTGGAACTAGAGAGTGATGGTGGTTGTACAATGTCGTCAACGTACTAAATGTCACTGAATTGTACATTTTGAGATGGTTAAAATGGTACATTTTGTGTTATGGGTATTTTACCACAATTTGAAAAAAAAAAAAAAAGCATGTAATACTGGAAAAAAATTGAGGAAGTTTAGAAACTTTTTTAGCAGTCTTGCCAGAGTCATATTGTATCGCTTGAATTTAATAATAAACATGTTGACTTGTACCAAAATAAACCAGAAAACAGGTCAAGCAACATCAGACGAGGATCTGGCCTTGGTTAACAAATCTGCCTCAACAGGAACCAACTCAAGGGACCTGGTGTGGAGGGGTTGTGTTTCAGGCAGGAGTCAAGGGCGCACCCCCCAGCCCCACCCGCTACCTGTCCAGCAAGATTCCCTGGGAAGTGGGGGGGTGCACATCTCCTCTCTGGGCTGCCCCTGAAGGTGGGTCCATTCTGGCCCCTCAGAACTCGCTGAAAGTCAGCACAGGGCTGGGCTTTTCAACCCCCAGCACCCCAAGGTGGGTGCCACTATCAGTCCTCTTTTTTGGGTGTGGATTAAGGGAAGGAGAGGATTCAGTGTTGAAGCTGGTTTTCTGCTGACTTTTACCCACCAGGCCTAGCATCTCAGGATTCCGCCCCCTCCTCTGCATCCCACTGTGGATGTCTAAGCTGTCCGCCAAGGGCCCCAACTCCCGCCCCATCTGCCCTGATCTGGAAGCTCCTCTCCCCACTGGTTCCTGGGGTAGCGTCTTGCGGTCAGCCACAGTCCTGTCTGGAGCTCCTGTCTGAGTGGCCCCTCCCCTGCCTGCCAAGCTCCAAGGGCTCCCACTGCCTGGAGGCCAAGGGCCAAACTCCCACGCTCTCTGCTTGGCCACAGCAGAAAATCGTGATTTCCCCAAAGAGCACAAGACCTTTCAGGCCTCCACTTCTTTACTCATTGGGCTCACCCTTTCTGTAAGAGGTTTCCCTTCTCCATTCATCAAAAGCACCCTTGCCTTTCAAGGTCCCGCTGAGGCTCCTCCTCACCCTTGAAGGCGTCATCGCTCCTCTCAGATGCTCTAGACACTTCCGGGGCTCCATGGTGGCCCTCATAGCAGCCTGTAGCACAGACATCTGTTCATTCATTCAGCAGGCTTTGATTGAGGGCTTACTGTACATCAGGTTTTATCCCTGTGATGTTGGGGACACAGTGATGACAGATGGCCTTGGCTCTGCTCTCCTGGAGCTCACGGTTCAGAGTGGGCAGGGCTGGGGAATTGGGACCAGGGAAGGTGGAATTTAGGGAGAAGATCAGGGAGGGCTGCATGGAGGAGGAGATGGCTGAGCCAGGATGGATCTGAGGACTGTAAGAAAGTGAACCAAATAAAGAGGAGGGCTTCTGTTGTGCTCAGGGTTCTGACTCTGATTTCTAATGCCTCCTTTCTTTCATCTCTCATTCATTCGTCAATTCAACATGCATTCCCTTGAGCCTGCTCTGGGCTCAAGGCAGCTGTGCTGTTAGGGAGATAGCAGGTGTCTGATGTTGCCTTGGGCTTACCTTGCTCACAATCCAGTGGGAGTGACAATTTTTCCCCCCTGCAGCATGTGGGATCTTAGTTCCCTGACCAGGGATCGAACCTGTACCCTGCGCCAGTGGAAGTGCGGAGTTCTAACCACTGGACCGCCGGGGAGCTCTCAGGGGGTGACAGTTTAATAATCTCAGAAATATATATTACAATAAGCAGTAAAAACACAAACTTATAAGCTGTGAAATGCACTGAGAACAGAATACAAGGGAGGTGCCAGCTCTGGTCTGGGGTTGGAGTCAAGAAGTGAGAGACTAGGAACAAGTATGTCTCCTTCACGGAGACTTTATGCACTTTTAACTTCATTTCTTTATTCATTTCTGATTTTGGAGCACAGATGGGACTTAAGCATGCAGGCCCATATACGCCCTCGTGGGTTCGCGGGAGTTGCCGCTCTTTGGTCCCTCTGTAGTCACTGCCCCACCTGCTGGCCACAGTGGGAATGACACTGAGACGAGGTCCCACAGCCACTCCCTCCAGCAAGTGCGGGGAGCCTGGGTTTCTCCCCTGTGGGCCCCGGGTGGGCATGTGTCCCACCATGTGGCCCCCTGCCTAGTCACTTTCTCAGTGACAGGCTTTGAGCTGGCCCAGCGGATCCATGAGCCTGAGTTGGAAATGACTTCCACGACCAGCATCAGCTGATGTGTGCTCCTCCGCGTTTCCCCTGTCCATTAGCAGTGCCGAGTGCCATCTCTGTGCCTGTGGTTAATAAAGAATGGGAAGGGGAAGTCATGCCTTTTTAATAATGCAGGTTGTATGGGAGTAAAAGTCTTTCAAAAACTAGGGCCCAAGGGGGAAATAATCGACAGGCAGTAGAGAAGTGCAGGCAACGTGCTGGGGTGGTTAAAAGTGTGGGTGTTTGGGATGTGGATAACCTGGGGTTCAAGTCCCAGTGCAGCCACCTCCAAGAAGAATGCTGTGAGAGGCTTTACTTCCCAGGCCTCCATTCCTTTCCTGTAAGCTCTTGGATACGCCACGTGACATGCCAGTTTCCTGACCAGGGATCCAACCTGGGTGCGCCCCTCCCCACCTCCTCCCCACCCCCGCAGTGGAGGCTCAGAGTCTCAACCACTGGACTGCCAGGGACATCCCTCCTGTCAGCTCTTGATAACTTATGCTCATATGCCCACTGGGGAGGATACATGTCATAAATGGGGGAAAAAATGGGAAAAAAATTTTATTAGGACTCAACCTGGCCTGGGTGAGACATAAATGAAATGATGTCTAGAAAGTGGCACACCCCTCTGAGGTGGATGTTTTATGTTCCTCCTTTGAGAGATGACTGTTTCCCATCTTGCAGATGGGTAAACTGAGGCTCAGAGAAGTGAAGTCACTGCTCCAAGGTTATGAAGCAGGCAGTGTCAGAGCTAAGACCTGAGGCTTAGTGAGTATAGACACTGAAGTGAGTGGTCAAACTGTGTTGCAGCCCAATTCTGTGAGTCACCAAGACCTGTCTTCTTCCGAACTGTAAGACCAGAGTTTTCCACAGGTATTCTGGCTGCTAAGAAGGCAGCTCTCATCCCAGATTCCACTGTTTTGACCCCAGCCTCAGCCTAGCCTTCCCCTTATCTTTGGCCTGTTAGTCACTCAGTCGTGTCTGACTCTTTGCCACCCCATGGACTGTAGCCCACCCAGCTCCTCTGTCCATGGAATTCTCCAGGCAAGAATATTGGAGTGGGTTGCCACTTCCTTCTCCAGGGGATCTTCCTGACCCAGGGATCGAACCTGAGTCTCCTGCATTGAAAACAGTCTTTACCATCTGAGCCACCAGGGGAAGCCCTCTGGACTACCTGAAGTCAGTTTTAAAACAGAGGTAGTATGTTTGGCTGTGCTGGGTCTTTGTTGCCACGTGTGGGCTTCCTCTCGTTGCTGAGATTGGAGGCTACTCTCTGGGTGCAGTGCTTGGGGTTCTCAATGCAGTGGCTTTTTGTGGAGCACGGGCTCTAGAGTGTCAGTAGTTGTGGTGCATGAGCTTAGTTACCCTGGGTGCATGTGGGATCTTCCCCGATCAGGATCCAACATTGGCAGACAAACTCTTAACCACTGGACTACCAGGGAAGCCACAACCCCCCCCCCCCCCCCCCCCCGCTTTTTAAAATGACCATTTACTCTGAAGCCACAGGAAAGCCCCTGAGTTTGGGCCTCACGAGGCTTCTCCATCCTCCCAAGGCCAGGCGAAGGTGAATAGGCGGCTTTTTACTCCACTGAGCTGTTTCTGCTTACCTCCTGCCTGGTCCCTGTGGCCAAAGAGACAGCTGCTCAGATGTTAGACTGTGTCTACTGACCGTGCACTCCCACCCCTGAGAGGGAATCAGATGGGTTTTGTAGCTGGGGACTGGGCCTCCCCACCTAATTTTTTTTGATATGGACAATTTTAAGTCTTTGACTTTGTTATAATATTACTTTTTATTTATCAAAGGATAATTGCTTTACAGAATTTTGTTTTCTCAGACCTCAACATGAGCTTGTTTTTGTTGTTTTGGTTTTTTGGCACTATGTGGGATCTTAGCTCTCCTTGCATTGGAAGGCAAGGTTTAACCACTGGACAGCCAGGGAAGTCCCAGGCTTTCTTTTCCATAGCTGCGCTTACCTTGGGGAAGTTGAGGGGCTTTCTAGGGTTTATAGTAGTTGTTCTGAGCTTTAGTCCTTTGTCTTTCGGGGCTGACTGAAGCTGTGAGCTCAGGAACACCTCTTTTCTCCCCACTGTGTTCAGTTCACTCAGCACTTAGCTTGCCAATGGGCACTGGTCACCTCTTGGCCAGAGGGCCCTGTCAAGAATCCCCCACCTGGCCTGGGCCCCCAGTTGGACCCGGCCTTCCTCTCTCCTTGGGTGATGCCCTTCCTCCTCCTGCATAGCAGGTGACCATCCATCCACCTTTCAGCTTGTCACTGGTTTGCCCCCAAACCGGGTCGTTGCTGCGATGCGATGGACACGCCTCCACCTTCTCGGGCCTCACCGTGTGGTCCTGTGTGTGGCTGACAAGTGGCCCTACTAAGGCGGGGTTGGTCCTACACACACGTGCAGGCGCCGAGCACTTAAAGCTGACAGGAGGGGACTCCCCTTGTGGCTAAGCCTCCACACTCCCAGTGTGAGGGGCCCAGGTTTGGTCCTTGGCCAGGGAACCAGATCCCACAGCAGACAGACTTTTGGGGCAGGGTTTCAGGCCTGTGCAGGGAGCAGGCCCAGAAACCAAGACAAGAAGGGAGGAGCAGTCAGGTAGTCACTGTATTTTATTGGAAAACATTGATATATATTTTTCTTCACAGCTTGAACACAAATATTGCCCGGTTTGGAAAAAAAAAGAAAAACCAAAACACTCCGAAAACGTCCACAGCTTCACGCCTACCTGCCCTTACCCTCAGCTCTTGGCTGGGTCTCCCGCTATGCCCCCCCCCTTCCCTGGAGGCTGGGTGCCACAGGGTTGACGAGAAGATTCTCAAAGCTGGGCAGGTCCCAGGAAAAGCCACTTGATCGACCTGAGGGGTGGGGTGGGATGGGGGTGGGGGCAGATGAAATGAACGGAAAAAGGAAAAAAAGAAAAAAAAAAAATCCAGACGGCCGAACTGCCCATGTTGACTTACTTGTCCCAGAGGCGAAAGTCAGAAGCCAGGTTGCGGATCATGCTCTCCGCTGGGGAGTGTGGGGGCAGGCAGGTGGGCGCACAGACAGCACAGATGGAGCTGGGGAGCCG